TTTATTTTTCCATTTGGTATTACCTTCATATATTTCAGAACCTGTAATATATTACATATGTGATAGAAAAAGCAAAAAAGACAAAAACAAAATAACTGTTAAACTGTACAATGTCAAGAAAAACATCAAAGGACATTGAGGAGGCTGTTACCTACACAGTAGTTCCATACACTCTAGTGGTTGTAAAGATTAGACCAGGAGAGCAATGTTGAGACAACTAGTGTCAACATTTTATATAATAAGTGCCTGTTATCAACAGTACAACAACCAACCTTTGTAATTTTTCTTTTTTACAAAGGATAAAACATCACAACCGTGTCAAATTATTGTTGTCCAGTCCAATATCATCATATGCTTAAGTGATACAGACAAGACCACTTATACATTATTGAATAACCTGGATGATACTTTGTATGCCAGATTATCTAAATCAAAAATATGATATTTATATCATGTTTAAAGCAAACATATATCCACAGAAGACTGAGAAATGATAACCAAATTATTATAGATTTACAACTACCTTTTACAGGAATTTTCACTTTGTTAATATGAGGTGAAATTGTACTTTTTCAATGGGACTTTTTGAAATCTGATTACTTTGTGCTCACTGATGAAATGTACATTAAAAGTTTATTGAAACAAACTTGCTACAAACGGATAGTATTTATATAAGATGATGGTGTAAATCATGTATAATCGGGATTGAAAAAAAAATAAATATAAGTTATTTGGACTTGTTTCCTTTGCTGGGATTAGATATGGAAAAACTCTCCATGTAAAATATCTTAGGCTAAAAATGCTGACATATAGGAGGACTACAAGCAGAATGTTTAACATTATACTATCTGCAATAAAGCTATGGTTTTACAAATATCAGGAAATTAAATTGTATATCTATTAATGAATTTACCAATGTTTTCTTTATCTTTAATATAATAAAAGTCAAAATGAAAGGGAATGGAACTGTTAAGTGAGGGATGAAAGAGACAAAATCCTCAAACTACATAAGGATGTCAATGGCAACAATTGAGGGGTCTGTCAGATGCTTATTTGAGGGAATGACCAGACACCAAATTCAGGGATCTGTCAGATGCTTATTTGAGGGAATGACCAGACACCAAATTCAGGGATCTGTCAGATGCTTATTTGAGGGAATGACCAGACACTAAATTCAGGGATCTGTCAGATGCTTATTTGAGGGAATGGTCAGACACCAAATTCAGGGATCTGTCAGATGCTTATTTGAGGGAATGGTCAGACACCAAATTCAGGGATCTGTCAGATGCTTATTTGAGGGAATGGTCAGACACCAAATTCAGGGATCTGTCAGATGCTTATTTGAGGGAATGGTCAGACACCAAATTCAGGGATCTGTCAGATGCTTATTTGAGGGAATGGTCAGACACCAAATTCAGGGATCTGTCAGATGCTTATTTGAGGGAATGACCAGACACCAAATTCAGGGATCTGTCAGATGCTTATTTGAGGGAATGACCAGACACTAAATTCAGGGATCTGTCAGATGCTTATTTGAGGGAATGGTCAGACACCAAATTCAGGGATCTGTCAGATGCTTATTTGAGGGAATGGTCAGACACTAAATTCAGGGATCTGTCAGATGCTTATTTGAGGGAATGGTCAGACACCAAATTCAGGGATCTGCCAGATGCTTATTTGAGGGAATGACCAGACACCAAATTCAGGGATCTGTCAGATGCTTATTTGAGGGAATGGTCAGACACTAAATTCAGGGATCTGTCAGATGCTTATTTGAGGGAATGGTCAGACACTAAATTCAGGGATCTGTCAGATGCTTATTTGAGGGAATGGTCAGACACCAAATTCAGGGATCTGTCAAATGCTTATTTGAGGGAATGGTCAGACACCAAATTCAGGGATCTGTCAGATGCTTATTTGAGGGAATGACCAGACACTAAATTCAGGGATCTGTCAGATGCTTATTTGAGGGAATGGTCAGACACTAAATTCAGGGATCTGTCAGATGCTTATTTGAGGGAATGGTCAGACACTAAATTCAGGGATCTGTCAGATGCTTATTTGAGGGAATGATCAGACACTAAATTCAGGGTCTGTTGGACACTTATTTGAGGGAATGATCAGACACTAAATTAAGAGATCTGTCATACTTATTTGAGGAATCAATCAGAAACTAATTTGAGGGAATTTTCACAGGACCTTTCAAGTATTTATTTCAGGTAATTAAAAGGTCTTTATTTGAGGCAACTGTCAGGGACTAATTTGAGGGAATTAAAAGGTCTTTATTTGCGGGAACTGCCAGGGACTAATTTGAGGGAATTAAAAGGTCTTTATTTGAGGGAACTGCCAGGGACTAATTTGAGGGAATTAAAAGGTCTTTATTTGAGGGAATTAAAAGGTCTTTATTTGAGGGACATGTCAGGGACTTGTTTGAAGGGTTATTTTTTCAACATTACAATGTATGCATGTTTCATTATCTGCACATTTACTTCAAGCAGTATACACAATGAATTGGTCACAAAGACGCACTATGAAGCTGAAATGCTGAATACATACATATTTTAGTGCTTTTTTACTACCCTCATTTCAGTGCTTTTTGTGCTGAAAATATTGCACTAAAGTGACAATGGATAGGACTGCATTTAAAAGTTGGTACATATTTTTAATGTATTGATGGATATCTTTACCTGTAATAATCAAGGACGCTGGTTATTCAGATGGTGTTAAAAACTGTCTAGGATTATTGTAATATATTTAAAGTTGAGAAATATTTACACCAGATGATTTTAGTTTCATGAAACTTCACAAAATTTCCATCATATTACAAAAATTTGATTTTTATAGTCCATAGTCATATAAAAAATGTAACAAATAAATATCATTTCACATTAATATTTGTATATAAAGATAGCAAAGATAACATATTCAAATAAATTGTGAATAATATGGAACAAAATGATTGCACATTTAGCCCCAAGGAAAATGGCACAGATTTTAAGCTCGGTACAACACAAAATCTAGTTACATACATGTCAGCCTTAGAGTATCAGTTTAAATATATACACTGTGATATCTTCCTATAATGACATTCAAGTGATAAACTTCTTTTCTTATGTCAATATTTTTATTAAAACTAAGATAAATAAATGACATATGTAGTACTTTGTAAATTTGTAAACAGATCTGATGACAATACATATCTTTATCATATATATCCTTGTATACCATGTATTTCTACACAGGATCATATTCAAACAAAATATCAATCTTTATAAACACACAACAAGTATTATGCTATAAACATCAACAATACAATAATAATGTGGCCCCAAAAAGTGACAAGGTTTTTTTTTAACAATAAAACATCAGGAACGTAACATGTATTTCTGAAAAATATCTCTTCAATTTATAATTATATCATCAATGATATGGATATTGAGCCATACTTTTTGTATATTATTTATAGTTTTAAATTGTCTCACCACTTTCATATTCATATCACAAAATATTCTTTATACATTTTAATGCAGGTATTTAAACAACTTCAGCAACATATTTTGACAATATCAAACGAATCTCATCCTTTTTTTTTGTTTTTTTTTTTGTTTTGTTTTTCAAAGACATAATCAAGTTATTAATCACAAAATGAAACACATATATCAATTTTGTTTCACAGCATACCTTAAAATCCTGACCAGAGTAAGGATTGTTTTCAAATTTAAATGTACATGGATGTACTTTAATTACTTCTTCAGTTAGTATTACATTATTCAGAAAAACTCCATTTGTTTTTCATCGATGAGATCAACAATCCTTGTACAATGTGTAAATGAATTTAGTTTTTTTTAATTTAGATAAAATCTACATTAACGCACACATTACCTTAATTAACATCTAAATCCACACACAGATTTAGGGCACAGATACAGATTGGGACTGAGGCTGGACTGCAGAATATTTGGCACTTGCATTTTGAGGGGTCAAGCCATACCTATCCAAGACTTATTTGCTGCATATCATTAGTTTTCAGAATTTCATCATGAAAAGTATAGTCGATGAACTCACATATTTCTGGGAGCATTGTACTATAAAGTATTGGAGAAATGGATAGCATTCTAATTCAAAATAATTGATTTATGCTTGAAAGGAAATTCCAAAACTGTGCATTCTTAACTTTACTTAATCCGATCCAACATCCTGTACAAGTGCGTATAATGGAACAGATCACCTGAACTGTTTCAACTGGGTTATGTGAATGCAGTTAAATATAAAATATCCCAGCTGTGGTAATATGTATGAAATGCTGACTTTATATAAATAGTGATGAAGAGATTAACATTAAGCTAAACCCAAAACACTTAAGAAAACATGACTGTATGAACCATCAGTAGTTAAAGATAAGAAATAGGAAGATGTATAAACAAGTTATTAAAAAACTGATGTAAAAATATGATAAAGTCTAATATCTATATAAAAAAGAAGGTATTCTTGTTTCGTATCTAAATGCTTCAGATATTCTGAAAAAATTTCTATAACGTTGACATATCATTTCATCTATCTATACATCAGATCAGTAAAAGAGGAACAGTGGACAAGAGCCTACTGTACTTGTAAACATTTGTGTACATATTTCACTATACTTTTATAGTAGAGATTCTCCAAACAATATTTAACCATCCACGACCACTGAATAAAAGTGTATTTAAAAACAGGAAATATACAATTTACACTAAAATATAACTTTAATTTCTTGTTTTTTTGGGGTTTTTTTCTGACACCAAATAAGCCAAGAATATTTTATTTTGGCTGAGATGTTCATCATTATCAAAGAGTAACACTTGAACATTTTTGAGGGAATACTAGTATAGTTTTTTTTTTTTTAATTTTATCTTTCTGCAATTTTTTGACAATATCCCTATAGCACAATTTTCCTGTAGAAGATTTTAGAAATAAATCAGTAATGATGTTAAATAAAATTTGTTCCTCTCTCCATTAAACATTTATCTATTGTCAGGTAGAATATTTTTGGAATTATGCAGCCAGTTGGTAACAATGTCTTCATTGTTTTCTAGCCAACCAATATTCATCTGGATGTTCTCTAGACTTGAGGCTACAGACATGCTGACGGATGAAGAATCATGGGCTTTGAAGAATGCTGACACCTACAGATATAAAATACACAGTAAGTAAACATGAAAGATTGTCAGTAGCTATTCAAGGTAATCAATATCGGGTACATAATCAAACCAACAACAAAAATCATATCTTTTTGTTGGGCTCGAACTAAAAGAAAATACATGTTGATTGTTACTTAATTTTATTGATATATTCAATTCATGAGATCCACCAGTACTAGTATTTAAAATCCACCAGTATTGAACATGAAATCCACCAGTATTGAAATGAAATCCACCAGTATTGAACATGAAATCCACCAGTATTGAACATGAAATCCACCAGTATTGAACATGAAATCCACCAGTATTGAACATGAAATCCACCAGTATTGGACATGAAATCCACCAGTATTGGACATGAAATCCACCAGTATTGAACATGAAATCCACCAGTATTGAACTTGAAATCCACCAGTATTGAACATGAAATCCACTGGTATTGAAATTCTTGTTAATTGTTATCTATTCATTATTGCAAGGACATATGAATTCATGGGTAAAAAGTATTTACTAAATTAACAAAAATAAAATCATATTACATTTTTACAGCTTTACAAACATTGTTTTTATGAAGATGGCAAAATACACAATGGTTATATTCTCAAACTTCATTTTTTTTTACATAAAAGAGATTGAGCTTCATTGGTGGATGAGCTACGGCAGTGACGGTGTAGATTATTATTATCTATGCCAAGTTTTACACCAGGAAGGCATATTGGATAAGCAAAGAACTCTTTCTCCAAATATTTCTCTCATTTTCTGTTTCAAGCCATCAATTAAAATACAGGTAGAACCAATTGCATCCAATTAGGAATGCTATTATTGCAATGTCTGTGTCAATAGCATCAATGAATTGTAGATACATACAATCCATTTCACAAAAAATACTGAAAGTCTTGAGAAAGAGAGGAGCAGAAAGCAATTGACTGACACTAACATATTGGATAGAATCCAATCAGCCAAAACCTCAAAGATTTGTAAAATGTATGTAATATATAAAAATAGAATTAAACATTTGGAAATCAATTCATACCTCTTCATAATCATACTCAGTTGAAAAAGATGAGGTGGTGCTCTTCACTAGGGAGGGCAGGATAAATGAAGAACTTCCAAACCTAGACCACATAAAAACGAAAGTAGTTTTACAGCCGAATCCATTAAAATACATTTGAATTATGACTTATCAGTTATTTTTCATTTGCAAATATCAACACAGAAAAAACCCTGTTGATATACTAAACATTATCCATATATGTATTTATCTTTAGTGATCAAGGCAATAATCTGCCAAAAAACTTAACTATGAATACCCTTTAAGCTCAAAAAGAGACACAGCACAATGCAGGCTCATTTATGAAAGACACTCCAAGTTTATTTTTAGAATAGGTTTATTTTAGAGGTTGACTTGTTTTTTTTTTTTAGTTTTTAGAATATTGTAATAATGTAGGGAAACATGAAATTTTTTTCATTTATTCTCACCATTTCACAAAGTTTTTCCAGTTTCGCTGTACGAATCTCCAGGCCAGAATTTGTCCATTGGTATTAATGGACACGACACTCACTACTGTAGTCAGATCTTGGTGACGGATATTTACTCCTTTAGCAGCTTCTTCTAAAAGCCTGATAACCCACATTCCATTGTACAATGTCAGAATCATAGGCGAAAACAAAATCAGTTTTTAAGTTGTGATCACATAGTTTACAATAGAAAGGCCATTACTATATGTTAGCTTGAATTTGCAATCATACCAGGAATATGTTATAATCAATAAATTTTATCAGAGTGAAAATAGTTTGATATGTTAAAAAAATAACCAATAATCTTAAGCATTCAAATAAAAACATTTCCCAAATTTTTTTTTTCCATGTAATTTTTTAACTTAACTGGTCTTAAATACCAAATACAGTGTGATATAAGTGAAGCTGCCACCACTATAGAACACTACTAGAAGACCAATGTCCTTGGTCATTCTCTAACGCTAAAATAACATAAAAAATATTTAACATCAGAATAAATAACATAATCTGACATCATTTTAACATCAAAAATCATAACAATATTTTGATGTTAAGATTTAACAAAGAACCATAACACTATTTTTTCCTTAAAATCAAAGTTGAAAAAAAAATTTAAATATCAACATTAAAATGATGTTAAAATAACAAAATATTGTCTGTGTATCACGCTCCCTGAAGTGATATCACACCCCCTAGAAAGTGATATCTCACCCCCTAGAAAGTGATATCACACCCCCTAGAAAATTATATCTCACCCCCTAGAAAGTGATATCACACCCCCTTGAAAGTGATAAAGTGATATCACACCCCCTAGAAAGTGATATCACACCCCCTAGAAAGTGATATCACACCCCCTAGAAAGTGATATCACACCCCCTAGAAAGTGATATCTCACCCCCTAGAAAGTGATATCACACCCCCTAGAAAGTGATATCTCACCCCCTAGAAAGTGATATCACACCCCCTAGAAAGTGATATCTCACCCCCTCGCAAATTTTTATTTTTGTTGCTTCTGTTTATTGCTGTCTGATTTGAACATAAATATTGTTGGCCTGGAAGAAATGCTTTTTATTTTTCTTACGAAAAATATTTCAGAACCCCGATGAAATTTCTGTATGGTGCCGTTTCCAGAATGGTTTTACTTCTTAATGATACATCTGCACGATACACGGGTGAAGATAAACAGGTAAGTATGGATATCAATGAGTATCGGTAAATTGTGAATCATTGTTGTTATAATGTTGATTAAATGATTTATTAAAAAAGATTTTTGTATTTGTGTGGTTTGTTTATAAAGACAGAAGAATTGGTAGAACCGATGGATGCTACCTAAATAAATGCTATAAGTTCCATGTTGATACGTCTTATAGTTTTTGTGTTATGCTCCAGACAAAATTTAATGATGAAAAATAACAAAGGGCAATAACTCCTAAATTGTGTAAAGGGAGTGATGGTTCTTGTGCACTGCACTTTTCCTTGTTGAGATCTATCTACCTATGAAGTTTTATGTTGATACCTCTAACAGTATTTGTGATATCCTCTGGACAAAAGTATGATGGACTGACGGCCAAACAGATGAACAAACCAACGTACAGACAAAGTTGCGACTATATGCTCTCCTTTCGGGGTTTAAAAATGATGAGAAAAAAAAAACTATTATATGGTCATTTTGATATCATATCGCTAATTGGCCCTTGAGTCCTGATCTCAGCCCTCTGGCTGATATCATAACTCTTGGGCTGATAAGGGATATAGGACATCAAATCTCTAACTATAATCTTGATATTATTATTTTGTTTGTCAAGTTTTCACCCATTATTAATTTATTTTGATAATGAAGGGCTTTCTCACCTCCATCACTAATGGCATATCTATAGCTATACATATATTAATGATACAAACTGATACACTCTGTAGGCTGTTAAAACCATTTGTTTTCCCTTCATTCTACTCTGCTTCCTTTCTGATCTTAATTCAACTATCTTAAAAAGAATTTCCCCCTCTTTACAGAGTTTTTTTTTAATGGTTTTACAGTATTAAATGGTTCAATCAAAAGAACTTCAAGCAATATATAATATGAAATATTATCATAAACTTCATCTCATTTTTCCACAAATGATAATATGTTAGCACAATATTTTGGTTCTACAAAGGAGCCGCGATAGCTAAGTCTGTAGACTGTAACCTCTGGTGAAGATCTGAGTTGTGTGGTTTGATGCTCCCTCCCTATGGCTGTTTGTGTTTCTCAGGAGAGAAACAGACTGGTTTGTGATAATGTGGTTGTGTCCTCGGGAAAGACACTCTCTGGATGACATATGCTGGACCTCTCACATGCTGTTCAGAGAAGTAGCCACCAGCTACTACATGGAGATGCCAGCTCAAATTGACCTTGGCTTTTCATGGGGCTATAAACATAACAGACAAAATCATTTCAAAAAACACTTAAACAAAAACTAGAACTATACCTTGCCAGGTGGTTGGTGTCTTGTGTGCGACAAAGTGTGATCAACAGTTTGTGTTTCTCAGATGGCACCTGAGCGTTGAGATACTTTTTCCAGATAAAATCCCATTCAGGTAGACCACCGTACTGCACCCCGGCTCGGTAGATCACACTCTTCAAGTTAACGTTCACCCTGCATCACAACACTTAAAGTATTATTCCAGCTACATCATCACATACACAGAAAGGACAGATTTACATAAAGCAAGATCCCCATAACTGCCTCATACCAAATACTGGTCAAATTCCATCAGTGTTACCATGGTGATCACTGGAAAAATATGTAGCAACTATAAATCCTATTTTCGCGATTCCCACATCACAAAAAGCTCATGGTAATCAACTTTTCACAAAACAGACTGGGTTTTAAATACATATTTGTTTATTATTAATATTCTTTAAATTTAACTTTAACAAATTTGTTTTCATCATAAACTGAAATGCAAATGAATCACAAATGAAAGATAGTTTACAACGTTCAAAATTAACTTACCTAACTATTTAGTATGTTTTGTTATATTGTTAATAAAATTATTGATCCTATTTTCGTCTTTGGGTTATTTTTGATGACAGATAGGCCAAGTTATCATTCCTTATGACGAAAAATCCAAGATGGCGGACACACGTACATCTCGTGAACAGGGGGGGGGGGGTTGCCCGCAAATAAGCCCACTCCCCTCTTTTGACAGTCTTTTTTGAACTGGGTGTGGGGGCTTATTTCGGTAAAATACAGTAAGATATACAGTTAATTGACTCACTTTCCTTCACGGTACATCCAGTTCTCAAACAAGTTTCTGCCATATTCAATTGTTGGTTTATGTCCGAAGGCTAATGCTTGGTTAATTAGAACTGACCGCAGAAATCTGGTAATATGTGTAAAGAGAAAAAAAGGCAAAGTCATGTGTTCATTAGAAATACGTACTCATCTTCCTGTTAGACAAACTGTTGAAAATCATTAAGAATTTGTTATTAATGTATCAGAGAAAAGAATATATGATAAAGATTTTGTGACTATCTGGTAATCAAGTTGATAGAGGTTTTTTGCATACCAAGAAAGGTGTATGGGGTACTGTACTTTGTATACTGTATAGATTTTTAAATCTCACAGGGCTAATATTTGGGTGTTTGTCCAATTTTGTGCTAGTTCACAGGGATTATATTTCTCGTATCCATGTATACATGCACTTAACATAGATTTCCATATATTTTGATTCTCTGTCAATAAATGTTTGCTGGGTATGTAATTTCGTGACATTTTTTGAAAACTTAGCAAAATTAAATAGCACACAAATATTACCAAATATACAGTATTACAGTTGAGCTCTGAGAACCCATACAGTACTCTTAATTGTACCCAAAATCAGGTGGTGGGCTATCATAGAACAATAAAACAATTGTTGGTACTGTAGTAATGTAAATTAGTGGGCTTTTTACCAGGCAGGGACTTATTTCTAAATAAATTTGGAAAATTGATTTCATTTAGTCATGCAATGCATGATAACATTTTTTTTGCATGATGCCAAGTAAATGTACAAATAAATTGGTTAATAAGAAACAAAGGCAGTGTGTCTTCACTTATATACATCAGAGGTGAGGAACGTCTTGGTTGATTAAGAGACAGGGTTACAATCTTTTGTGTTTTAATTACGTAATTATTCTTAATGGAGTTGGCATGTGAGTGGTGAATGTCATGATCAATGCTTTGACAATGATGTTAGATACCTGGTATGACATTTATTACCACTTATTTTTAAATTTCTTATTTTTCCCTTACATACCAGTAATTGCACATTGCCATATATAAAAAGTCATCAACAAAAAGACAGCACACTAAATTGTCCTTACTTGTCCAGTTGTAGTCCAGTGTCCTGCCAGCCAAGCCTTGACAGCGAGTGGGACATCAAATTTACAGTGTATTTCTACAATATAACAAACAGACTGAAGTATTCCTAATTTTCATTTCATATATCTAACTTACACCACTCACTTTTAATCTCAACCAAACAAAATAAACATCCATCATGTATTTTTCCACACGATACACACATCTATACATGATGTTTGATCTTTGTATTTACCACAAAATATTAAGCACCAGAATGTTTTTAGTCAGAACAACAATAATGAAGTTTAAATATGATGATACAATCAACTGCAAACCTGAAGCTTGTCATAAACAGCTTTGCTTCGGAGACGTTCTCCAATGTAATTCAGACAATCAAGTGCCACACTCCAAGGGAGATAATCCTCTTCTTTTACCAGGTATTTTGTCATATCTAATGCAAGAGCTTGTGATACTTTCTTAGCTCTGAAATGCAATCATTCAAAAGCTGTAATGCATATTTCAATAACAGAATTAATCAATCCAGTGAGCAAATATCATAACAGAATTGATAAACATTATTGTCCATACTATTTGAGGATGAAGTAAATATTGATAATGTAAATAATGACAACATTCTTGGAGTATCGATAAATAACTTTCTCCACTGGGACCATCAATTTGTCAATATCTGTAAAAAATATATCTCAATTTTTTCAGATGAAAAATTAGAGACCATTTATAAGTCATTCATCTAGTGTGATGTTTTATAATTGGTTTATTAACCCACACATGGGTTATTGCTCCACTGTCTGGGGCAACAGTGCCAAAAAGGATATTACAAAACTAGAAGAGAGCAGCAAGAATTATTTTAAACTGTGATTTCCCTAACCTGCCTGCAATTAGTTGCCTTTTTGTAATTAAATTTTATACAACCAAGCTATCTAAATGTACAAAGTCCTTAATAATTTAACTCCACAAAGGTTGAATTTTTGTACTTAATTTGTTTGATGTTCAAAGTAGATATACAAGATCTTCCTCTTCACATCTTTTTTACTTGCCATTTCCCAAAATATTTTTAGAAACTCTTTCAATTACCAGGGAGCTCTTACATGGAATCTTTTATCAAATGATGTGTGAAATTCTACTTCTCTTTTAGCTTTTAAGAAAAAAATCTGTAAAGACATTTTATACGGAATGATATCTCCCTATCCCTGTTGCTATATTTTACTTCGTTGTGATAAGTATTTAGTAATTTTATTTGTAAATATTGTATATTATCTTTCTGACCATATGTAAGACTAGCATTTTGCTCATTATAAGAATAAATGAAGCCAATTATTATTATCATTATTATTTTGGCAGCCTGATGGCATCAATCAAAATCACTTACTGTTGTATCAAAAACAGTTTTCAAAATACACTCTATAACATTTAACATAATCATATGAAATACCAATTTTTATTCATATATCATCATAATAGGCATTACCTTGCCAAGTAGCATACATCATCTATTAAACCAGCTCTGTCGGCAGCAGAAAACACCTGAAAACATGACAACCAAGATTATATCAAGCATGAATGATGTGGTGTAGGAGTATTCAGGAAAATAACAAGAAAGTCAAGAGAGAATCGAAAGACATATTCCTGTCATCTCTTCCTCATTTAGACCAGAAATAAGTTAAACCATCTGATCTCTCACAATTCAAGAAATTACAAAATAAACACAGGTGAATACATAGGTAGCACTTTTCCATACAAATTTAGAATCACAAACTATCAGTAGAACCAAACAAATAATTTAACTGCATGATAAAGCCGTTTCGTTAATCTAGGATTCATAATTGATGCTAAAGGTCAAAATTCTGCAACCTTTCGTTAATCTAGGATTCATAATTGATGCTAAAGGTCAAAATTCTGCAACCTTTCGTTAATCTAGGATTCATAATTGATGCTAAAGGTCAAAATTCTGCAACCTAACAAGCAAATGAGGAAAACAAAGTTTATAATTTAAATCAATCCATTCTAGATGGGGAGGTGCGCTAGCCCCATAACATTGTTTATAAAGAAGAAATTTATCAAAACAAAGTAGTATGTACAATCATTTTGACTCTAGTTTAGAATATCTTGTTCGAGAATCCAAATTTATGTTGCAAATCAATGGTGATTTAGTGTTTTGTAATGAGAGATCTTAAGAAGATTTTACTCTTCATAACATACTGTGTGGTTATCAGTGAGTTGTTTTATGAGAGCACGCCAGTTTCTCTCCTCATAGTTGACACGGTAGTACCCGAACATCCCATAATTTCCTTTCATCCATTTCACTTGATCATGATCTGCCTGGAACTTAACTGCAAATGAAATCAACACTTCATTATTATAATAAACATTGTATATAAAGCTAAAGTAGGTCTACTCATTACTTCTAACATGACCATCAATTCCTTATAAAGCTGTTGCAGTAAAACCTGTAGTGTAGATGATGTAAAGCTTGAAATTAAATTGACTCTGATCTTAACCAATAAGCTGGGAATTTTCAGGGGTAAAAGTTTTCTATTAACTACTGAATCATACTTAAACAAATTGAAATTTCAAGATCTGGATGTAAAAGAATATGCAGTACACAGGTATCACATCAGTCATAGATTAAGATTTTGCAATCATGTTAATGTACCATAAAATAGCAAAAATATCCATGTGAAACTTATCAACTATACCGTAAAAGTAATTACTAATGACAATAGCTGGTGTTTCTATAGCTGTACACACAAATGAAATCTGACACTAGTGAAGTTTGGATACACCTGTCCTGGGTGAGAGAAAATTGTATTCGCTCTGAAGCTGTACACATCCAAACTACATGTCTACTTGGACTGTTTCGGGTACCCAGGTACCCATGAAAACACAAACTATTTTGGTCTTGAGCTTGCCATCACGTCAAACATCCAAAAGCTATACAGATATTGAGGTATTTCCAGTTGTTTAAGAAGGGTATCAAACGAATTGTGAACAATGAATTGTTAATTCATCAAATATGTCATGTACCTTTATTGTGTAATCTATTGTGTGGTTCTGGTCGTATACCAAAGCATATACACTACACAATAAACCCTGAATACTGGGACAAATTGAGTGATGAGATAAAGATGGCTGACATTAAAGTATATACCAAGTAACAGCTAGCAGTGCTAGGATGATTTGAAAGGTTTCATTCACTAAACTTCCACAAATCAGTATTTTTTACTACTTTTGAATTCTGAACTCTAGCGGACCCTCAAATTACAGGTTATCAAGTACCAGCTTAGTTACAAAGGTCGGGTACCTGGTGCTGAAATTCTATAACTGCGAGAGCCCTATATTGTACCAATCTCTACAAGGTAAACAACAAACTTGTACTGACCTCCAGAGTCTGGATGTATGGTGATAAGTTGATTGGAGATACTACTCGATTTTGCTACTGCATACCTGAATGGTATATTCCACTTGTAACTGTCAAAAGATACAAATGTCTTTTTAATATCGCACTTTCGATTGTAATTTTATTTTACATTAGTTTATCTACATTCAATTAATTTTTTCATTACTTTTTTTCCGACCACAGATAAATGGTTTCTATAGATCTGTAAAATTCTGATTATTTTCTGTACGTTCTTAATCACCTAAGTAATTCTCAACTCTAAGTACCAAAATCATTTATGTACATGTACATTGAGCAAATTTTAAATATATGTGTTTACTTGAAAGGACTTGGGTATTTTTCATTTGCCTTCACATCTGAGTCAATAAGGAATCGCTCTTGTGTAACCTGTACAAACTCTCCTGTATGGTTCATTGTGATGACAGGGTAACCCATTTGCTGGGTCCAGGTGTCCATTGTTGTTGAGACATTAATCTGAGTGAAGCCCTGGAAATATTGAATTCATGTGAAAAGGAACAGGTTCATTTCAGCCATTAAGAAAACAAAAACTTTCAAATTTAATTTTCTTCAAAATCCATTTTATCTCAACTTTTATACAGAAAATCCCAAGAGCAAGTGAGAACACAAATGTAGAAATTACTGGATATCACGATTCACAAAATTCATGGCATTTTTCTGTCATGTGAAATGCCTCTCAGTTTTCACATGTCTGGTAAATGTTGAAAGATTAGATTATTCTACATGTATTGGTTATGAAGTACTCCTTACCAATATGCTAACTTTAAGTTAAGACATACAAACAGGTGAAAAGCTAATACCTGGGTCACATGTCATGGTTCTGTAGATTTTTTACTTACAGTGAGGATATCCCATAAGTCTTCTGTTCTTGCATTGCCATATTTATATGTATTGAGGTATTTCTTAATTCCATCCTGAAATTTTTCCTGTCCCATAAAGTCACTTAGCATACGAATTAAGGAGGCTCCCTAAATTAAGAAAAGAAACATTTTAACATTAAAAGTTATGAACAAAATGTACAGATTAAAGATGTCCTCTAAAGAAAGACTATCAACATTTATTTCAACATTAGAAGAAAGCCTCGACATTTGGTAGTAGTATGAAACTTACAGTATATTACTTTCTGCTAGGGGGTCGTGGCAAAGTCATTGGAACAAACTGGATAATAGAACTGAAGAACAGTGAAAAGAAGTTTTGTCTGAAAGGTGATAACAATAAGTCTATACCTGTTAGTTGTACCCTAAAAAGTTGGTATGAGATGGGTACTCCAACACGACAGGATGTTACCTTGCTGTAGGAGATGGCGTCAAAGAGTTCATCAATCTGAGCAGGATCCTTAACATCCACTGTAATGGGGTGTGAGCTCTGGACGCAGTCCCTAGACATCGCTCTCATCAGGTCACTCAGTACAAACTGTTCCATCTTAAACCACATAAGTTTTATGTGTATCAATCAGTTTGAGTATGGTACATGTTGGGAAATGTGTACATAATTCTTTCAAGTTTGATTGGATATTGTTATCAGTGTCAATTCAAATTAAGGAATGGCCAAAAACAGTATAATTGAAAAATGGCAAGGAAACAAATGTGAGGGTGGCTATTCACCTGAATGGACAACCAAAAATAGTATCATTGAAAAATGGCATGGTCACAAGTTTAAGGGTGTCTATTTACTTAAAGGCACAGCCAACAAGAGACCCAATGGGCCTGCATAGCTTACCTGGTATTCCATGTTCATCAAAAGTCGGATCAATGTTATCACAAATATATTGACATACACCATTGGCATTGAGACTGGGCACATCCAATAAATTTTAATCAATTTCCACAATAAACAGCTTCTAATAATCAACTCTAAATAGCCACAATTATGATCTGAATTATAGGTAAATGCTATTTCTTTTCTTTCTCAAAGTTTGTTGTGCTTTGACCTCGAAACACCTTTCCACTAAATATCCTAATTCTCAGACATTTGGTTTATTTGATGGAAGTTTTTTACAGGTTTCATCAAATCTAATCCCTGTGACCTTGAATAAGGGTCAAGGTCATTTATTTTCACAAACTTTGTTGGGCTTTATCATAGAAACCTATCATTGAAAACACCATGCTTCTGCACCTTTTAATTAGTCAGAAGAAGTGGTTTAAAGGTTTTGACAAATTCGACCCCCTGTGACCTTGAGTATAGTTCAAGGTCATTTCTTTTCACAAACTTTGTCAGGCTTCCAGCAATCCATCAGCCAAATACCAAAACATTTCGACTGTTGGTTAATGAGAAGAAGTTGTTTGAGTGGAAAAGATGATGCCAGATAGCCTGACGGATGGCAGACGCCACAGCATGGTTTAAACCCACTTGGCGCTTTAGGCCATGTGAGCTAAAAACTGAATAAGTGAGAAACATCAAGGCTCCTATTGTAACGTAATCACATCAGAGAAGGCAACTTCAGTTATTTTCTCATTGACTGTTTTAAATAGTTTCATAATACACTACTGAAAGAAATGTTGGAAGAATCTATATGAATGTCTTCTATAAAACCACCTAATATCTGTAGCAGGACTATTTGTCCTATGTGTAGCCAATCATGACAGTATGAAGTATGATGCCTGCACCATTGACTTATTATTAATCACATATTAATGAATATGATAGTATCAAAATAAAAGACAGATTGTATCAAAAAAGGACCTACCATTGAGAAGGAAGGGTCAGTTTTGTTGGCACCTAAATACTCAACAAAGGATGCAAAACCTTCATTCAACCAAAGGTCATTCCACCACTTCAAGGTCACCAGATTTCCAAACCACTGTCAAATACCAAAAACAAAAAGCTGCATAATGAAAGAATTATTATGTAAGTGAAAAATTTGAGCATTCAGGTATATCATTTATATACCAAATTCCATTATTAACTCCAAACAGACTTGGGAGGCTTGTTAATCTCTAAAACAAGATGCCTCATTCAGCTATTCAGTCATTTAACTAAGATTTTCAAATATATCACAAATTATTTCTGAAATAATTTTTCTATTGAGTCCTGGCCTTGTGGTCAAATAGAAGTCAGATTCACTATTCATAAAATTTGCTTCAAACCAAACTTGACAATATCCTTGTATGGAAGAAGGATTTTAAGAACTTAAATTTCCCCTTTCTCAGATGTCAGACTCCTGGTTGACACAAAATAAGGTTCCTTTCAACTATGTAAACTTTAGATCTTTTTCCACTATTTGGCCCCACCCCCAGAGAGCTGAGACCCACCATTTATACAGATTTTATTCTCCTTCACCAAGGTATACTTCAGACATAAGGACAAAATCCTGATATTTCTACTGAAGAAAGAGCATTTTCAAAAATTTGCTCTATTTCTCTATCGAGCCATGCCCCTTCTACTCAAGGAAACAGAGACCTGATGTTTATACAAAATTGATTTTCCTTCATAAAAGAATGCTTCAGATCAAATTTGGGCAAACCCAATTATCACTTTCCACATGTTCCACTATTTTGCTTTTTGGACCCACCCTTCCCATTCAAGGGAGTCAAGATCTGCCATTTATACAGAACTGATTTCCCTCATTCCAAGCATGTTTCAGACCAAATTGGAACAGAATTCTGATATATCTACAGAAGAAGATGGATTTAAAACAATTTTATTCCCCCTATTGGGTCACCCCTCGAGAACTATTGCTTATACAAAATTGATTTCCTTTCTCCCAAGAATGATTCAGAGCAAATTTGGCAAGATCCATTTAATCCTACAGGAGAAGGTAGGGGTTTAAAGAACCCTTTTCCTCAAGGATGCTTCATACCTGTTGACCTAAAAACACTGGTATTTTATAAGAATTAATTCAAAACTAAAACAAATGTCATGTAAACAATGAGGAAGACATCATGAATGGATGTTTACCTGATGAGCTAATTCATGGGCGATCACTATGGCTACATACTGTCGATCACGAGCAGATGACACTTCTGGATCATAAAGAATGGTTGTCAGACGATAGGTGATCAAACCCCAATTTTCCATAGCACCTGCTGCAAAGTCAGGAATGGCCACAAGATCTGTTCCAATGATGAAAAATCATTCTTTAAATCCTTATACAACAAAGAGAAGATCTGGTCTTAACATACTACACCATTCTAAACCTTTTTTAAGTAAGCAATCAAATTGCTGCACACTTTTGTGCATTGTTAGCAAATGCTGCACATTAGTTTAATCAATCATATCCTATTGCCTGTGTCACATAAGACAACTAAACACGACAAATAATGTTGGATTATCAAATGCCTCCCATTCTAAAGAGGCAGTGTTAATTGTATCTGGCTAAGCATACACCCATACCTACCCTGTTTAGGCAGTGGATACTTGATACCAAACAACTTGTTGTAGAAGTTGAGGACTTTAATGGCTGTGTCAAGAGCAAAATGTGCTTGGTTAATCTGGTGGGGTGGAGCATACACACTCACCTTTATGGAAGAAAAAAATAACATCAGTCATCAATCTAATTAGTATTTTGAAGTAAAATCACATTAAAGGCTAATATCTCAGGTTGTATGTTATAAACTAAGAGTGAATTATTTCAAAACAAACCCAGATTTTTATCAACCTGATATTCAATTTTTTCAGTAACAGTAAACAAAAGCATTTAATGAAGGGTGACTGAAAAAAATGTCAAAAAATGATTTTATAGCATTTAAAACAACAGAAATTCAAAATGACACCATAGAGTGTAAATCAAGTACATGTAGTGTTAACTAAAAAAACCATTGCTCCATGGATTATTGTTAGTAGAAATATACAATGTGGTCTATCTTAAAACATTTTTAATTTTAAATCTAATGGTGAAGTATCCTGACAACTATTCTACAGGGGTATTTTCCCAAAATGCAAAATTTCTGGCTGTTCTGTACCTTTCAAGAACTTCATCTTATGACTTTTAAAACTACTGTTAGCATCAAAATATCTCTCCTATGGTCAGTGTGGACAGGTGAAATTGTGAGGAATACTCAAAGCCGAAAAATCTATTTATAGTGCATCAGGAAATCCAGAACTGAAAGGTCACTGGATCACAGATTTTAATAGATCATTAGGTAAATACACAAGTGTAAATGTGGTTCAATACAATTTCTGCTTTAGTTACCATGTTTTCTCTTCATTGGGCTTATTTTCTGTTGATTTTGTAATTTACACAAATGTTTCATCCTGTTCTGCTTATAACAACATAAACCTGTGATGATGCAATCAAGGTCATGCAATTTGTAATTGATCTGACTAGTTTTATAAAGAATTTCTGCAAGTTAACTGTCATATCATTATCTAAATGGTAAATTGAAGTGAATGATTTCCATAGGAACATAAGTAAATGATTTTGTAGTTGTCTTCAAAAGCATCCTATGAAATCCTTACTTGTGCAGAATAATCATAAGACCACAGGATACAAGAATATTTTGAGAATCTCTGTATAACAATTATAATCTGTGCCTTTGATATACTTTGGCTTCATTTACTTAAAAGATATGTTCTGCAGAACTAGGAACTGTCTAACATATGAATTCCCTTGCTCCTATACAGACTAGAATCTGATGTGGTGTAGATTGTGATGTTATGACACTATGGGATAGACATAAACTGTTGACAGGTTCTAAACAAAGGACATTATTTCAGAATGCATGGTGGACAAAATAGACATCAGTTACACTATAGGCCACATATACCAGGCATTAAAATCACATAGACACAAAGCCGGTTTCACAATAATGAAATATGATAGAAACTTGCTCAAGCTGTACTCTTTATGTCATGCTTATATCAGTACACACCTTTGTACCCTGTTCTGTGGTTCCATTCACTTTATCATAGTCACACACAATGAAAGCCACAAGATAAGTACTCATAGCTACACTCTGCTGAAACTTGTCTACAATGAGCCCATTTGACTTATTGTATGGAGTTGACGTAAGGCGTGGCATGTTGGACAGTGAAATCTGATTCCTGTCACGAACAATGGACATTGTGAATTTAGCCTTCATGTCTGGTTCATCAAAACAAGGAAATGCCTCTCTTGCACCTGTCGATTCAAACTGAGTTGTCCCAAGATACCTAGTAAAATAATATTGAGCATTTCATCAAAAACAAATTCACGTAAATTTCTTCTTCATTGTTCTCTGATAAAGTTTGTATTTGGACTCTGATATCTGAGTCTAGGACTCATGATTTTGTTGTGGGACACTCTAATTTTGAGAACCGTTCTTGTTATATCTCTTTCTTAAGGGACCAGTAAAAATTTTGAAAACAGTGTTCCAGTCCCACTTGAAAAAATCCTTTTAAAATTACTGTACACTGTATCATTAAGTGCTGGCCAACTACATGTTGGCAGTAATGTAACTCTACATAGGAAAAACAAGATATATCTCTTCTGTGTGAGAACACTGATTTGTTATGGAAGTTGAAGTAAAAGCCTCCTCAGCCTTACTAGAAACAATGATCATACAGGTAGCTTACAATTACATATATACATTTTGTTAACCCCAAAAAACTGAAGGAAAAGAAATATGGACACTCAAGAACAAATAAAGAACAGAATACTGCAAAAGAAAAAAACAGTTGTAGAAATCATTTTTCGGAGAGTAAGATTAAATTTGAAAATATCGATCATGTACAATGTACTTAAATTTTCATTTCATAATCATAATTTCATTTGATGTGGAGAAAAACAAGTAAACATTATCTTGAAGAGATTTACAAACAAGAGGCCCATGGGCCTTAATGGTCATCTGACTAAAAAAACTTGCAGCAGGGAAAAGAGTTATCTTTTCTACTTTGAATGAAATCTTACTAAGAAGCTGTCTTCCATGATGCAGATGGTAGTTTTGGTGATAACTGTAACAAGTGTTACCTTTTTTTTTTTACAGTAAAGTTGGAGCTCAATCCAACTGGTGAAACTTCAAAAGAAGTTTGAAACAGGTTTTACACAGGAAAACCATGATTGCACGATCATATTACAAATTGGCCTCCCTGGCTGCTGTATCAAAGTTTCAACAAGGTCAAAAATTAACAACACTTTGTTGGCTACTTTTCCTTAACATTCCCACGAATTTGTAGCTCAATGGCACCAGTGGAACTGGAGAAGAAGTTTAAAATATGTTTTTTCAAGATGGCAGCCATCTTGGATTTCTGACATATCCCAAAAATAACAACACTTGCTCAGGATCATTTCAGACAAGTTTGAGCTCAATGCCACGGGTGAAACTTGAGAAGAAGTTTGAAATAGGTGTTGCACAGGAAAACTATGATTGCGCAATCATGTTACAAATTGGCCTCCCTGGCTGCCGTATCAAATTTTTTTGACAAGATTGCACCGCAGAGGACAGCAGACAAAGCATGATGACTATAGGTCATCATGACCCTTTGAGTCAGATGACCTAATAATTCTGTTTGCACACAAATAGGATAGATACATGTCTTCGTAAAAAATTGAAGAAATAACAACAAAGTGAGCAGGGGCTTATATAGATACAACATCCATCCCCTATTTTATATACAAGCTTTTTATTTCCAAAGTGGTCCGAAATCTTATCAGGTGTAGACCTTGATGGTAGGATATTGTATGGGGTGACTGTAAACCAAATCTGTTCAGTGGTTTGAGAGATATCTTTCTTGTACACAGGCCTCTTATTTCCAAAGTGGTCAAGGGTTACTTTTGACCTTTAACCTTGACCAATGACCAACAAATTCTAATCAGGTACTATACTGTATGATGTGAATAAGAACTTGAACTGTTTAGGGTTCCTGAGATATCTTGCATACCAGATATCACAGACTCATTCTTACCATCCACTCATACATGGACACACATATTGATTACTATACATACACTAGTACCCTACTTACCTTAGTCTATATGCAAATTAAACAAAAACCTACCATGTACCAAACTTACTTTACTTTTCCTTCTGGAGTTTTGTAGCTACTAAGATAGAATCCAGATAGTTTTTTCATCAGTGTGCCATCAAATTCCAAAGTCACTGTAACTCTTGTCTCCTCCATCAGTGTTTCAGCCATCTGGAGAACATACATTTGAAGTTCTTCACACTTCAATTGCATTTTCACATCACACTTACGCAGAATGCCCCCATCTTTGCGTTGAACCTGCACTGTGACATTTGTGATTGTCAAATCTTTCACATGGAAAATTATCATCTCAGTCTTTTTCAAGACCACTGCCTTGATCTTGACACTGCCTTTGAACGTTTTTCTTTCTGGGATGAAATCTGGATGAATCATTACATCATATTCCATGGGGATGACAGACCTGGGCAGTCTTATCTGCTGCCAAGGAAACACTTCTCCATCGGTCGCTAAGTACTTTGTCTCATTGGGTTTAGGGGACACCTGTGTTTGGTCTGTTGTTGGTGCAACTTGGGGCTGGAAACAGGGCTGCGGAGGCTGGGATCCAGGCCTGGCAAATGCTGCAATGATCGTGATGACTAGGATGAAAACGCCAATGCCGACAACAATTGCTGTAGCACGACCTTTACCCAAGACAAGCTGTCGACATTTTTGTTTCACAGATGGCTCATATACAGATTTCCTGTGGAGACTGTCACCTGCAACACATTATATAATAGTTTAACATGTAATTCAGCCTCATCTTCTGTCACAATGAATTCTGAAAGAACTACTCACAAGTAATTGAGGTGGTTGGATGGGTGACCCTGTATTTTTATGTGTGAAGCATTCTGAATATGAACTAAAACCATTTGTCTACTTTGCAGAAAGGTGAGAGCAAGCTATCCATTTTACCATTCATGATCTGCCATTCTTTAAAAAGATGATGTGTAGTAAATGCAATCAACTGTCATTCGTTTCTTTCCTTTTTTCTAGTTTTAGGGGGTAAAGATATTGGCAACCAATATTTCTCAATGGCTCTTTCATACGACATTTCCATGAAAACACTGTTTTATGGTGTTTTTTTTTTCTTTTTTTTAATTAAGTGATTTGCTTGAGTGCAGTAATTAATTGGGTATTTTATTTACAAGTAATACATTAGAAAGAAACACATGTTCAGTTGAGACAAACATGGCAAACAATATGTATTTAGTATAAACCATAAAAGCTTTCAATCTGTCATGCAGTGATATGATACCGACCTGGGAGAAATGAGACATCTTCCACGTCGTCAGACATCTTAGGTGTTAATGACCCTCGATAAGTTTGCAGTAAAATAGACAGCTCGACAGAATTTCCGTTTAAATCTTTCACAAAATGGACATTTAAATGTTATCAAAGGAACCAATCAATCACATTGGAAGTATATTCACCGACACCAAGCCTATGTACGTATCTGGGTTTTTAATGTATGTGTTTACATCTGCATACTCTACTTCCGGCACACACGGTGCATTCGTTTCAAGTAATCCATTTCATACAAATATTACAATTAATAATATATGTTAAATGTTATCATATTTTCTATGAATTATCGTAAAAATAATTTGATTCATCATAAATTGCCATGATAGTCAAAGAACCCATTAAATTATAGATTATAGAGTGATATATATCGAAATTCCGGATCAAAGGCAAAGCGTAGTTTACATTTATGATAGCCTAAAAAATCCTCCAGGCGGCGCTAAAAGGCGGGCAGCTCAAAACTCAAAACAACAGATTGATGTAAGCCTTGTAGATAATTTGTACATAAATCTTGGTGAAGTGTAATTGATTGAGCGAACTACTCGACTTTAAATTATGCATTCCACACGATTATCATAATCGGACAGTTGTTGTATATGTTGCGATATCCGCCAACTTGTTAGCTTTCAGCTGCACGATCACAAGACAATGCAAGTTGACAGGTCATGCAGTTATACTTTAGGGTAGTTCGTTTGTTTTTATATCATTCACGACATTCAATCAATGGAGTTTTTTTTTATTATTAAGCCAATATCATAATTTACTATTTAATGATTCTATTTCTGAACAACATGTCTGTTCACCAACTGGTACTTGAACACCAGCAAAATTGGCGGAGGGGGCAAGTCGTTTCGGTACTTTAAGAATAATTTGATATACCGGTATGTATTTAGTTAGATTTTCAAATTGTTTTGTCATTATTGATTATTTCTCATTCCGCTACTGGAAACTGTTCACTTAAAATGATGCTTTAGGTGTGTAAACTGTAAACCATTTTGCAAGTAGTTAAACGACTTTTGTACATACTGCAAAAAACTTGATATTAATATGACCAAATCTGTCTGTATAGCCAGATTTGGCATTAGAATAGCGCTATAGATTCAAACACCTAAAGAATCATTTACATAGCTATGCTATGTTGTTGGAATGCCACCGAATAAATACTTAGATGACTTGAAATGTGTTCATACTATAAGATTTATATAAAAACTGACTAAGGAAAAACCAGTAGTCACGGATACAACCTCAAATTTGCTCACCTGAAATGATTGTTGGTTTTGGACATGTGGCTGAACTTCAATTTCTGAAAACTTCTGTAAATCAAAGAGACATTGGAGTTAGTTTAGCGTGGACCAGGAGTGCACATTTTATTTATGTTTTAATTAGAATAAATTAATGGTGTGAAAGTGGTGGATAACTCTGTTGATGTTTACATCCTTTCAAAGGGTTAGATGTCAAGGGTCAAGTTTTTATTGTTAAGTCTTTTTTTCTCAGATAAGCCATAATTCTTGATAATCCTTTTTTTTTTATAACACAAACTTTTTAAATAAAGTTATTTTTTCATCTCTTGAATTAAGGAAATTTCATATCTGACCATCGGAAAGTATGGATAAACAGATGCAAGTACCAGAAATTGGAACAAAGGGCATTCAATCCACTCTCGAGAAATTGTTTCCTATGAAAGAAATCAATTGTTTATCAACCATGAATGTCTTAGTTGTTTACATTTGCCCTTTGTATGAATGGTCAGATTTGACTTTATAACCAAATCTGCCTATATAGCCTGATTTCCAGTGCTCCAGTACCTGACTAACTCTCCCACCATACTACAAGCCTCATTGCAGTAGATTGCTAGCAGAATTTCTTTCCATCTGTTTCTGCATTTCCCTCACTTTATGTGAAACCTATATTATAATATGAAAAATGCAAAGCCTGTGAGGATGTATCTTTATAATTATTGAAAACAGAATCAGACTGAACAAGGCAACTGTTTAACATACCATTTAATTTCATAGTTTTTGAAGAGCTAAGGATGAGAAATATGCAGACAGAATTAAAAAAAGGTGGGGGATAGTTTCATTATCTTTGTTAACTCCCATGTAAATTTTTGGTAATATAGAGTCGAAAGTCGTTATCTTGAAATTCTAGGGGCCGATGAAAATATTTTGACTTATCCAGATTACAACTTGGACGAAGTGTATAAATAAGTTTGACGATATCATTTTCCTGACATTGATTATGGTTGAACGAAGTAGTGCTACTTTAGTACACAAACAGTGTAGTTTAATCTGCTATTTAAAATGGCAGTAAATATACAAATATATTTCTACCTTCTCCTTTTATTGTTTATTCATCCAAACAACAAAACAGGTAATAACAACTCCAATCAAATACATTTGTACTAACGTTCTGTCCCGCACGTGTGTACAACACCCTTACTGGCCAAGCACATATACATTATATATTTTACGAAATAACAATTAAACAAAATTAAAATTTGCTTTTGATACAAGAAACAGTGTATAAAGCTACAGATCATATCAATATGACTTTACTATAAATAAATAAACATATGATAACCACAACAATAGAAAGTTTTTACCTGTTACAGAAAACATTGCACAAGCAGTGGACTTAACAAATAACGCACAGATATATACTATTTCAATAAAAAAAATTCAGCTAGTATCTTTTTTTTCCCAATTTAGATCCCAAGTTTTCCAAATTCTAAGGAAAACGCCGCTATTTTTCCCAATTCTAAGGACCCCAGGCCCCAATCCCAAAATGGGGTGTGAGAGCCCTGAATGTTTAAACAAAAATTAATTTCAAGACAACAAATGACTTTTGCCTTGCTTTACAATTGAAAGGACTGAAAAATCGCTTTGACTCCATGAAATTCCAGTCATCTGAACTAAATTTACAAAGATAATCGTACGTCCCTGAACAATTTTTGTTATTGTTATTTCTTGAGAAGTACTGCATGGATCTTTCTCAGACTTCAGATATAGTGTAGAATCCCCTTTGTCTCTAGTTGTGCCCATTTCTTTTAGGACCAATCAGAAAAACAAAATGGCCGACAGGGAGCCATCTTGGATTTTGACTTAAAAGTTTGTTATCGCCATTTCATGAGAAGTACTGAATGGACCTTTCTTAACATCATATGTAGGTTCCCATTGGTCTGTACATCTTGTGCCCATTTGATTTTTTGACTGATCTGAAGAACATTGCTTCCAGAGGACCTTTTGGATTTGGCGGGTAAAGACTATCATTGCTATTTCTGCAATAGAATGTTCAAATTTCTAATTATTAAGACCAAAACAGAGAAAAGAAAAGTAGGGAAAGATCCAACTTTCCAAAAGCAAATAAAGATAAAATATTAGGGGGTGCCAAGATCCCTCTGGGATCTTGTGTTCAATGCTATAATTTGCTTTTGCAAAGCTTTATCTGTAATTTTAAGCATGCTGAAAATGTGACATGAAGGTAATTTCTATTTCTTGAAAATTGCTCTGAATTCTGAAATTTGTTGATTTCTTTTCTTTCAGAAATGATGGAAGAAGATACTGAAAGGTAAGACAGTTTTTATACACCTGTCAAATCTCAACCAAAAGATATTATGGAATATGCCTTTCAACAGTTGAAAGTTTTTGTGCAAGATGCATTGGTGGTTGTTTTATTCATCCATGAAGACATAAAAAATATTGAATTTCAACTTTGACATCAAACTTTAGTTCACTTTTATCATGCAAAGGGAGAGCATATAGTCACTGCTTTGTCTGTCCGTCCATCCATTTGTCTGTCTGTCTGTCATAATTTTGTTAGGAACATAACACAAAAACTATAAATTATCAACATAAAACTTCATAGATAGATCAATTGCAACAAGGAGAAGTGCAGGGCAGTGGAACCATCACTCTCTTTTGGATGATTTAGGTGTTATTTTCCTTTGTTATTTTTCATTCTTAAATTTTGTGTGGAGCATTATACACTAAAACTATAAGAGGTTTCAACATGAAACTTCAGAGGTAGCTTTATCTCAACAAGAAGGAGGGCAGTGCACAAGAATCATAACTCTTATTGTCTTTTGTTATTTTTCATAATTGAATTTTGTCCCATTTGGGGATCATAACCAGTCTCTTGTCGTTCCTTGTTTTCACCCTTTTGACAAAGAGATGAAACAAACAAAAGTTTCTTGTATACCATAGTGAGACTTGTGTCAGGTAAACTAATTTTGGTTCATCACCTTAACTTGATTAGGGCAGATGATGAGAGTTCATTCTCTCAGGAGTTGCTGGTGTGACACAAAGCGACAAGGCATTCTACCTTAATTAATGTACAATATTTTTTGTGAAAAGGATGTTGAATAATGTTTGTTCTTTTCCCCAGAATTACATTAAACTTAAACTCCAAGAGGAGGTCTAAAAGGAGATCCTCATCAGTGAGTATTTGCAATCCTGATTTATGTAAAGTTTTGAACCGAAAATTATCAGTGATTTTTACACAATTATATTTCATTTCAAACTTAAGGTATCCAAAAAAAACTAAAAACAAGCTTCAAGTGATGAAGCCAATAGCTGAGAAGTTAATGAGAATGTAAACTTTTTTTAAAAGGGATAATGTAACTTTTTGTTATCACACATTTCTACCTAAAAATTGCACATTACCTGTATCATATCATTTCAGATATTGAAGACTACAGCAGGACCATTACATGACATTGACCCTAACAAACAGGTGAGACACTTATGTATAATATGTAATAGCTGTAGACACAAACATTTGTCTGTATATTCAGACCAGATGTTTCCCTATTAGTGAATAATAAAATATATATTCATATTAAATAATATTTCATGATTGTACAAAAATTCTTGTTGCCTCAATGGCTTATCCAGTCAGGCTTCAATGAGGGCCTTGTAGTACCAATATTTGTAGCTTACCTGGCACAGTGAGTTGGAATTTGATGATAAACAATTTGATGATCAACCGAACTCTGTTACAAATACTTTTGTTTTTTTATATTTTTGATAGTTGGTCAGCTACATGTGGTAAGATTTCACTTGCATAGGTAAAAATTCAAATTAGCATTATTTGGTATCTGAATTAAAAGCTTTTTGTTATCTATATTTACATAGGTGTAAAGTATGGGCAGGCTCATAATTTAGTTAAGTTCATCATATGTATTAAATATTTCATAGGAGAAAAAAATAGTCAAAGGATCACACATCAAAATGGTGAATATTTTTGAATTGGTTCTAATTGGATTTATAATAATCATGATCTGAACATGTCTAGCTGTTGATGAATTTAATTTCATGGGGGGAAGTGCTTTAATGAAAGATGTAAAAATGAATGATTTTACATGTAAATATTTATAGGTAATCCTAATTCTATGTAGTACCTTAGTTTCAGATTTAATTTGATGGATGATTAACATATCACATAAACCTATTTACTTGTCAGGATGGATGTACTGTCCCACTCAAGAAATCTAGACCCTCCTTATCAAGAAGAGTCAGCTTTGCTAAAATCCTCGAAGTCAAGTAAGTAAAAATAACTAATGAAAAAAGCTGTTTAGTATGACATTCAATGTATACATCATGTTTATTTCAATGTTAATTTATTTGCCGGAAAATGACTCAACCGTAATCATACTTCATACAGAGATTCCTCATTTTAGTTGTAGGATTTAAGGCCAAGGTCACATACCTGTTGATTAGAATGTCAGATTCCACATAATAATCAGGATTCCCTTAGGTACTGAAAATCATTTATTTTCTTGAGTGGTTGTGCATTTTCATTGGATAAATGTTGCTCACGCCATGCAACGTCTGCCGTTTGTAAAATTCCCATTTAAATGACTTATTCTCAATAGCCAGAAGGCTCGGGGTACTGATATTAGGCCTGTAGCATGATGGGATGAAGGGGTACTAAGTTTGTTGATATGAATGACCTTGACCCACTTTCAAGGTCACATGGGTCAAATATGCCAAAATATTTAAACAACTTCTTCTCAATGAACAAGAAGTCCAGGGTGCTGATATTGAAACTGTAGCATGATGGGATAAAGGTCTACTGATTTTATTATTGTGAAGGACCTTGACCCAGTTTCAAGGTCACAGGGGTCAAATATGTCAAAATATTTAAACAACTTCTTCTCAATAACCAAAGAGCCCAGGGTGTTTATGTCCGGCCTGTTACATTATGGGATGAAAGGCTACCAAGTTTGTTGAAATGAACTACCTTGACTCACTGTCAAGGTCATGGAGGTCACATGTTTAATGCATAAGCAGTTCCTTCTCAATAACCAAAAAGCCAAGAATCTTGATACTGGGTCTGTAGCATGCTTTTTCATCAAGCAATATGTCAGGAGCAATGGCTTTTGTGTAGTGCATGTATAAAGAACATGATTTCAAGTTTGCAGAAAATGTCTTTATGAACCCAACCAATGATTTCTATACATTGTAGATAGCACCAGACAACACCTTAGGCAGATTACCAGTAGAATTTAATTATTAACATGTTTCGGCACACTAGGTACAATGTAATACCTAGTATGCCGAAACATGTCAGCGCTTCTTGGTACCGGACTCGGTTTTTTTCCTTTTTGGAATCCGCCATAGGGAGCGCAGGACATTGGATTTCATTTTCTTAGTATTATTTGCAATGATTTCTATGTAAGCTGTAGTGTAGTTTAGCAATTTATTTTAGGCCTATTTGGCCTCTTTCACAAATAGGTCTTTATAGTTAGATGACCCTTAAGCCCGCAAACCTCTTGTTTTATTAATTCAGCATTTTTCAAAACTTTATCTTGGACTTTCATATCCCGATACTCACAAGGGAATGATTTTCTAGTTTGAAGATGATCAAATATGTCATTGACAACCAAATTTACATGTTAATATATGTTGTATTACATTGTACTTTTAAAACATCACTGCCATTATTCCAAAAGAAATTGTTGACCTTTCATATGTAAACAAATGCATTAGCTGTGTCTATGATTTGTCTCAAAATATCTAGAGATGAAGCTTCAAGTGATGTAGTTAAGATACCACAACTTGAAACTTTAATCAGCAATGATTTAAAGACTCAGACTTTTGAGTCCTGAACTCATGCTTCTCTTGTAGGTGGGGTTCGTCCAATTCCAATTTTGAAAACTTACTTTACCTCAAAGTATTGGAACTGTTTCTGAACTTGTCAGAAAAAAATTCCTACAAAAACCACTGATTAAGAGGATTATATGCGTTCAGTCAAACACTGCTAGGCTTGTGTTGTTTTGATGACTTCGTTTGTTTCTTTTCCTGACTTTTTAGGGAATTTCCTCGAGACTCACCACGTAGATGGGAAGATTCTCCAGGTATGTACCATTGAAATCATTGTAGAATGTATTTATATTTCTGCTGTGGGTTATAGTCTCTAAATAATTAAACAGGTCTTCTTAAATGTAGGAATCATTATTTACTGCATAATAAACTGCAGTGAAAGGGATGGTGTTTTTTATGAACCAAGTGTGGGTTAAAAGCTGAAAATCATCCTGCTCAAATTAAAGTTGTATAGCAATGTTATGATAAGCATTGATTTCAGGATCTTGAAATAGAAATCTCAAATGAGCTTTTTCTCATCTGACATCAAATGTTTGAAAAAAAGAAAATATAATGATGGTAGTTTCCATTTTAAATAATAAAAATTTGTTCTTTTATTCAACAGCCCAAGAACCAGCAGCAGAAACAGGGTAGGTGTATATTATGTATCTTCATCAATGGGTTTAATGTGACAATTATTATAAATGTATAGACATGAAATAAATTTTGAAAATGGATTTAAACCTAGATTCCACTTCTGGTTTGAAGTGTTTTCAGGAGATTCAGGTAAGGAACTGCCTGTTTTTTTTTATTCAGTCTAGTAAGGCCAGAATTATTTCATTGTACAGATGTTAAGAGGACTAATGATAGAACTTGAAGGCTTTTGCTTGTGATTATTAAAAGAATTAGTTTATTAAATCTATACATTGTTATTTCCTCTTAATTTGTGATGAGCTTTTCTTTTGTTTTTTCAGAAATGATCCTGTACTTGTATCAGCTCCAGGTCAGCAGGTTTAATATGATGGTCACCGAAACAATATCTCAGTCTTATAGTGTAGATTCAATTGTACTAGCTTTCTCTTTTCTCTCTAGTTGAGTTAACAATATTTTATAAATACCTTTACCCTAGACTTGTAATTAATTAAAATCTCACAAGGTTTGTTTGTAAAGTTAAAAGTTAACATTTTCAGGGATAATTTTCTTGTAAATAAATAAATGAGAATTTTATTTAAGTGGGCTTTGGTGATAAATTCTTTTTTTTTCCTTCACAGTGTCAAAGGTACCTGAAGACCAGCATGAAGGGTAAGAAACATCCTTTTTATGTAGATATTTTGATTAATCATTACAACACACATTCAGCAATTTGTATCTTGAAAACGATTAGAATTAAAAGGGAGTGTATTCATTATATATATAGCATTTCTCTATAAATTTGAGTTTTCAGCATGAAATCTGAAAGTTAGTTTCTGTATTTTCTTTCAGTTCGCAAGTACCAGTGCTACCTTGTGCATTTGCTCCTCAAGTAGGGAATGAATTTGATAAAAACACAAATTACCTAAGTGGTCAGTTGACTCAGAATGAAGTCATGATTTCTGGGAGCTCTGGTGCTGTTGATTCACAACAAACACAGCAGCGGTCACAGGAATCTAAGATTGATGGCAGTTCATTGCTGAAAAGTCTTGTTGGAACGAGTGCACCAACCAGAGGAGAAAAGGGGTTGGAGTACCACACACAAGTCCAGAAGGAGTCCAGTCTTGGATCTAAAGTTGGGGGCATGGATAGAAAGGTTGATGGCATGGCTTTGTTGCAGGCACTTGGTGGTGGGAGTTCCAACACTTCTACGGAGTCAGAACTGATGTCAACTTCTAAGTTGAAGGAGAGTTTCACAGATCTGACCAATAAGACCAGTCTGTTTTCAGAAAGTGAATTCATGGATCAGAGCAAAACAGCTTCCTGTCATAGACAGCTGGTGGAGGCAGAGGCTTGTCTTAAAGGATTGAGAGAACGCACTCCATTGATGGCACTGAACAACGAGGCTGCCAGTGATGTCAGATATGCAGTACCAAATGAAGACCAAGATGACAAGACAATTGTGTTTTCTCTTGGGGATGACATGCAACAAACTGAAGTGTTGCCTACAGAGCTACAAATAAACTCGCATCCCTCTGGTGGAGAAGTATCTGGTGCATCTGGACCCATGAATAGACAAAGCCTTCTTCAGTCTTTAGGGGGATCTGACGAGATTGACAGTCCAAAAGAATTATTTGCAAAGAAGTTTGAAACATCAAACACAAACATTGTGAAAACCCCTCAGATTCAGGACAATAGAAACACTCCGCTCATCATTGAAGGGAGCCAGTGGAAAGAATATGATATAGCACATCAGAGAGAGCCAACAATAATGTTCCAACAAGGACTGGAAATGGAGGAAACAAAAGTTTTACATGTTCCAATTGATATGCCAGGCACTTTGCCATGTACTGATGAACCTGAAAACAGAACTGTACAATTCTATCTTGGAAGTGACTCAGAAGAAATAAAAACAACTGAAAATCACATATTCAGACAGGTAGAACAAAAGTCTGCAAACAAAACACAGATATTTCAGGATGGGGCTGACATGGAACAAACAGAAGTTATTTCAAACAATATTTTATCAAACAGATCAACTCTTCAGCAGTCCGGTAACAAGACACAGATATTTCAGGATGGGGCTGACATGGAACAGACAGGAGTCCTCACGAACAATATTTTATCAAATAGATCAACTCTTCAGCAGTCTGGCAGTAAGACACAGATATTTCAGGATGGGGCTGACATGGAACAAACAGAAGTTATTTCAAACAATATTTTATCAAACAGATCTACTCTTCAGCAGTCTGGCAGTAAGACACAGATATTTCAGGATGGGGCTGACATGGAACAAACAGAAGTTATTTCAAACAATATTTTATCAAACAGATCAACTCTTCAGCAGTCCGGTAACAAGACACAGATATTTCAGGATGGGGCTGACATGGAACAGACAGGAGTCCTTACGAACAATATTTTATCAAATAGATCAACTCTTCAGCAGTCTGGAAGTAAGACACAGATATTTCAGGATGGGGCTGACATGGAACAAACAGAAGTTATTTCAAACAATATTTTATCAAACAGATCTACTCTTCAGCAGTCTGGCAGTAAGACACAGATATTTCAGGATGGGGCTGACATGGAACAAACAGAAGTTATTTCAAACAATATTTTATCAAACAGATCAACTCTTCAGCAGTCCGGTAACAAGACACAGATATTTCAGGATGGGGCTGACATGGAACAGACAGGAGTCCTTACGAACAATATTTTATCAAATAGATCAACTCTTCAGCAGTCTGGCAGTAAGACACAGATATTTCAGGATGGGGCTGACATGGAACAAACAGAAGTTATTTCAAACAATATTTTATCAAACAGATCTACTCTTCAGCAGTCTGGCAGTAAGACACAGATATTTCAGGATGGGGCTGACATGGAACAGACAGGAGTCCTCTCAAACAATATTTTATCAAATAGATCAACTCTTCAGCAGTCCGGTAACAAGACACAGATATTTCAGGATGGGGTTGACATGGAACAGACAGGAGTCCTCATGAACAATATTTTATCAAATAGATCAACTCTTCAGCAGTCTGGCAGTAAGACACAGATATTTCAGGATGGGGCTGACATGGAACAAACAGAAGTTATTTCAAACAATATTTTATCAAACAGATCTACTCTTCAGCAGTCTGGCAGTAAGACACAGCTATTTCAGGATGGGGCTGACATGGAACAGACAGGAGTCCTCACGAACAATATTTTATCAAACAGATCTACTCTTCAGCAGTCTGGCAGTAAGACACAGATATTTCAGGATGGGGCTGACATGGAACAAACAGAAGTTATTTCAAACAATATTTTATCAAACAGATCAACTCTTCAGCAGTCCGGCAGTAAGACACAGGTATTTCATGATGGAGCTGACATGGAACAAACAGAAGTTATTTCAAACAATATTTTATCAAACAGATCAACTCTTCAGCAGTCCGGTAACAAGACACAGATATTTCAGGATGGGGCTGGACAGGAGTCCTTACGAACAATATTTTATCAAATAGATCAACTCTTCAGCAGTCTGGCAGTAAGACACAGATATTTCATGATGGAGCTGACATGGAACAGACTAGATCTCTAGAAAGCAATATTGTCAGAAGTTCCATGAACATTCCCTTCAAAGTGGCTGCCAGTGTCGACCCTTCTTCTGAAGTTGATAATAAAACAGTTGTCTTTCATGACGGTGTAGACATGGATGAAACATGTGCTGCAACATCCAATATAGATTTATATAGACAAATTGGTGATCAAATATCACAGTCAGGGAGTAACCTGGCACAGGGTAACATTAAAACCAAATCTTCACTTACAACATCTGCCAGACTGAAGAGACTGTCTGCACGATTCTCGTCAGGTGGTGACAATGTGACTGGTCGATTGAGTCTAGGTGGAGACATTCTCACTACTCGTGTGATAAAGAATGCTGAGTCAGACATGGATGGTGATAAGACACCATCCATTGCCAGGAATACCATACGATTGGCAGGACCAACACCCAGAAAAGGCGAGGAAAAAATATGTGATGTAGCCCTTGAAGGCAGGAAAGCTGATGTTTCCATATTGTTTAAAAATGATGGTGGGTCTGACCTTCAAAATGTTACCGATCACAGTGGGCCAAACCTACAAATGATTACAGACAATGGTACACACCTTCCCAAAGTTACAGGTAACAGTGTGTCGGACTTTCCGCAGACTATAGCACAGGTCACAGAGTTTCCATCACAGAACAACGACATGAAAACTGAGGAGCCAGATGGCCAGCCAGTCGTTGATACTGTCCTATCTCTATGTAAGTTATCAATACATTACTTGGTTAGTAAAGTTTGTAGAAAACGGTATGTGAGCATAGGCAACCAAATGAAGTCCGGAAGTCAAAGATTTAGTTCAGCGTGATGTTAAAGGTACATATGCTCTAGGTTTTGCCTATCTAATTTCAAGGCTGCAGAAGACAAAGGGCTTGTATTTTCCAACTCTTTTTACTATTGTCAAATAAAATGCAATGTTAATATCATTTGATATAACCCCAATATTCTGACTTGATCAAAAAAGAGGGAAAACAGGTTTTTGATAAATATATTTAAGTTGATATTCAGTGTTATAAACATTATTTTAGGTGAGGCAAATGTAGGTATAACAGAGATTCTGCCACCAGTGGATTTGGATATCGCGGATATGCTTCCTCCAGATGACTTAATAATGAGCACACTCCACACATCAACCACGACAGACCTCCCAGCACTGAAGAAGACGAGGAATGGATTAGTGGAGCGTAAAGACAGCAGCGGGAGTGACTCCTCACATTCGCAGTCAGTGACTAGCTACAGCCTTGTCAGTAACTATAGCAACTACAGTATGACAGAGTCTATGCTGGAAAGCACCGTATGTATGATCAGTGACTTAGTATTTTGTATTATAATTTTTTATTACATTGTGTCAAGTTAAGTAACACCAGGGACAAAAATGTCTGACTTTATGGTTTGTATTGTTCACTTCAGATTTAGTTTAATATATAGTCCTTTTAAAATAAGATTTCCTCTCTGTTCTCAGGAAGACTTATTTTGGGGGTAAAATAGTAGTATTTGCGTCTATTTTGAAGGAAAAATTCACAAAATTTTCATTTCATGTTTACCACTCTATCAATATTTGAACATGTTAACAACATATCTTTGGTGTTTACATATTATTCTCTAAAATTCACTTGAAATTGAACTATTTTATATGGCAAGAGGGGGCGGGATAACATAAAAGTGTTTTATTATGCATGTTGGTTAAAATTATTTTAAACTTTCTTTTATTCAAATATTTCTAAGATTATTAATGTAAAATCTAGGTGGAGACAATCTCACTAGTTGTGTGACAATGAATGCTGAATCAGAGATGGATTGTGATAAGACACAATCATTTTATATAGATCTTAAATTACATGGAAAATAGATAGCATGGACAACTGATACTGTAAAATCGTTCATTTTTGTTCGGAATTTTCATTGATTTTTGGGTACTCTAAATTCAAATGTCCATGGACTGTTGAAAAAAGTGTGTTTTATTGAACTGTGCATATCTAGAAATAAAGTTTCCATGAAGTAGCTATTTTTTAAAAACTGCAAAAATTGAGTTTCACCAAACAATTTTCAAAAATGAAAATAATATAGGAATATTAGAATTAGAAAGCAGGACATGCAAGACATGATTCTTGTCTTGATATAAAAGAATAACTCTTCACTTTTGTCATTAACCTTGTCCTTAAATAAGCTTCAAGTATCATGAATGTAAGAATGATATTTCTATTTGTTTACTGATGCTGTTTGTAGCGAAGAGAAGTAGATGGCCCACTTACAGTAAAGAAAGTATGCTTATTGCTGGATATACCCAGCTTTAGATGGTTGGAATTCCATGTGATTACTGACCGTTGTAGCATTCTCCCAGGAGAGGTAGGATATGTATTGTTGTTTGTGTATCATGTTCGATTTTAATGTAATTTTTCCTCAGATTAGTGTAGCGTATTTTTTCTTTTTAAATATATTTTGTATAAATAATCTTTAGAAAAAACATGATCATTTTCTTGTTTACCTCACCCGAAGAACCAAGTGAGCTATAGGGAGACCATGACATCAGGCATCTGTCAACTTTTGCTATATATTGCTTGGTCTGAAGCATCTATAGGGAAAGGCAAACTAATTTTTTGTAAATGGTGGGTCTGATCTTACCAGGGCCTGAGGGTCGGGGCACAATAGAGAAAACCTATCAATTTCTTTAAAATCTATCTTGTTCTTTAGGAATGGAAATCAGTTTTGTATGCTTAGATAGTCAGCATTATTCATAGTGATCAATCGCAACAAAAATAACATAAGATAATGAAAAATTGTTTTCCAGCAAGTGGATACATCCGACCTGAGGAATGTGTTAAAAGCCTGTGCAGTACAGAGTCCCTTTTACCTGGTCCATTTCCACATCTATACCCAGGCAGTTAGACAATCTGACCTGTAAGTATACAGTATCACTCTTCTACCTGGTCACTTTCACATCTATATCCATGTAATTAGACAGACTGACCTGTACACTCCCACATCTATACCTAGGAAGTCAGACAGGCTGTACACTCCCACATCTATACCTAGGCAGTCAGACAGGCTGTACACTCCCACATCTATACCTAGGCAGGCAGACAGGCTGTACACTCCCACATCTATACCAAGGCAGTTAGACAGGCTGTACACTCCCACATCTATACCTAGGCAGTCAGACAGGCTGTACACCCCCACATCTATACCAAGGCAGTCAGACAGGCTGTACACTCCCACATCTATACCAAGGCAGTTAGACAGGCTGTACACTACCACATCTATACCTAGGCAGTCAGACAGGCTGTACACTCCCACATCTATACCAAGGCAGTTAGACAGGCTGTACACTCCCACATCTGTACCTAGGCAGTCAGACAGGCTGTACACTCCCACATCTATACCTAGGCAGTCAGACAGGCTGTACACTCCCACATCTATACCTAGGCAGTCAGACAGGCTGTACACTTCCACATCTATACCTAGGCAGTCAGACAGGCTGTACACTCCCACATCTATACCTAGGCAGTCAGACAGGCTGTACACTCCCACATCTATACCTAGGCAGTCAGACAGGCTGTACACTCCCACATCTATACCTAGGCAGTCAGACAGGCTGTACACTCCCACATCTATACCTAGGCAGTTAGACTGGCTCTACATCCCCACATCTATACCTAGGCAGTTAGACAGGCTGTACACTCCCACATCTATACCTAGGCAGTTAGACTGGCTCTACATCCCCACATCTATACCTAGGCAGTTAGACAGGCTGTACACTCCCACATCTATTCCTAGGCAGTTAGACAAACTTACCTGTACTCTCAGAAGTCTGGCAACCCTGACTGTTATACAAATTGATTCCTTAGTATTAAGTGTCCCTCCATCTATTCACAAACTAACTAGCAGTAGAAAGATAGTATACTTCAGTCAAAATATTTCTTAGCCAGTTTACTTAATTCAAAATATTTCTTTGCGAATGAAACTTTCAAGTTTACATATTTCAACATCAGTTGTATTGTTTAACAGGAAAAGAGACAAGGCAGAAGAACTTGACAATCTGTTTACGCAGGAGGAGAGCAAACCTAACCTGTTCAAGGCTGTAGAACAGAGCACAGAACAGCAAGTGAGAAACATTTGTTTTCTGTCCACAAGGCAAAACGCAACCAAGTATTTTATAGCAACTTTAAACTTTTCATCTGTGTTAAATTTCAACTTTGATGAAACTTTACCCATATCCCAATACAATGGTAACAGTAGACATGCATAATTTCTGATTTTATATTTGGCAAGTCACAGAGGTGTAAAAAAAAAATAGAGGTGTTCTAGTTGAATGCCTATGCATACACATAATGTATGTTATGTGAATGGCCGATAATTTTACCAACAGCTACTGTGAGCTAAACATTGGAATACACTTCAAGATGTCCTCACTTAAATGCTTACACAAGTTCTCTTGTCACAGCACCAAAAATGTCTATGCTTTTACCTTTAGAGAAAAATTCTGCGAGAGAAAGTGCTAGCCTGTTCCAAAGTGAGCTCATTACTTGGCAAAACAGAATGGAAGAATGTACAGACGCAGGCTACTGTCCAGTACAGAGAGACCCTGCAAGATCAATACAGTCGTCTACAGAGCCAGTCTTCTGACGTTAGCACTGCACTTCAACAGTCTCAGGGACTTATCACAACTTTAGACACAGGTTTGACTACTGTGAATTGTATGTAATGTCATATATGTACCAAAACAGTCTCAGGGACTTCTCACAGCTTTAGTCACAGGTTTAATGGCCTTAGTCTACACTATAATGTACATATGTGTAGTGATGAGTGTGGTTCAAGATATTTGGAATCAATTTGTTGTTTTTTGTCATTCCAATATCTCTTACCTTTCTAAAGAGGAAAATTGTCATTAGTGCATCAAAGAATTCATATTCACTGGATGTATTTGGATGCTTAACTTGTTAAAATATTGACAATGCCTTTTGTGTTTTTCATGGATTTCAATTAAGATAATTTTATTTTAACTTTCAATGAGTTTTTGACATACAAAGAAAGTTGTAAAATGTTTTTACAAAAGTCAGCCTTTTAACACCTCTTAAATATAAAGTCACTACCACAATGTAAAGGAGCTTTAATGTGAGTTGTGTTATTTTACTTCAGTGTTGTCAGATTTAGATGCTGAGTCAGCAAATCTTGAGGACTCTAAACTTCCTTCTGAAGAGGAAATTCAACAATGGAATCTGGCACAACAGGAGTTTTCTGTTAAAGAAGCAGGTTTGTGTAACATTATCAGTCTTTAAAGAACATGATGTATTGATGTCCCTTGAAAATGCTCATAGAGGATATTTTTACTTAGATATCTTAACTTAGATTTATTATGGCTTGAAAATCTTATCATTGATTTATTACTTTTTGTTCAGAAGATGTTCGGACTTTTCACACAATCAAATATCATCCTGTTCGAGAAAAGAAAAAAAACACAAATTTTACACCAGTTGTAAGAACTTAGCAGGCTGTGTTGCATTGTATAGATAAACTCTAGTGCTTTATGTATGAATATTTGTACAATGTATTTATCTTTATAATCGTAATTATCTTGCAGATCTTAAGCACCAAGAAGAGGAACAGACCAAACTTGCAAGGTAGAAAGCTGTTGTTACCAGTGTTTCAAACCTCAAGTAAATGGAATGGGTATATAGTGGTCGCTTTGATCATTGTTCCATCAGTTAGTGCATGAAAAGATCAGCTAATGTAGTCCCTTAGATGCTTAGAACTGACCTATTTAACTGTTAAACAAAATATCCAGATACAAGTTTTGGTTTGGGTGTTAAGATCAAGATAGAGAAAAAAGCAAAAGGACTTTGTATGATTTTGACCTTTTTTGGCTTAAATTCATCAAATTTTAAAACCAAATTAGGTAATGATTAGGCAAATGTAAATATTTTGTCAATTTTGGACTTGTTTTGCATGGTACTGCAATATATATTATAATACTATATATTTTTCCAGAAAAATAAAACAAAATTAACCGAATATTCAGATTTTAACAACAGTTGACTTCTATGTCTAAAATAGCTGAACAGTTAAATCAATATCACTACAGTAGTATCAGGTAAGAATTCTAGATTTGAAATGCAATGATTTGATAAGTTAATTATGGGTTTTAAAATTTGATGGATTGGAGAGCCAGAAGCATTGTGTAATTAATCACTTGATGGTGATTTGTAGTGAACGGGACAATATCCATTCAGAATTGGCTATACTCAAGGACCGAGATCATCTGTTAGTTAATGAGCTGAGGCAAGACGCAAAGCAGGTATTAGAGAATTTGAAGTTTGAGAAGTTAGAAGTCAGGGAGGATCTGGATTGGATGAAAAGGTAAGATGAGAATCAGCTTTGTTTCATAGCAGTCCCTGGGTGTATTCAGTGGAGATCTTTAAATCCTTTAAAATATCCTTAAACAGTGAATAGAGGTTAATCTTTAAAAGCCCCTCTCCTGTTTGAAATATGTGATTTAGAGAAAAATTCATTTAGAGCTCCTTTGGGTCAAGAGAGGGCAATTTTATGTCAATTAAGTGTGACCTGAAAGGTACATGGGTGAAATCAAGTATATGGGAGAAATTGAAACATATCAAGGGTATTGACCAAAGTTGGTTTTTCTTTTGTTGGGATTCCTCTCCTTCCCCAATCTTTGGGGTCAAAGAGTGAGAACAGAAGTGAGTGGTTTTGTTGTGTAGTAGTATCTCCTTTGCCATTCAACTAGGCAAGCTTGGTTTGATTCCCCTGTTGGATTAGAAAAGGAGTCACTGCTTGACCACATTGGTTTTTCCTAGGTACTTCTGAATTGGTTTCCAGCCAGGCCAACAGTTCATTGGTATATAATTTTATAAATTTTAAACTTCTACAAAATCAATCAAGTTTGTACATATATTGTGTTAAAAATGAATCTTGAAGAAAAAGGAATTCTTAAAATCCCATTTCAGGGAAAGGGATTTTGACCAAATTCGGTTCAATACAGTACAGGTACTCAGTTAAATGTATTTGTTTTTGCAATGAATGGGATATTGCTACTGTGAACAAAAACGTTTTATTAAGATGTCAGAAATATCAATCCAGGTGAGCAATGCAGGCTCCAATGGCCTCGTCTCTAATAAAAAGTTATGAAAAAGAAGTGAAATTCTGACATATTGCACCAATGTATTCTAGATGCCTAGAGTGGAGACCTGACCGCTGTGAGAAGGAGGCCGTATCCTATCTATTTTATGATGACTCCCTCCTGTTAGAAACTACACTGGATACCAGTCATCATCGCCGCCTTCAGTCAGCCAAGCTCACATCCACACTTACAGACCTTCCATCCAAACCAATCAGCCACTTTGGTAGGTAATGCACTACCAACCAGCCTCCCATTTTCCTTATCCTTTGTAATGAGCAGCTGTCATTTCTTTGGATCTCCTTTCTCCCAAATACTTCGGATACAGTAAAATCTGTTTCAGTTCAATGAAGCAAGAGGAACATTTTGCATCTGCCAAATCTGCCTATAATGCACAATCCATTTGATCTAAAACACTGCTGTCAATCTCAAAACAGTTAGATTATATAAACATTAGATATGATATGTACATATATCCATGGTTTTTGATATTACTGCCAAAATGTGTTACTATACTTAAAATAAGTAGAATGATTTGATTAGAATATGAACGATGTCACCATAAATAAGACTGATTGCCAATACTTGAAAACCGAACTGAAATCAGTGATTCAAAAATTTATTAATGATTGGTTTACATCTTTTCATACAAAAATTAGAATCATATATATATATATAAATCTAGAATTACAGAATGTTGATTTCCTGTTGCAGCTGACAAATCAAAAGAAATCATGGCCCTGATGCATCGTCTAATAATTCATAGTATCAAGGAGCAAAACATACTGACAAAGTATATAGGAACGCCTCTAGAGGAACAATATAAGGTAAGGAGCAAAACATACTGACAAAGTATATAGGAACGCCTCTAGAGGAACAATATAAGGTAAGGAGCAAAACATACCGACAAAGTATATAGGAACGCCTCTAGAGGAACAATATAAGGTAAGGAGCAAAACATACTGACAAAGTATATAGGAACGCCTCTTAAGGAACAATACAAGGTATCTGTCCTCTGTATTCCTAGTTTTTGTATCGAACACATAGCATATATTATAGTTTAAGAATATTTGAATATTTTACCTGTTGTTACTTTTTAAGCTGCCACCATTTTATGGGCAGATGGAATGATTATAGAAATGTACCATGTCAATCTGTCCTTTCCCATCCCATCCTGTTCCAAATTAACATATCCTGAGAACGTCTCGGCACAATTGGCACAATCACTTCATAGTATTCTAACATTAAGTTTTACAACTGATCATTTTTTGGTTTTATATGAGCTATGGAATTTCTTTCTTTTAACATTTTAATATTTTGTTGTTTAAATAATCTGTGAATGTATTTCACGACAGATATTTTTACCACTGTTGTCACCATTGCTTGATTTCTATGTAAGTCACCCTTGGTTGTATACGTGACACAGAAAGTTAGGATCATAAATATATGTAATATTTTTTGCCATCAAAATAAATGAAGCTTGACACTCTTTGACCACTTTTTTATCACAAATGTATGCACAGAATAATTTTCAGAAACATTTTGCCATGCAACCTACAGTAAATGTGCAGCAAGACATCATGTAACACATGGTTAAAATCAAACTGTCACTTGTGTTTTTATTGAAAGTCTGTGTGTCAATTAACAAATTCTGTTTCTTCTGGATGTCCTGTCAGGTTGCATAATGTTTTGAACATTTGTTAGCATGAGACTTCACATAACCTTCAAGCAGAAACTATCCAGTGTATGAACTAGCCTAGTCTTTCACATGACCTGAACCTGATCTAATATGCATGCGACATGTTACAACACATTACCGATCGTCTGCAGCTTCCTGTCAACCAACAGGAGCTTGCTGATTCTCTTCATCAAAAATGGCCATGAATTCTACAAACAGCTATATGGCACATGATTTGGAGCATACCAAGGGGATGTCATGTCATTGGGGCTATTGGGGGACACATTCACTATTGCTATTGTACCCACTTAAGCATTTTGAATTTTCAGCACCATTGGGACTTTGTTTGGAAGGGTTATGAATTAATAATATACAACACTCTTGAATGAAGTTGACTCAAAGTGGGTCAAAATTATTTTCTTATTGTTTGACGTCACTCTTATATTATATTAAAATTGTTTTTGCCCTTTGTTAAAAGTAAATTTACCTTTAAAAAGTGATCCTTAACTTTTTGTGCCTAGTGTATTTCACCTATAATCACCACACTTGGTGCCCTTCTTAATGAAGTGCCATTTGCAGAAATCTTGAAGGTCTCAATCAGCAATTTAATTTTCATCCGATCTCTGTTAAACCAGACATGCTTTATTGTGATGACAATGTGAAGTTGTGTGACATTCTTATCAAGCAATTTTTGTCATATTTCCATATTTGTATCCATTTTAAAACCAAATATTTATTTGGCATTTGGCAGGTGTTCATCATTCCTTGCAGTAATTCTCTTACTGATCCTTCTCCCAAAGCAATAAAATATTCATGACAATTTTCTCTTAATTGATCAGTAAAATCACAACATTATGACATACACATATTTTATGATTTCATCACTGATTCAGATACTTGAATCTACATGTTTTCACAAAAACAAAGCTGTTCTTGAGAAAGCTGTTGATGACGCTAAAACTATGGACAAATTTGAGATATTTGTGTCTTTTCAGTTCCTGAGGGCTGTGTCAATGGTTGTGTGTACAGGTCGAAGCTTGGCCCAGGAGATTACCAGAATAGAATTCAACAACTGGATGACAATACAAGAACAAGGGTATGCAATTCAATTTATCATCTAAAGTATGAGTGGGGAAAAAAACAAATATCCATGAAATCTATGCCTCTTTCACATGATTTAGTTTTCTTATTTAGCTACGGTAAATTTTAAATTAAAAGCCTGTTCTGATGAAAAACTTGCATCAGACACATATTTACTTCAGATATTAAATACATCCTATGTTGCTTCAACATGCAGGCTGTCAGTGGAATTCTGGTGTGAAGAAGCAGGAAGGAAAATCGATGTAGATTTTGATCTCAAACTGAAGTACCGGGATTACAGTGTGTCGCCCACTGTAAGAGTGGATATTGGCAAATTCAGGTAGCATAACCTTTTTACTTTCTCGATATTTCAAACCTATTTCAGATTGATGAATTTGTGTATCACATCATCACATTCTTACATCAAAGGTTTAATGAAGTGGTTTTTGTGGTTTTCTGAATGTGAATAAGTGGTTATCCTGATAAATGTTGCTATCAATGGCTGCAGCTATTGTTACCTAAAATTATTTAGCTGTAATGACAAACTTGGACCAACTTTCTTTAGTCTTGACAAAAGTGTAAACCAGAAAAGTTAAGCTACAACAGAAGTTTCATGATACATATATACACTTCTGATTCGAACCCAACAAAATTAGAAAACATCTATGTATAGTATCTAACTACTGTTGAACGAGGTTTTAAGAGTTTCATTGTTATAAATGTCACATGGCTATTTTTATGGAGAAATTCTAGTTCATTGATAATGATTTAACTTTTGCTCCACAGACCTGAAGATGTTTTGAGGCAGATGAGTGTAGTTCCACACATGGGAACAAGATATTTCGAAAGGCTTTGTAAAACCATTGACCTTAATGACACGACAGTTGTCCCAGAGACAGATTGCTGTTCATGACATGGGTGTTGTTAAAATTGGACAGTAGGTTAGTCTTCACTATTGCAGAGACTAAATTGAAAGCAGCACTCTATATCAATCATCTCTTAATGCTAAAAATTTCAATTATTTATAAAAGTTTTTACATCAACCACAAAGTTTTATAATGCATTTGTATAACATTATATCCAGGAAACAAGCACCAATTGTTTAATTGTCACTTTTCCAAGTATTCTGTTAAAAATTGTGATTCTGTGAAAGAATACTTGTGCATTGGCACTCATTCTTCTGGTAAATAAATGCAGTTGCGATTGTAAATGTGGTACATTAAATACCAATATACCAAGTTATTTTACAGTGAATGAAAATCTCAGAAAATGTATTCTGTTAACTCAAAACATTTGTGGGGTTTTTATTTTCATTGATAAAGATAGTATTCTTAATCCATTGTTTTATATGTTCATGAAAAATTTTAATTAGTGTAGGTAGATTCATAGACTATAATTACCCATGAAATCAAGTGTCCTCAAAATAGTGATTTTTTCAAAATCCATGAAATTCAGTCGCACAAACATAGATGATTTTATAGTATTGTATGCTTGTAAACATGGTAAACAATGTATAGACCTGCTTTCTTGCTTACTACATGTATGTTCTGCAAAAATAGATCGCCAATTACAATTTTGTTGTCACAAATAAAATAAAATAATAGCCCTGCGAAAGTAAAATAAATTGTCTTGTACACATGTCGCAAAAATGTGAAAAGAATATAACAATACTTTGCAGAATTTTAATTTCATATTAAATCAGTAATACATCGTATACGCACATTTGATACATTATTCGATCCTCTAATATTATTAAAACCCAAAACTTTGTTAACATCCATTTATTTACTTTACATTGTGACAATGTATAAAAGCTATGAACATGAATTATGTAAAAGAAAGATGTTCTCTATATTCTACTGTTGTATTATAAAATCAGAATGTAAAAGCTGGAAACTTGTATCTTAACATTTCAGTAATTAAAAAAGATATCTGATTATCTTCGCAAGTATTTTGGTATATGTTTGATATTTTTTGTTGTGTATTTTTATTTAAGAAAATCATGTACACAACTGATTATTTGTATTAAATCCACAAATATATATCTTCAGTGTCTTCCTTTCATTTGTTCAAATACTACCTGAAGGAAAAAGGTTAGGATTCCAGCCACATACAAGTGTCAAAGTATACAGGTTGTGTTCAAACATTTTCCAAGTACTGAATTCATTTGATCACACAGATTTACTTTGTTCAGCACAATCATTAATACATTCACATGAATTCCTTTCAACAGGCTGAACCAGAAAAAGTTATTTATGAATGTCAACTAAAGATGAGCAAAGTACTAATCCTAACGTTAACCACTATAATTTTACCTGAACACGTTTATTCTCACAACTGGACCTGGATACATTAAACCTCACACACAAGAAAAATTTATCACGCATATTGATGTTAAATAATCCTTCGCAACATATACTCCTTCACCATGTATACTTCGTACATGGTGATAATTGTAACTTAAGTCACAACATGAACTTCTTCACTATGAACATGTTTACTCCACACATGCTAATAACTAGCCTTTGGCCACTGTCGTGTAACCTGGTTGAAATGCTTCAGGTGGTTTGGAATTATTCCACGATTCACAAATGCACATGTACCGGATGTTGGGACTGATATATGTATCACTTAAAATGTATAGTTTCTGAATTACCTGACGAGCATAAAACAATAAACTAAAAATAAAATACCATGCATTTAACTTATATGTTAATGCTTAAAGAAATATGTGCTTTATGCTGAAAAATAGTGATGTTCAGCAAGTTAGTTTCATACAGGTACAACAGGACTCCTCGATCTACACATGGCAAACATTCTGCAGTCAAGCCTTGGTCATGATCTGTACCTAGTATTTTTCTTGTAGTTTTAACTCATCAAAGCATTTCAACCACTTGCACGAAAGCAACCTTAGTCACACAGTTTCTTCTTCACCACAAATGTGTATTTCAGCCAAACTGAGGTGTCATTCATGTATGTTAAACAGATGTATACCTGCGGTTATTGTATAATACAAAATGTCACATTTCCACAAGAACATTTAAAACAAAAAATGAAAAGTGATTTCTTCAGTATCTTCATAAACAATGATTGACGACAGTTTATATCATTTGGTCTTTCCAGATCTTTTACATCACAATGGCAACATGGAGATGGGGTGAGATGATCATTGACAAGGATTTACCTGAAAAAATAATAGGATAACAGGCAACGTTAGCATGTTTTAACTCTAATTTCTTTTTCTGGAGACCTCAGAAATATCCAGGAACTAGCAAAGGCAGATAATTCAAACCAAATGACTTATTTTTCATGCTGGGATTTGCTGTTCATCACATCCCAGTCTGTTCAAAATCAATGTGATATTTTGTGTTTGGTTCATATTTACCCAATTGTGTCAAGTTCTAATCCTTATAATATTGAGGTGGTCATCAGTCAATGTTAAAGGTCACACAACTTCTAAAAATTCACCATACAATGATACTGGAGTGAAATGGGCCTTCCTTGCAATATGTCCTATAAATACAGAGTTTCTCTAGGGAAGGTCAGCCATTTCCTTATGCTACCATGAGATCCTTTGCTAGTCAGTCTACAGTTTAGTACATCACTGAACACCGGATTTTACAGCTCTGCTCACTGACGTACTTGTAGACCATAATAGCATGGGAGTTGTGACATTCAGGTCTTGAAGAACTTTTTTTTTCCATCTTTCATGGCATCATGCAAACAAAATCCATTATAATAATTCTCTCCTGTGAATGGTATATTTGCAAGATTTTTCACTTTTCTTAGAAACTATAAATAATGGAGATCTAAAACACACCAATGGCCACCACTATCCTTGTTGACTTGTGACCTTTGACCCAGTCTTCTGTATCAAACTTTATTTAATAATGATTGATTTTTTCCCCTCAGATACATCAATATTTCAAGAACATTAAATATCTAGATGTTACCTTCAAGGTTTTCCCCAAATCAATATTTCATGAACTTTATTTCAAATATTTACCCATGTCATGCATCTATGAGTGTAATCAAATGTTACAGGATATAAACAGAAAAACTTGATGTAAAGGTGATTAACAACTTTGAAATATTTACCTTTGAACACAGATTCGTTGGACAAGACATTAACATGTCTTTGAGAAGACTGGGGAATGAACAACTGGCGTCGAAGTGATGAACATTCTTTATGACCTGGCTTCCATTCTTGTCTGGAAATGTAAACAAAACCGGAGTTTGCTTTAATACATATCAAACATACAAAATGACACAGAGAACTATTAAATTTGCAGCCTAATTGCCAGACAGCAACATTGTGAAGTGACAATAAAATTTAACAATTGTTTTAAGAGTTGGCAGAGAAACTCTTATAGCCTTTTACAATATCAGCATTTAATCAGCTTCAGTAGACTACATTATTATTATTTCAAGGCTTCAACGATATGAAGTTATTTTCTTTTGCATGCTAATGGTTTTGGCTGTGTAGGAATAAGAGTGCATGATAGATTATGAAATACTAAAATCATGGCATTTCATTTATATTATATGAATCACACAGAAAACAAAGTAAATATGACAAATCTTACAGGCTAATTACCTTCTGATATTCATTTCATCGACCTCTGTCAGGCAGTCCGCACTTAAAGTGTCAAATCCTCCTGAGAATGGAAATGCAATACACACTGATCAGTTAAGGTAATTAACTCTGTAATGGTCCATGCCCATCCCCTATTTTTCACTACAATGACATATATTGGGGATATATACCCACCCCTTACTGTTTCAAAGGCCTGAATATCAATCCTATATCAATAAGTTAATATTTTTCCCATTGTTGCATTTATAAGTGACTAAAAGAGATACATTTACCAAAACAAACTGACATTCTGATGTTTCATTTCATTGAAAAACTATCTTTTTTCCCCCCAAGCATAAAACAATGACATCTGTCCACAATACCCTTCACTGTACCCTCTGCATATATAAAAGTAGTACCTGTGGTTAAACTCCAGCTGAAGCAGAAGCTGGTCTGGTATAATTTGACAGCTTGTCTGGGGAAAGAAACAATAGTTAGTTTATAGACATTCATTTCTAACCTTTTTTCTGTAGAACTGCTGAAAAAGAATAACAATACAATGACACATTAAAAATAACTAGATTTGTAGGTATATATACACTGCCTCCATTAAAATAGAGGTAAGCACGAAAGTTATGACAACATGTACCTACAACTGAACTTTTTAACATCAATATCAGACAAAAATTCTTGTGTTTAAAGCCTATGGTATTATACCTGTAATCCAGAATCCACCAGTGAGTCTCTTGTGACACAACAACTTGTCAATTCATAATTTTTTCAAAAAATTCTAATTTCAGCTAGACCTGAATGCTATAGATTTACACACTGAAAACAGGACACAGCTGTTGAAAATTTAATTAAATTGACTTGCCTTCTTTTCCTCTTCGGATTGTCAGATTCTTCCCTTGCATGTATGAGGACAAAAACTTTGCCAATGACTGCATTAGTGTCTGGACATACCTATGAGAACATAAGGTAGCATACAGATGTATAGTGTTTACAAACAGCACTTACACAGAGATCTGTGGTAAACATCAATAGCATATAGATTCATGGCGTTTACAAACATTAATAACATTAAGATTTGTGGTGTTTACAAACATCAATAGCAAAAATATTTGTGGTGTTCTGTACATCAACATCAACACCTCAAAGATCTTTAAATATTATATTACCAAAAGTTCAATCAAATTTCAGGGAGATGGATTTCCTTGCACCACATTAGCAACAAATTCTTATCACATTTAAAAAACATAAATATATTCACTTCATTATATTAAAGTCATTTAAAAAAAAAAAAATAATAGTGGAAATGACAAATAACAATAAAGGGTGTTTATATATATATATATATGCCGATTTTGTAGCAATGGTTTGGCTGAAAGTTAAACAAAGTTATAAAGCAATACAAAAGAATTTGAAAACTTGTAATATTTTGATTACTGCAGATGGGTACAGGGGAACCTCACATCAAGTATCTGTAGATCATAGTTGGTGAAGGCCACATATCGGTGTCCCCAGCTGGCGGTGTGACCAATGATTTCTTCCAGGTAGTGTTCTACATCAAATGTCATCTGTGTGATCCGAAGGCCCTCCTACAATGTACAGCAAGTAGAAAATGCACTTGGAAATCACATTACATTGTCATTATCTTATTTCCATGTAATGCCTACTAAATTCTCATAATATTTCAGAGCAAATTAAACAAAAAAAAAAAAACAAAAAAACAACAAGGTTTTCTAAAGATGCACTGAACAAAGTTTTAGAAATGTCATATTTTAACAAATATGTTTTCTTTTCTAACTTTCCATGTGATGTTTTCTATTCCTTTTAAGGATATTCAGGCCCTCTGTGCTTTCCATTGATGGGAAACTTTTCTACTACTTACATTACATGTCGTTTTAATTCTGCAATAAGTCCAGGTAACCTATTGTTATGGGCTTATTTCCTGAATAAATGAAGTCTTCAGTATACATACAACAATCTATTTCATGCTGGTCATTTCTAGTTACTTTTAAACCTACCTGACAATGGTCAAGAGGAAGAGCTGGACACATTGGGTGGTTATCTCCAGCCACTACTTCAATAGGTAAGACACTACGGTAAGCAAGGTCAAGATCATCTAAAAATGATAGGATAACACTGTATCTAAAAAGGATGCAACCTAGAATTAACAATAAGATTTTCATACACAAATGACACAACACGACTGAACACTATACCATGTCTATACAGAGAAGCAATGTTGATGAAATTAAGTAAAATCCCTTCAAAAGTTATTTTAGCAGTCTTAATCATACCACAACCTATCTACAGGAGTATCCAAGATATTTAAGGCCGACAAACTATATGAATGGGTATCAAATATCTGTAAGTCTAACAGCCTATCTGACTAAATGCAAACCTTTGCAAAGCCCACAGCCTTTCTTAGAGAGTGCCAACATCTGTGAAACCCATGAGCAATATGGTGTTCAGATCAGTACCTGAATGATTAAGATACTTTTGTAACACTCACAGCCTATCCCGCTACCCAGCATTTGTAAGATACATGGCTGACCTGATTGAGGGCCCAACAGTAAGTCACACTACAGCCTACCTGAATGATTACCTAACATTCATAAATCATAAAGCCTATCTGATTGTACAGAATGTTTGCAAGACATATTGCCACCTGACAATTAAACATTCATAAGACCCACAGCCTATACCAGTGCACAACATTTTTAAGACGTGACCTATCTGACTGAGTACTCACAACACTTCTAAGGCCTGCATCCTACTGGATTGAAAATCCAATGCCTTTTAAAACAGCTCACATGACTGAGTTTGGATCCCAAAATTAAAGACCTTTCTATACAAAATATAAATAAATTTAAATACAATACTTATTCAACTACCCACCATCAGTAGGAACATTCCGATCTTGGTCACCAGGTATATTCATCTGTGTAAACGTACGCACCATGTAAGATACGGTTTTTGATTCATTTGTCTGTAGGTAGATACTGTCTGTGCTGCGTGAGGTACCACTGCTGATGGAAGGTGACCAGAATGACCTTTGTGACCCCACAAGAGGAGTCCCAACAGGGTTACATGTTCCTGAGAGTATTATTTTGTTATTCTGAGGTGTGCCTGTTACATTAGTGTTACTACTACTCAATCCCACACGGTTTCCAATATTAGGTGTTGTGTTCCCTGATCGACCACCATGAGTCACCCCTAGGACCGAGGGGGCCCCACAGGCTGGACAACACCCATCTGCCAACACAGCTATGCCTTTACTATCCACTACATTGGCACGGGGACTGGTTCGGGGAGTACAGTTGTTGATGCTAGAGTTATCAGACTTTGGGGACATCACATTTTTAATATCCGATGTATTGTTTGCTGCATTGTCCATTTTTGGTGACATTACATTCTTATAATCAACATTCTGTTGTTGCTGGTAAGAATTCCTACTGATGCTGCGATCTCGTCGACTTGGTCCTATAGATGGTGACTCGCATGAAAAGTCAAAACAGTCTGGAGAATTGGCATCACAAATATTTCCATTTTTCCTTTCCAGGTCGTGACAGTCAACATGTTTATCTCCAGCACTGGCTTTGGGTGACCACCCATGAAACTCACTATTCCAATCACCACAACTTGACCTTGGTGATTTTCCCTGGTGTTCATTGTACCAGTCCGCAGCAGGGCTTGGCTTTGGAGAACGTCCCTGGAAATCGGAATGTCCTGGACTAGGTTTAGGAGATCGTTGTTTAAAATAATCTTTTAAAGTATGTTTTTTGACATTTTCTTTCTGACTATCATCATTCTGCTCCCAATTTTCAGAATCCTGAATTTTAAAACCACATTCACAACACACTTCAGATAAAGTACTTTCTGACCTCAGTAACAAAGGTCGTTCTGTTCCTGAGTTACCTCCCTTAAAATCTCCCTCCATAGTTTTCTTTAGACAAAGAACTTCATTTGCTGCTAAGTCAGTGCTGTTTCCTATAGCCACATGTAATGCAATAATTGAGTCACCAGTATTTACTACAGCTACACCATTAATTTTAAGCTGAGTTCTTGGTGCGAATGGTGGAAAAGGAGGTGTCAATTCGAACTTAGTGTGAACAGAAAATCCATGTTGAAGACATCTTTTTGGTGATGTTGCTTCTTTTTTACCTAGAACAGAAGTTAAGCCTTTCAAAAATCTTTTACCATTTGTAGTGATAAAGAAAATACAGCAAAAATAACAACATAGCTGAATTTGTAACATAAATATTCAATACTGGAAAATCATTAATTTTTGTGGACAATTAACTGTAAATGATTTTATCCACAAATCAATAAATTGTAGAAATCCATGTTAGAAGATAGTGCTACCCCTCCACTAATCTAGTTACCTGATATAATTACAGCCTGTTTTAAAGCAAGAAACATGAATACATGATGCATTTCCTTAACTTAACAAACTCAATGCTTTTTAGAAATTCTGCACATTCAACACTTACCTCCAGCACACAATTGTTGGCAGACTAGACAAGTGGCTGTTGCAGGGAAGGATGTGATGGTGAAGTAGCATTGACAGCAACTGTCTGGGTCCTGGCCAGGCAAACTAGAACCATCAAACATTTAATGTATAACACCTACCTAAGGACAGAGCACTTGTACAGCAAGCAAGTCTCAATAACCCAGAAGTAATTTTTCAAAAAATCTTTGTTTCATTTTACTTGATAGTTTATATCTAAGCAGGAAACTCCAAAGCAATAAATATTTTTTTCTAAAGTCCTACCAAAAAAATAAATCTGTGTTATACTGTAAAACGAGAAATTTCAGTGCCCATTTCATAGTAGCGATTTTCACACAGCCATCGAAGCACTAAATATATATGACCCCTAAAATTCCCAAGGTGCTTGAAACAAATCAATGGAAATTGGAAACATTTTATTAACACCTATAATTTGTACAACAGTCCAGTAACGCGATGTCTAATGGCTTGGACAGTCATATTTTTACAACATATCTAATATTCCTGTAGTCTCAAACAACTTAGTTAGGAACTCTCTGTTTTGTGTGATGGTATCATGGGCTATCAAAAGCCACGCAGCATGAATAGGCTACAGTGCTGAGAGACTTAAGTCATTGTTAGTTATGTCAGTGTCACCTTTTGTCATCGTGCCGAGTGAATGAATAACAATGAATACTACCCACGAGTTGTAATGATTTATTCAGTATCTAAGTTGACACATAATGAAAACCAGTGATTCATACCTGTAACTCTGTTTACCTATTTTGACTGCTGAGATTACGCTATAAATAGAACTGGAATTCCCCAATTGCATGACTTCAAAATTTATACCAGTGTGAAATCTAAACTCTGCAAAAAGGTATCGAGACACCAGACCGCTATATATTGACTGTGTCAAATTGAATCATTAAACAGTTGGCAAAGTTGAGGGCTTCTACAGATCTGATAACAAAATAACGACTTATAGCCGTCTTCAGTGTATGACAGTCTCCTACCCTACCCAAAGTGTAAAGTTCCAGAGAAAGGTACTGCAGAAGACTGGGCTCAGACAACTTTGTCGTTATAGGTCTAAGGTAAAGAAGGTCACATTGCCTTACCAAGATAAACCCATACCCAAAGTATGAAGTTCCATTGGTTAGAAGTGTAGGAGATAGAGCCCAAACTTTTTCTTCAATATAGGCCAAAAGTCAGAATATAGGTTAGAGTGACCCACAAACATATATAGTTTCACTGTAAATTGAGAAAACTTGTATCCAAACCCAGAATTTTCATGTGAAACCCATGTTTTTAAGTAAAAATTCATTTTGTGATATTTATTGTAAACCTATAAGTCCTGACTTGTGACCAAAGAAAAGAACTTGGGAGATGTCCTTACTAGTCCAAAGGGTTCTGACTATCTATCCAATTTAAAATTTGACTTGGTCATGGTCAATAGTGATTTCTCCCTACATAAAGGCACCAATTTTGTAACCCATGCCACATCAATGTAAAGATAAAGCATTTTTCTGATAACTTAATATTTGTTAAAGCCATTTAAGGTTGTATACTAAGTATTTCCACTCATTTCCCCCAAAAAATTTTCTTTCCAGCATCTTTACTATGGCTGCCACTACAGATTTAAAGTGGTCCTTACCTGTGACCAAAGACAAGAACTTTGGAGTGGTCCTGTGGCCATTCACAGAAAGATATGAATAGATCCTGAGTCACCTCCTCTTCACCAAATAATTTTACTTCACTAACCTGAAACATTATCACAACACAAAATAAAGCATGCATGAAAAGAACATGTTTTGAATAGTAAATATATACTATCAGGCACATGTCTTCAGAAAATGGTACTTGAAAGCTACTCTCTGCATTTAGATAAGGAATATTCCAACCATTGGGTATAACCTTTCAACAAAGTTTCTTAAGGTGGAATTCCTTTAATCAAATTCAAGTTAACCCAATACACAGTTGCCTACATTGATATATCAGGTATGTATGAAATTAATATCACTGACCTTTCTTAATGGAGAATTAGGGATAAACTTCCACCACTGCAGTGCATAGTTATAGGATGGGAAGCCTAGGTGTTCATCCGACATCATCTGACATGAGTAGGACACCACAAACTGCCCACACTTTGTGAACCCAAGAAACACATGGCTGCAAATTGTTAAAAACAATTATCCATACTGTATTTTAACTTGTTCAAAATGTGTAACCAAATAATATGTCGTCTGTCTCAGCAGGAGAAAATATTAACAGTAGTATTATACCTCACTCATTTGTTCTATCTTCAATCACCAATGACACTTTATATGTTTGTAAGATATTTATATGCAATATTGTTATAATTCTGCAGCAGTATTTTGTTACATAAAGCATCTTATCGGACCAGTGGTGTGTGGATAATGCCATAGTAATCTCATTCAGATAGTCTATGGCATTATCCACACAACATGCCTTCCCACAAACTTTTGGTCCAATAGGAGTGTTTATTGCATTGTTTCAGTTACAAAATGATGCAAAAAAAAATCACTTATTCAATAATATCATCAATTAAGCAGTTCACAAAGGATTAATTTCACTATCTAAAGTTATTCTGCTGGGTAATGAAATCTGGGTACCTGATTTTGTATCTGTGACTGCCCTTTGTAAATATCAAACAGTGCCACAAACTGGTAGTAGGTTGATAAAGTAATAATCACATTTGGTACATTATCAAGCTTATGAGCTTAACATTACCAGTAACGAAATAAAAAGTGCATATAATATTCAATATATATTCATCGTAACATGCTATTTAGGGTTTGATTTCCAGTAAAGTTTCTAAAATTTCACAGCAAGAGAATCTTTACATACCCTTCCTCTAAAATGTCTTGTGAAACAAGTGATTTTAAACGATAACAAAGTCTTGCTGGTATTCGTGAGAATATTCGTTGATGGAATGATCTTCGATGTTTCTGAAAAGCGCCAAATGTCTGAAAAGTGGAGATATATGTATTTAAGTTAAGAGTAAATCTTATCATCGATTACTGCATGAATGTAATTGTTATGAGAGTCACTATGTCTTCCTTAGAACAATACAAACAGTTTCCAAAAAACAGTTGTATAGACAATGACAACTTGAGACAGTTTGGATTTTCACTGGAAAAACCATAAGCTAAAATCCAACCATTTGACCATTTATATTGAGATAATGTCATCCTATTAATTTCCACCAGACTCAAATTGATATTTTCACCTCTGAAACAATCAGTCAACAATAACCATATTACAAGAGAGGGATCCAGTCTAAGACATAGGTGATGTATTACAACAACTTATCATAAATACCTTATAGAACATGTTCAAGAAATAAATATGTATAACAAATTTTCAAAAAATAGCATAATTATGATAAATCTACAATCTTTATACGTCTATTATAATGCTTTATATTGGACAGGCCTAGAAATTTGATGGTCAAATACAAACACTTGGCCTATATTAGTTGTGGAAACTATTCACTTACATTGGGTTTGGGAATAGTGAGTCAGATATTGACTGTTACTATCATTTTCCTATTCTACGTGCATTCAGTCAGTATGGTCATGCGGCAGACTGACAGATACCATTTACGGGAGATTTAGTAAACAGTCTGGCGTGAGGTAGAATTCAAATCAGACAAATTCACATGTTTAATAAATAAATTTCATAAGTATTGTAATGCAAAACTTAGTAGCAACAAGGTATAGTAGTTGTGGAAATAAATATATCATCTTTGTTTCAGTTTACAGCAATAAATCATGATTTTGAACAAAAGGCAGGCTGAAGTACACATGTACTTTTAATCGCCTTCGTAAAATTGAACGATTCTATCGTAATTAGGGGCCAAATAGAATAATCAGTGGGAAAACAATGACAGATAAATGCAATATGCTTGAAAACAGAATATGTTTGTGTAAGTTTACCTCTCTCATATGCAATTTTGCACAAATGTTTTTGTTCAATTTCGCTGCTGACGCCATTTGTTTTCATTTCGCGCTTTGGATTCGTAATCTGACTTCTTTGCAACTTTGCTTTCTCCGTGCATTGCACCAGCTGCATCAAACACATACACGATGAAGATTGATTTTCAGAAATAAAACCAATAACATCGTCATTTATCCGGAAAATGTGTTTTTAGTTATAAACAGTTTTCTTGATAAATCCATATCATATTAAAATTACAATTTCATTTTTGATGCAGTTGTTTGCATCTTTCATTGTGTATGTCTATTTTCATGTAAGAGAGTGACATAAGTGTTTAATTAAATGCAATAATGCCGGATTTTGTGCTACCCGGTTTTGGTTTCTAACTTAGTTTTATTGAACCGGAAGTAGAAATTGCCGGCAAAACCAAAAGAGGGATCATGTTTACCCCACGGGGAACTACAACAAGGTCTAGGGCATCGCCCTTTACCCCCACGCCACAGTCAACACGAAATCAGAGCAAACGAGTCTCGAACATCGGTTTTACACCGAAAGGGAGGGCTTCTAAATATGCATCGAAGTGAGTAAAGCCCTTCAATATAAACTATTCAATGGTCACTGATGGTATTCTGACCCATCAATCATACTATGTTGTAGATATTAAGATAATTCACTATAATTTTGACTTTAAAGAAGTTATTCCATTCATCCACATCCCTGTAACTCGAGCTGAGCTTCCTAGTATTAATAGTCACCCGCCTCTTGAACAGATTTTGTTGCCATTTGGTGTTTTCTCCAGAAATTCAAACAGTGACTGGTCTATTTTTTACTTAGAGTACATAGGATTTTAGTTCCGCTGAAAAAGTTAATTGATTCAGTACCATCTTATACACTCCATACATCATTGCTAATACACTTCACTCTGGTCATTTGTCTGAAGAAGATGACAGTGTTGTCATTGTATGTCACATGTGTAATAAGAACTTGTATTCTGTTGGCATTACCAACCCGAAGAAAATGTTTTGATATAAATCGTAACAAGTTATTAATTATTATGTATATACATGTTTTGATTTAATTTTGTTAAAAAGTAGTGACTTTCAAAGTGACAACAGAACAACCTTTTCTTTTCCTTCACAGAAGCCAAGGTAATCGTAGTTTACAAACATCCCAGATTCTAGAGGAGGCTGGTGGCCATCGTGTTGAGAGCTTTGGACTTCCCCTTCCTGTGCTCATCACAGAGGCATTATCTCTGGCTGACAGTGAGCATTTCTATTGTTTATTTCAGATATCTGTATACAGGAAAGCATTTACCAAGGGTTTTGCATTGATATTTTCATTTTTGCCAAATTGTTTAACTTGCCTGAAAACACAAACAACATACATTTCAGCAAACTTCAGCATACCTTTCAGTGAATCAGACAAAAGTTAATCTGTAGCAAAACTTTCTCTCTATGGATGATTTTTGCACAAGTGATGTAAAGACATTTTACATGGTAATAATTTTATAGTCAGCAAGTCATATCTCTAATTTGATAACCTGTAAATAAGTTTATTCAATGAATATGCAAACAAATTTATTATCATTCTTCTCATACTATTATTTCCTTTGCTTCCAACATGTGAAATTATTTACCTATTCACTTTTTAAAACCAGCATAACATTTAGCCTAGTCATTCTTGTATGAATGGGGCAGTGATCACTCAGTTGGTAAATTGTTGGCATATGTAATGTCAGACTAACATCCAAGGTGTCTTGTTCAACACTCCCTAAACATGATGACTTGTATAATTTCTCAGGAAGCTGAGAAACAGACTAGTCTGTGCTGCCGAGGTTGTGTCCATGGGCTAGGTACTTTGCCTCTAATTGCTTTAGGCAGCATGTGATGGGTATGTAGTATGTTGTTCCATGAGGTAGCCACCGGCTACTGCAGGTGGATTGGCCTCAGACTGTACTCTGCACAATTAACCAAGCAAACAAAGATAATCACATTGATTAGGTTATCTGGCATTAGTGGTACAGAATACTTAACAGATGTTCCTGGATTGTTTAGTTCTATAATGTAACATGTCCATTATTTAACAACTATTTTGATTATTGTACTTTGTTTTTAGGACACACAGAAATTACAGTGAAGATTGATCCTTCTGGATGGGCATGGCTGGTGGGAGGTAGAAAATTGTTCATATGGCGTCATAAACAGTCCCATACTGCCAGGGTAAGGCCTGTCATATTAGCGGGTATATTGTATTCATAGGAAATTGTGTAAATCAACCTGTAGTAACCCCATTATAACAGAAAGTGTTACAGTATGTTATTTTTGTTCTAGTTTGTTTTTTCAAGAAATACCAGTTTTGAATGTTTGGTATTGAAAGTTAGCAGGTAACTTTGTAGGAATTACAACTAATCTTTATCATATTCAAAATGTATACAGATGGTCTGATTTAAATATGGTTCAAAATTATAATTTTATTTCAAAAGAAACTTTAAAATATCTATTTCCTGTGTATAGGGAGTGTTCTGTAAAGAGTTAACCCTCCCTCCCAGCGACCTGGCCCACAATGCTGACCGTGTATGTGTTGTGCCCAGTATCACAGATGCCCAGTCTGCCTCTTGTGTTGCTGTATCACCAGAGGGTATTGTTCGCTATTGGGCTAATGTTGCATATGAAGGATCATCGTCAGAAATAAGTGCAGAATTACGAGGGGAGGAGTGTGCTTCTGTCATCAATTTCCAGGTAAAACAGCAATAAAAGGGAAACTTTTTCGACTATGTCTAGTGAATGACATAATTTCTAGATACATGTCTTCAATTGATTCAAATTATCTTTTTTTGCGTCTTTCTGAATAAAGTAAGATTTATTTGTATCTTCACAGCCATATGGATGTCTTCTGGCCACGACAACAAGCTCCCTTGTTCTTTTGGCTCACATTCCCGGCCAGGTTTGTACTTCAGTTCAGTTCAATGAAATTCACATGGGCATTGCCTATTATAGTTTAAACCAAAGACATATTTTTAAGAGAACTAGACACATCATTCTTTAATCTAAAATTTTATTCTTTGAATTCTATATTCATGGTTTTTCTAGCCATCAAATGATTGTATGAGAGTTTAACTCTATTGTAAACTAAATTGTATGCTACAGTCATTAAATGATTGTATGAGAGTTCAGCTTCTGCTGTACACTAAACCTGCAGTTATCAAAGTTTTGTATGAGAGTTCAGCTCCTATTGTAAACTAAACTGTATACTACAACCATCAGACGTTTGTACATGAGTTCAATCCTGTTAAATAAACCTACATGGAAGAATTTTAACCACTTTCCAAATGTGAATGTGGTATTCAATTTCTATATACAGTAGATCTTCTTCAAACCAACCATGCATGGGACATGAATATTTGGCTGGGTTAAGGAGGGCTCAGTTTGTAGAAGTGAAGCAAGTTGACCAATCGAGACTCGGATATAAATGAACATTATATAAACCATTTTGATTGCTTTCAGCATTTACACTGCACATGTCCAAAAGAATACATAAAAAAGTTCTATAGAGTAAAAATAGTGATACTTGTATGCTATAAGTGACTTTAGGAAATCTAGAAATCTATGCATTGTCCATTGATCTTGGAAGTAACATAACTTTACATACAGCGGGACATAAAATGTTAACCTGGTTCATATGGTCAGTTTGTCCAAAAGTGTTACCAAAGTATATTTGATATATGTTTTTTATTGATCAGTAAAAAAAATTTTAAAGCAATAGTTGATTGATAATTCCATTATAAATGTGTTAAAGTAACATTATAGAATTACTCAGGATTAAGTTGTGAAACTGTGGCTTTCTAACTCTGGATCAGTACTTATTTTCACTTTATCTATCTCTAACCATGTTTTGCTTCGCTGAAAAAATGGACTTGTTCTATCTGGCCTACAAAGCCTACTGTAGACAGTTGTACATGCTTGGGGCACAAAGCTTATAACTGTCCCCACAGGTGTTGATTTCATGGTCTGATGTTCGGTGTTTCAATGTATTTCAATAATTTCTGACACAAAATTGGTTCAGCACTCGGAATTGAGAGGGGCAAGTATTGGGAAGATTTTGATTACTATAATAAAGAGGATGCCATTCAGTACATCACCTTTCTGTTCTGTTTCAAGAGGTGATCAGTTTTGAGAAGGGTCGGTTTGGGAAAGTTGCACTGTATTAAAACTGTTAAAAATATGGGCAGGATTTTGTAAAGAACAGTAAGTGTTAAAATCTAAATAAGAAAAATAACTCCACTTTCAGTTTTCAGAGCTGGTTTTATGTTCACAACTGTTTTACTCACTGTTATTATTTTCAGACTGCCCCTGTGTGTTACCCACTGACGGCCTCCCAAGGAATGTTCGCTGGTATTGGCCGCAGGATGTCATCCTTCATCTTTGGAGCATCACCAATGCAACCTTCAGGCGCAGTAAGTTTTATAAATTGATCACAGTCTATTTTCTTCTGGTAGGATTGTGTATTATCTAAATGATCTTATATTGATGCTCTACCAAATTATTACCGTACTTTATAAACATCCAATAACTTTTATAAATGATTTTCTTTCAGACCCTACAAGCCATTGTACCAGGTAGTGAAGAAGAGGAAGAAAGACCATTTTATGTGCTTACTGGTACCCAGTTTCAAAAATGGACAGTTTCAGAAGGGAATGCAGAAAAGGTATGACTATCAGAACCATCAGACCTGTTATATTACATATTTTTAGGTTGTGTTTTGAGGTTATGCATTAATTCATATTTAATTTATTTAAAAACTACATATTTACTGATGCAAGCAATATCAATAAAAATTGATTTAACTGATATCTATAATAGCATTTATGATTTTTGCAGTTGTTTTACCAAATTGATGTGGATAGAATGTTCAGGGAGTCGTTGGCACGTAAAGTATGGGTAAGTTTTGACTGTTGTTTCAGCCTTAAAATGCATTAAAGTACACCATCCTTTTTTGTATCAATGTCTGGTATTTACCTTTCATTGCCCCAAAATCTTTATATGATTAATTAGTGACTTGAAATAGTATTTTTAATGTGTAGTTTAAGTAATATTTACCAACAGGTATAATGATGGCTATGTAAACATTCTTCTATGTGTTTCTAACTTTCTGATAGCATGTTAATCAGTTTCTGTCCTATGGCATTTTTGTTTCTGTTTCTCACTTACCTGATTATTAATTGTGTTTTTTGTAGGACCAGGACTCCCTACACCTTACTCAACTGAAAACGTGGCTAATTGACATGCAGATCACAAGGTACAAACTCACCATTTCAGAATTTCTGACCAATGGGACAAAGTGTGATAAAATATATATTGAGGTCAAACAATATGATTGTGCTTCTGAACTCTGCTCTGAAAATAGTAGCCTTAGAAAACTGGCCGAAAATTTTCATTCTAATTTTAACTTTGTCCATTTAAGATCAGATGGAACAAAAACAAACTGTTATAGGGTAATTTTCTGGGTTTATTGCCTGTTGGCTGTTTTGTCAGAATATGAGAAAATAAATTTGTAATTTTCAGCAGAAACAGATTTTTGATCGAGAAGTGTCAGTCTGTCTTACTGGTACTCAGTTCTAATTACCAATCCTTAAACATAATTTATGAAGTTCTATAAATATGATTGATTGGTTTCCATCTAATTACTTCCTAAAAAAGAGTTCTTTAAAATCCCAACAAATATTGAAACTCATCTATTTTGACCAAATTTGACACTGTACAAGACTTAAGGCATACAAGTTTGATTACCTCTTTTTATTGGTTAATTATGTGTATAGACAGGAGTACCATTCTGTCTCTGTGTGAGATCTAGTCTGTCATTTGATTTTCATCAGATTATATTTTACAGCAGTGCAACTGGATAGCTAGTACATCAAGCTTCTATTCATGCTGTTTCAATAAATCAGAACAAATGATTGATTTTATAATGAAGAACTATTCCAGTCAAATAGTTATTCCACCCTCAGAACTCCAGATTGTTATCATTTGATTTATAGTAGTTATAGACTGATATTTTGGTGTCCTGTGGGTCAAGTAAATGGTTTACTTGAATAGCTCTTAAGAGCAATACTTTTAAAATTATATTTGCACTTAACTGGAAATGGATATAAATTCCTCAAATGCATGTCTGCTGGTATTAAATCTCATTGACTATAAACATTTCCACGGGCCTAAGAAATCTGATATATCGGTTTTCCTGCCCTCATGTGCATTTATCTCTTCAGGTCTGGTGTAATGATCCTCGGAGTCGGTGTCAACATGGAGGTGTCTTTAACACTGTACTTTGTTCTAGGTATGTGTGTAAGGACTGCAGACCTGTCACAAAAATCAGTGACTGAATGATTATAATATATTTTGCAAAACTTGATTGATGACTTGATTTAGAGATGACCACAGTTTAATTTCTTTTTCTTTTTATTTGTATATCAGTGCTAAAATGCAAAAAAATTATCATTTAAAAATGTGTAGGAAGTCTAGTTTGTTTTTAACACTACCTACCAGGGTATATACTTACTACTTATCAGAATTTAAACAATACTGATTTGTTGTAAGGCTAATTTCAGTGTAGATACAATGAATTTGGGAAATTCTTTCATACAAGTTATTTTTGCAAATTTGATTCAGTTTTGTTGTACAGCTATTCAGAGTTGCAGCATCAAAAGCTGACAATCTATGTTATTAATTTTAGCTACCATAGATACAGACATCAACGGGACACCAGTGGGATTTGAAGAATTAATTATTCTAGACCACAAGGAAAATTATACTGTAAGTTTGCATACTTATGCAGTTAAATGATGGAAACTTGGTAGTATAATGTTGTGCAGCTCATCTAGATTCAATCACACTTAGTCTGTTGTAAAAGGAAAGTAGAATAGGTGTGTGAGGTTCACAATTTCATATGTAGTGTGAAACTGATCTGTTTCGAAAGGAACAAAGATTTGGTTTGTGGGCTTGAAACTCTAAAATGGAAGAGCAGTTTTATAAGGTATAGAGTTCATCTGGGCCAATTCCATTTTTCTGTTGCTCTGATTGATTAAACCATGTACAAGTTGTCATGGGAGTCATAGAAGTCATGAACTCTTTTTTTGGTCTCTATTTAGTAAAAAGAACTTGTTGCTATCATCTGAAATATAGACATATAGACAAATGTTGCTTTTACATTATCTAGTTGACACTATTCAAATGGCACATGAAGTGGGTTTTTTTTTGCAATCAACGAATGCAACTGTACCAGATATGTGCAGCAAAATAGGCACAGCTCAAAATGCACAATTCTATTTTCTGTTTAATGCATAAAACAGTAACTTTAAAGCTCTCCTTCTGATGTACAATGAAGAATATGATAACATTTCCTGATTATGTATGTGCACTGACCATATTTCAATTCTATAAACTATCGGTATTGATAACCAGTCAATTTCAGTTTTGCTGCACTTGCTTTTTATTTCAAAGGCCAGCCTCAATTAGATCTGATCTTTGCCTGTCTTTTAGGTTCTGTAGTAACATAAAATAGGCTGTGTTGTTAAGGATGAAGCTATATGTATTTTAGGAGGAAATGGAGCTGAAGCTACAGAACCTGAAGCTACTGGTGCCTGATCCCAATTCAGGTGTTTCCTATGTCTATGATGATGAACGAGTCCTCTATAAGTCAGGTTTGTTCCTACATACCACCTTACTGGTTCCTACATACCACCTTACCAGTCCTATACACCATCTTACTGGTTCCTACATACCACCTTACCAGTCCTATACACTATCTTACTGGTTCCTACATACCACCTTACCAGTCCTACATACCACCTTACTGGTTCCTACATTCCACCTTACCAGTCCTACATACCACCTTACCAGTCCTACATACCACCTTACTGGTTCCTACATACCACCTTACCAGTCCTACATACCACCTTACTGGTTCCTACATTCCACCTTACCAGTCCTACATACCACCTTACCAGTCCTACATACCATCTTACTGGTTCCTACATACCACCTTACCAGTCCTATACACCATCTTACTGGTTCCTACATACCACCTTACCAGTCCTATACACTATCTTACTGGTTCTTACATACCACCTTACCAGTCCTACATACCACCTTACTGGTTCCTACATTCCACCTTACCAGTCCTACATACCACCTTACCAGTCCTACATACCACCTTACTGGTTCCTACATACCACCTTACCAGTCCTACATACCACCTTACTGGTCCCTACATACCACCTTACCTGTCCTACATACCACCTTACCTGTCCTACATACCACCTTACCAGTCCTATATACCATCTTACTGGTTCCTACATACCACCTTACCAGTCCTATACACCATCTTACTGGTTCCTACATACCACCTTACCAGTCCTATACACCATCTTACTGGTTCCTACATACCACCTTACCAGTCCTATACACCATCTTACTGGTTCCTACATACCACCTTACCAGTCCTATACACCATCTTACTGGTTCCTACATACCACCTTACCAGTCCTACATACCACCTTACTGGTTCCTACATTCCACCTTACCAGTCCTACATACCACCTTACCAGTCCTACATACCACCTTACTGGTTCCTACATTCCACCTTACCAGTCCTACATACCACCTTACTGGTCCCTACATACCACCTTACCTGTCCTACATACCACCTTACTGGTTCCTACATACCACCTTACCAGTCCTATATACCACCTTACCAGTCCTACATACCACCTTACTGGTTCCTACATTCCACCTTACCAGTCCTACATACCACCTTACCAGTCCTACATACCACCTTACCAGTCCTACATATTACCTTACTGGTTCCTACATTCCACCTTACCAGTCCTACATACCACCTTACCAGCCCTATATACCATCTTACTGGTTCCTACATACCACCTTACCAGTCCTATATACCATCTTACTGGTTCTTACATACCACACCTTACCGGTCCTATATACCACCTTACTGGTTCCTACATACCACCTTACCAGTCCTATATACCATCTTACTGGTTCCTACATACCACCTTACCAGTCCTATATACCATCTTACTGGTTCTTACATACCACCTTACCAGTCCTATATACCATCTTACTGGTTCTTACATACCACACCTTACCGGTATACTCAAAATTGTATATCTAACACAAAAAGGCATAGGAGTTCAATGCCTTGTGGGTGCTGGTTAGTAGATGTCTCATGGGAGGAATACTGTACCTTTCTTCACCAAACACACCAATCTGGCTTCAAAGTATTGTTGTAATCATCTTTAAAATTACTATATTACCTATGTTCACCATTTTCACCACAAAGAACTACCATTTTCATTCTCAGAAGAGTTTTAGTGTGAGTGTTTTCTGTAAACATGTAAATGTGTGAATTCATTGTTTCAGGAGAGTCGTCAGAAATCACAGAGTTTCATGCACCAGGTGGAATGATTATTGGGGCAGGTAAATAAAACTGGAGCAAACCGTTTTGTTGTGGACAATTTTGCAGATAGAAGAAGTATTTGAATACCGACTGCTTTGTGTAACAATGGCCTGCTTTATAATGATATTATAATAGATATTAAACTATCAACCTTATACCAGTAAATAAACACCATAAGTACACTGGATTCATTCCATGACTGTTAGATTGTATCTTACATTCTTGTGGATAAATTACGATTGATATAAACAAAAGCTTGTTTTATTCGACAGGAAATAGTGATGGTACTGGAGTATTTTTCTCCAGCAGTGTGGGAATGTTCTGTTTCACAGCCTCAAACAAACAGAATGTCAGGTTAGTAAGCAGTTATTACACACATTTAGGAACACTGTTGTACCAGTATGTCGAGGTCTTTAAATTTATGGAAGTAGATGTCATCAGAAAATATTGATGACATTACTATTTCATGTTTGTCTAAGTGAATTGTTTACTGTTGCTCGTGATAAAAAGAAAAAAAAGATAAATATTGATCAGAGAGGTGAAAATTAGTTTCTGCTGTCTTTTACAGAGTGTGTCCTTTCCAGAAATAACTTGGTAAATGGTAGAAAATATTCATTCTTTGCGTAAATTATGAAAATAATCATACCCATTCAAAACATGTTACCATATCTAAAAATACATCCCATTTTTCAGCTTACTTGTTGATACAAGCATGGACTATCCAAACTCTTTAAAAGCTGACATGGTAAGTATGGTTCTTATGCTGTAAATGTGATCAAAAATTTATGTAACTGGGAAAGAACAACATACATTTCCAGCTTACAGATGAATTGAGACCAGTTAGACATTGATATAGATAGTTGTGTATCACAGGAGTTCTCTTAAATCTTCAGATTTGTTAATTTATTTCAGTCTGCATTAGCTGCGAGTTCTTCACAGATCCATGAGTTGAGTTTAAGCGAGGATAAGACATCACGCCTGAAGGCGGCTTTCCTGTCAGCTATGAGAGGTAACATGGTAAGTCATTATTACAAGGGAGTTTTCTGTCATTTCTTTCTTGCTATACATGGGAATAGGTAACAATTACTTTGAAGTGGTGTCATCATTTATATTCTGGGAGAAATCATTTCTAGTTGCTTTATTAATTTAATTAATCTGAACATATTTCAGATGATTCTGTCATACTGATGGCGTCTTCATGATATAATTCTTGATGACGAAAAGGGAGATAATGATGAAAAAATCTGTTAATTGATTCTTTTTAACTGTAAATATTTCAATTAGTAGAAAGCACCCTATTTGTATAGTGAACAAGACAACATGTTTTGTTCCACAGGATCTTGCACAGGCAGGCGTGGATGAGTTATTCCCCTTGTCCGATAATAACATCACAGATATGGACCAGATTGTCGTGGCAGTCAGTCGTGATTTGATTGATGATTACCCAGCCTCAGATCCGAGATGGGCAGAATCCAGACAGGGTAGGTAGTGTTTAGAGCTTAGGACCAGCTCATCTAGTCAGACATAAGTGGCCTCTTATTGTCCAACTGATTTGCATGTGAAAAGAATAATGTAAGATAAGTTTCTGGGAAGTTGCAATTCTCATGGCACTCCAAAAATTTTTTTTCAAAAATACTTTGAAGTTTCATCCAAAAATTATGGCAGAAGTGAAAGTATATATATATTTTTGCACAACTTTATTCTATCCTCTCCCCAAGAATAACAACATATACAGTAAGGTAAGCTATTTATGTCGGTTTTATGAATTTACACTTGTTTATTTATAGACCCCTGTAGCAGCACTACATCCTTGATTATACTGAATCAGCTGGCAGACAAGCTCAAAGCTCATGAATACATCATCAGTTTCCTCAAAAAAGTTGGCCTGTGGACACGGGTATGTTTACAGCCCTGATCAAATTTCTTCTTTATGACATAAGGCTGTATTAAGTTTATGTCATATGTTGTAACATTATATGTTGTAATATTGTGACATTATAGTGAATGTATTTTTATCAAATTGATAAAGTTGTGACTTAAATAAAAATTGTTGGAACACAGGTTTGCTGAAAGTAATATAGAAATATCAATTTCTTGCATCAACAGAAGTTTTGGCTTTGACCAGAATTGTGCATTTGGATATTGTTGATGCAGTATGTAGGTATTCTGAAGTAGCTCAAGTCATTGCATTTATTTGAATAAGATAGTTTCTCAAATGGATTTACTAACAGGTATTATTCTTGAATTTGTGCAGTATAACTTGTGTGGACATCAATATTTTCACACTTAGTATTTGTTCTCTGCAGCTGAGCACTGTAAAAAGTCGAGACCATCCAATGTTGACCCATGATGTCCTTTGTGAACATGCAGAGAAGGTGACGGCAGCCATGGCACTCCGACAACTTCACTCAGAGTAACTAACTTTACCACATCTCAAATTTTATATAATGTCTCTATGATGTCTGCATTCAGTCACAATCAGATATATGCATATTGCATACATAAAATTAAAGTTTTTCTTTTATTTATATCTTTAATCTAATATACTTGTCATGAACATGATGTCAGTCAAGACATTTCCGGTAAATGTGGAAGTTGGTAAATCTATAGGATTAGCATGTAAATGTTGTATAGAGATATTTTATCATGCTCCCCAAAAATTTTCGGGGGAGCATATAGTCACAGCTTTGTCCCTCCATCTGTGTCTAGAGAATAACTTTGCTCACGTTTAAGCAAGGATCATGAAACTTGGTGTATGCATTTATCATACAAAGGCAATGTTTAGTGTGCCAAATTCAGAGCTCTTGACCCCTAGATTGCAGAGTTATTGCCCTTGTTCAAAGTTTGTGTCCAGAGCATCACTTACCCTGCATTTAAACTATGATTATGAAATTTGGTGTAAACATTGATCATACATCATTGATCATTTTAATAGCATAACTTTTCCTTCATTTAAACTAGTAGAATGTACCATATTCAGTGCCTGAAATCTCTTAATTACAGAATTGTTGCCCTGTGTTAAAATTTTGTGTCTACTTAAGTCCTTTTCAGGTAGTATTCATCAGCTTCACTGATACTTTTGTTTTAAAAGGTATACTGGTGCGATAGATGCAGCCATTAGAAAAGTACTTGAGAAGCGTGATGCCTCGTTGATGTCTCAAGGCCTGTCTCCTCAGGATGTCTTCTATAGGGAGGTTGGTGCCTACTTTCAAATGGAGAATCACTTATGATTTTGTAATTGTTTCTAACAAAGTTGATATACCAATATGATAAAGTTGCCTTCCTGTAGATCTGGCATTGAAATTCATGAAATGTTAAACACATTATTTTGCTGGTATTTGAATTTCTCAACAAATTTTTATTTACTGTTTATTTAACAGGTTTTACATCCACTATTATAGCCTTCTCTGCCTTTCAGCAAACGAGAAAAGATATGAAAATGAGTTGCGAGAGGCTTGATGAATTAAATTGATCTGGAGATTGGTTTCATATTAAGCTTTATTGAAGTATTGAAATGTATGTAAGATCTTCTATATCATTCTTGTCTTCATATTAAGAATACATGAACCAATGCATTTTTTTTTATTTCACTACAGTATTCTGATATCTTTTTATAAGGTTTCCAAAGTACACGAAATCCTGGCAGCCCTCCTGGAGTATGAAGAGGAAGTATTATCAGCTGATGTGTCTACACCAGAAATACTTGCAGTGGTAGCAGCTGTAAATGCAGTCACAGAGGTGAGGATGAAAAGTACTTTTAGAAGTATTATCAACAAGCACTGCAAGTCAGATCAAATTATTCTTGCATATCAAAAACTATAAATGAAGGTTTCAGAAAAAGGTCATTACATGTTAGCTGTAGCGAATAAGAACAGATACTTGTGTTCAGTTTTATGTTTCATTCTTTAAAGATAACTTTAACCCAAAAATTATAATAATGTTAGACATTAAATGACCTGTTCTACCTGCAGGCAATGCTCCACAAAGCCCTACAACACAGACATGCCAAGATGTCAGTTTACAGGGAGGACCTAGACCCAGCAAGTCTTGTGCAGCTGGAATTCCTACCATGGACTTCACAGGAAGGAGAGAAGGGGGCAAGGAATATCCTCCTGAAACAGGTCTGCATTTCTCTTAAGACAGGATATATTTAGTGTTGTTAATAGCTGCTTAGAAACCAATTAATTATTTATTTATCATCAGGGTATCTTACCTGCCATTCCGAAAACAATTTGTATCTAGTAATAAAATTAATGTGTGTTTACTGTGTTTGTTCTGTGCAACAGTGTACTTCAGCTACAGGGAAATATTTATATGAAATCAACATCTGATATATAGTAGGTTTTAAGTTTTGTTTTATTTCACTGGGGTATTATATAAGTATTGTCCTGGTGTGGACTTGTTCTTAGGGGTTAAATTTTGCACATATATATTATCCATACAAAGAGGTATATAACATATATTGCCTCAGATTGACTGTTTATGTAGAATGTTTGCTCCATTTTTAAAATCTCACTATTAATTATAAATTAAGTGAAATTTCCCTGCAAATGTTACCAAATATGTTTTGTTTTGGTGACGTTATCACCCAATTTAAATACAGGGTCATTTCAGAGCAAAGTTTCCTTATAGTAACTGATAGCTACCTCACAGAACAACATATGGAAGGCCCTTCAAATGCCAAGAGCAATTAGGGTATAGTGTCTCACTGAAGGATGCAACTGCAACAGCACAGACCAGTGGTCTGTTTCTCAGCTTCCTTAGAAAACCAAACAACCACGGGTAGGGAGTGTCAAAGCACCTGTGATTTAAACTTCAGGTTATATAGGCCTACACTCCACCGACTAAGCCTTTACAAAACAAATACTTCACACAGTATACCTGTATATTACAGTATGCAGTGACTCTGGATGGCACCATGCCCGAGGTAACAGATGCAGACACACTATCATTGTTCTGTCAGCAGTTAGCACAGCTAGCAGACATTGTATTGGAGGGCTTCAGCACACAACTAGAGTCCTTACATTATCAACAGGATCGTTCAGGACACTACCGTGAACTTGACAGAAAGTACCAGCTCTGTCGACAACAGCTAATCATGCCTTTGGGTAACTACCTTTCTGTGACTTTTGATCATACAAAAGAAGATATTTGGTTTAAATTTATCTAATTGAATAGATGTGTAAATAGTAGGTATAATCTTTCAAAATATTTGTAACCTAGATTTAGTTTTGATACTGTTGGAAACAAACTACACATCATCAATGGATCAAAACAGTATTATATTAATCCTTGTCTTATCTGGATTGCATTCTGCTGATTTTTTTTACGGGAATTATGGAAAAATTAATTGATGGATGTGTTCATATGGAATGGGGAAATTTAACCTTCAGGTTTTGATATGAAGTTCCTTATGTTTATATATTTCATATCATTGTCTTGACATCTCAATTTCAGTGGAGAAGAATCATATGGAACTTGCAGCGTCACTTGCAGAGAAATATTATGATTTTGATATCCTAATACAGCTGTGTGAACAGATGGACAATTCTGATCGTATAGAGAGATACCTCACACAGTTTTCAGACAAGGTAAGTAAGAATTTATTACTTATACATAGGATACTTAATTTATTCATTGAACCGTCTTAAAATGGCATATATAGTCAATATGTACTGTGCGGTTTTTTGTTTGTTTAACAGCATTTAGTGGAATGTACAGCGACTAGATTAGTGATTGATGGATTGATATTTCAGAGAAGTGGAACAGAAATATATCTCTGGGTATCTATATTAGTGAACGCTACTTAGTTTTATATCAATTTTTTGTAACTGTAGGTTGTTGGATGTTCGAGTTACCACATGATATGTCGATCTTCACTGTTGTTTGAATGTCTGTTTTATTACTCCTCGTGGATATCAAAATATCCCAAGTTCTTCTTTCTGTTCTCAGGGTTTTGCTGATATCTTATATGCTTGGTATATGAAAGAAGGTATGTTTTCATGTTTTTTGTAAAATTCATCGCTAACAAGTTGTCTGTCTCTACCATGTGTTTTTACCAACAAGCTTTCCAAAATACAAATGAATTACATAAAATTATAGCAAATATGCATCGCAATACATCTCCTGCATTCTCACCTGTAATGCCATTCAACAGGGAAACTAGGGAAGCTGCTATCTTTGCCTGCACATCGACACCAGGAACTGGGACAGTTCTTACAAAGCAAGGACATCAAGTATCTTAGCTGGCTACACCAACTACAGACCAGTGACTACACACAGGTGAGTAGCACACTGGTAAATTACACTGACATACAGAGCAACTACAACTCAGTAACTACACACAGTTAACACTATCGGTTATGTACACTCTCCTGAAGACCTTAACTCTTCATTCTACTCATAATTGGGATTTGTACAAAAGTGATACAAACAGTTGACTACAACATCCCCACTTCTCTATCTTCAATGTTACATGCTCCTCTGTAGCCCCTGATTATAAAGTGACTGCATCACTCCAGAGAAAAGTCTTCTCATAGCTCAATGTTCCTACCTTGTTTTTTTTAGGCTCATGAATCCTTATTAGAACTTTCAAGGATGGAAACAGCCTCATTATCTAAGAAAAAGGTGAGTCAAATTTCTGATTAAGAAATTAACAATTACTTGCTATAAGACCCTGTCAAAATTATGTTGCCTTGGTTACGATGAAATAAGTTACTTATGAGCTATATATGTTCAATCACCTTGGTATTTGGATTTATTTATAGACATTGCTGAGTCTCAGTAAACTTGCTGGACTAGCGTCAGAAGACAGCCAGGAAGACGTTAACATTGCTGGTAAGGCTCTGTGATGTTGTAAACATAGCAACTTAATCTGGTGATCTCCATAAATTTGATTTTACATAGGTTTCTTGTTGGGTACTGATTTGATAGATAGGGACTCGTAGATGAAATTATAACAAAATATATCACTGACCAAATTAAAAATTAAAAAAAAATTATTCTGTTTTAAGAAATAGAAATACTTGTGGTACGATATGAACATAAATTAAATGTAAATTGTTGCTAAATAGTTCAATATTTGGATATTTCATGCAAAAGTTGATAATGAAGCTGTACATTTCATTTGCATTTCTTTCTAATGAATATTTCACTACAAAGTGTGGAGTGAAAACACAGCGTCTATTACTTATAAACATTGTCAGGTTAAGTTTAACATGGTGTTTTTATTTTGTAGGAATAAATGAAGAACTGGACCTGATCACACACCAAGAGCAACTACCAGTCCATGTACTACACGTAAGTTTATATTTTTTTGGGTTGTGTACACTTTGATTAAGAATAGCTATTGCATTAACCACAATAAAACTGCTATTCAGATTATTTACCCAAGCTTTTTAGGCCCAGCATTGACAATGTGAGGTTGGATATCCTTGCTGAGAAGGAAAAGAGGTTAGAGTTGCCTTGAAGTTATGTACAGACAAAATTGATCTTCTATCAATATCATACTATTGTAATTCACATCCAAATGTAATGATTTGTGTATTTTGGTCTACTTACAGCAAAGAGGCTTGGATCCAGATGATATGGGAGTCCTTACACCAGAGCAGCTGATTGAGGTAGTACAGTACCTATGTAGATATATTTGTTTTACCAAATCTTTATGTATGTTACATGGTGAGTGATTGTGATTATTCCCTTCACTCAGTTACTCATTTTTTCTAGTGACTTTTGAAAAATAACAAAAAGTACTTAAAGAAATGCGATATACAACAACTCCAGGTTCGTGTGACCTATTTTTACCACATTAAAAAGCTATTCTGAAGTTGAGTTGACCTGTTCTGTACCCACGAGTTCTTCATTTATGTCATCATTTCCATCAAAGCTCACCCTGTCAGTCAGTCATAACATGTTTGAGTGTTACAACATATGTTGTATAAATTTTTTATTTTGGAATGATTGGTTGATGTCTTTGGAGGCATACACACTTAATTTGATAAAAAGTAAGTCTTTGCTATTTTTTCTCTTAAACAAAGAGTATCTTTCTGAGCCTGCATTTTTATAGTCATTTTCATGCCTCTATCACAATACTAGAGAATCATTCTCTTTGTGTGCTATGTGAAGGTCCTTTGCTGAAATGTTATATTCACTTGTCATTGCTTGAAAGATTGTACAAGTATACCATGTTAATGACCTTCAAATGTTTTCTTCATCGGTCCTTTCCTTCAAAGCAGAGGTCACACAAATATTTCACAAACATCGAGTCGTGATATCTATTTCATCAATTAATTGACTGGCAGGACAATTATGTGTTATGAAGGTGCAACAATGCCTTTTTCAAACTGTAGTTACATAGCTATCTCAACAAAAGGCACAAAAGTCTCAGGAAAGTTACTGAGCAATTCTTTGTAACTGCTGCTACTTATATCCCTGTTGTAACTCCAATTGCAGCTTTATGTAAGTGATATGTCATCTGAGGACCAAGAACTGAATTTTAAGAAAGCATTAGACCTTCTACAGTACATAGACACGGTGAGTACAGAACATATTAGACTTACTGTTGTTTTTGTACCTGTTTGAGCACAACAGACATTGGACTTTTACCATTGATACTGCTTTGTTCATAACATTTCAAGTAAGACAATGGCTACATATATTCTTTTTCGAGTAAATTATTGTGTAATGTTTCAGATTTCGGAGCATCTCATCATCATTCTGATTCCTTTTAATATCTTAACAAGTTCTTTCATGTATTTTTTGTACAGACTGATCCCAACATTGATGTTGAAGCCTTGAGATATCAGATATGGGCCAAAGCTATTCTGAGGAACAGGTAGGTGATAGATACCCAATTGGTCGTTGCTATAACCACAACTGTTACTTTCATCTTTCTACACCAAAGTAAAGTTTGTTTACTCACATGAGTATTGTCTGAGAATGAAGTTACAACATAACAATAAAATTGATCAGCATAAGGTGCAGGAAGAAAGTTATCAACAATGAACTGAAGTCCATCAAGCAGCTACTGGTATTCTGACAGGTACTTCAGCCGGAGACCAATCAATCTGCTACGTTTGAGCAATTGGTTTCCTATAACAGATTCTTGTGAACACAGTGCATTGATTTTGTGCAGCATATTGTTAGGGCATAGAGTAAGCATACGGAGAAAAGTCACTCTGATTTTGTATTACAGAATCAAAATACCCCCCCCCTCCCCCCAGTATGTATGTTTACAAAGCAAACAATGGTTTTGAAAATAAAAACATTTAGGTAGATAGAAAGGGAAAACTTAGGAGCAAAACAAATAATATGGTTGTGGACAAGGAGATTACAGTAGCAAAGGAAATTGAAATGCTTTTAAATGTTCTAACACAATGTCTGTTTTGTAGTTGGGCAGTCGACCAATCTGGAGAACCCATAGAGACGGTTAAGGATACAGTGTTTTTCAGAGTAGCAACTCTCGCATACGACCAGGGTAGGTATTAGACACATTGATGTTCAGGTACATGTTTTCCTTTTATAATTCAGGGATTTTAGGTTATGGTTTAAATTTAACATTTGACATAAAAATTTATACAATGATGTTTTTAATTAACCATTATCTAATAATTAAAATCAAATCTTTCTCTGTTATCTATTTAAGTTATAAATATTACTTCATCATCAATGTAAATATATCTTCAACTGTGGTTTCATTTTTCAGGAATTGATTTACGAGAATATCTGCCTCAGATTGAGGTACTACTTCGATGTGAGGACCTTGGACTACTACAGGACGATAGGAATTTCCAATACCTATTACGTGTTGGTTACGAGCATATCCAGCAAACACTTTACTAAATACTTGCTCTCTCTGTATCATAAGACCTTCATTTGTGTCATAAAACTGTGTGTTTTCTCGGACATTATGTGCTTACTAAAGAACATTACACCCAGTCTAGAATTGGTAGATGTTTTGTTTTCATTTATAGTTGTATTACCACTTTCGAGATTTCTTATCAAAGATGTTGATTTAGATTAAACATTTCAGTCTATGAAAGACAAGAAATTCACGTTGTAGGCTTGATAATCTTTATGAAGATAGAAAGTGGTAAATGTGAAAATAGAACTGTACTAGAGTGTCATAGTTTGTAACGAAAGTTGAGGAAAATAACACAATTAAAGCATTAAGATGTCGTGTTGTTATTTTTTTATTATTTTTTTCTATGAAATTTTACAAAATTTCAAATTCTGAGAAAAATGCCATTTGTGGTGTGACTGGTGCTTGGAAGATCAAATTTCTCAGACACGATTAAATTGTTAGCTTGTCAAACTTGACCAAGAAATAGAATTTAAAATTATGAAAACCTTTCCTAATTTAAGCTGTAATTTCTCATTCAGATATTTAGTTATCTATGACCCTGTCCTTTTATGAGTGTGCTTGTAGTTTAATAGAATATTCAGTTCCTTAAACAATGATATTGTTAAATATCATGACTTTATAAAGTTTGTTTTTTTGGGGGGGTGGGGGGGATGATTCTGAAAAGTCATGGATGAAAGTCTGTGCTGTTAACTTTCTACTGGCGGCACATGTCACTTTTAAATCCAACTTCAATCTTGTTATATAGCACCTCAAAAAATAAGGGATACTGAGAAGATGGAATAAATTAAAGTTTTGTGTTTAGGACAGTATCTGATAAGATACAAGTGCTATTGCAATCTAATCTGGAAAATTGTTATTTTGTACGGACATTTGAACCCACCAAATATATGGCATGATGTTAATTTTTGTGTGTATCTTTCTGATAAAAAAATCCCCTAAGATTTAGAGAAATGACATGTCCTCAAAGCTTTATTGTCATATTTGTAGAAGAGTACTTTAACACATCAGCCAAATTTCTCCTCCCTCCTTTCGAAGATATTTTAAGTGAATTTTTCAGCATGACAACAACATATCTTTATCTAGTGTTTACATATTATTAATCAAAATTGTGTTGATTTTTAGGGGTCAGGGAACCTAACTTTTAGTGTAGTTTACGAAAACGTAAATATGATATTGAGTCAACACATTAAGTGAGAAAACAGTTCTTTATCTTTCGATGATTATCAAAGCAAATTAAGTATTAAGGACATATGTGAAAAGTAAGAAGTTGAAAAAGTGTTGGGTGAGGGCAGAAACTCTGGAATATTGTCAATTCAAAATGCTACTCATGAAAACACAACTTCGTGTTATGGTATTAAAATCCTACAAAGATTCAAAGAAAGGAGACTGAGGTACTGGAATAATAAAAAAATCAATGCTATCAAGTTAAACACCATTTTATATAATGGTTATGATGCCCATAAAAAAGTGAAATCGGTTAGAACTAGAAAAACAAATGGCGATATAATCGAACTGTTGTTCAATTAAAGTACTAAGTCTGAAGGAAATAGTTTTTACAAACTGTGAGACATCTAGACGAGATTATGGAAAAAAAACAAAGGGTAGTAACTCTTCCAAATACAGTTGAATCAAACTGCCATTCAGGGGAACACGGCATCATGTCATTGAGATTTAGCGTATTATGTTTGAATGTGATTGGTTAAAACTTGTGGGAGATCTCCGCACAAAGAAAAGTGTACGATCGGACAGACGCCATTGATTTCCAAAAAGATTTTGAACAAAATCTGAAAATTTTAATCGTCATTTTGCCTCTAGAGGAAATTATAAAGATAATAATTTCCCATGACACACGTGAAAATTTGAGCTTTGAACGCTAGTCGTGACTACAAGGACTCCTTATAACATTTCTTGTGGATGGCCTCATGCAATGTACTAAATGTGGTCGTGACCCCAAATGAATGCACCAACAAAATCTTTTCCAGCTTAAAGAAACAAACATTTGACAAATCTCTTCTTGTTTCTTCATAAGCGAAATACCAGTTGATTAGAAATAAGTGTACAACCTGTGGTCTGATTGCCATACGGTCACGTGATTTCCTATCGGGATATTGGCGGGATAAAAGTCTTGAGAAACGTTTGATGAATCAATGGAAAGTTTTGTCCTATTTTACCGATTGTCACTCGCTGCTTCACCAATAAGTTTGTATTTTTCTATATGCAGTACTCATACACTATGTATATAGAATGAAACCAATCCACATTGGAATGTTTTATCAAAGAAGCAAACAAAAATAATCGTGTTTGTCATCACTATTTGTGGATCAATCCTCAAGCTGATGTTTGAAATGTGAATGAAACCCTGTAATTTTCAATGACAGCACCAAGGCAACCAGGATCCTGGGGCCCGATCAGAAAATTGAACCCTATTCTATGACACCTAAATGAAGTAGATTTTGTCAAATTTGAAACGCAAGCATGAAGTAGGATAGCGAATCGGAATCCTGAATAAATCAGAATGTTGAAACCAGCAATTGAAACTAATCAAACTTCTCGAAATATATTTAAACGAACAAATAGGCCATGTCATGTAAACAAAAACCACTGTATTGGCGAAAAATAGCACAGTCACGTGAAATAATGAGACCAACATGAAGGAAGTCGATACGGTCACGAAAAACGTTTATGGTTTTGATCGTTTGGTGACTAATATATCTGACATAGAAAATGAAAATTGAAGAAAATACTTTAACATGTATGAGGGTAACAATAAATCATTTATATTTCAGACTTAAAATTAGATCGCGATTAGGATTTGCTCAAAATTTATTGTACTCGAGAAAGGAATGAATTAAAGTGATCAGCTTGTTTTCCCATTCCATCCACGGAGTATCATACCACGGACTTATATACACATATATGTGTATATAAGTCCGTGATCATATGATGTGTTGAATTGTTACTGAATAAAAATATTGTGTAAACTTAAATCGTAACGAGACCTTTTCACATTTTAGTAACTGATGTATATATTTTGATACATACGTCTCTTATTCATTGCAGTACTGTGATTGCAGACCAAGTCGTCATATAATGAACAAGGAACGGTGTTGATTCTGTACCGACAAAATTATTTAAGATATCTAATACATTACATAATGTATCTAATTACATATATCATAACTTTATTCTCAGTACGTCAATAAACAGAGGAGACATTTAATCTAATTTGTCTAGCCTGGTTTAACAATGTTGTTCAGTGAATAAATGGCATTGAACTTGCTTGGCCATAATAAAGTATATAGTTATCGGGTAACGCATGTCTGTTTCAAGCTCAAACAGCCCATCGTAGCTTATACAATTAGATAACAATTATTCGCACGATTTAACCTGTCATGTTCAGACAAATTCTGAGCAGCTAGGCTAAACACAATATGTGAACAAACGTATGTTTGCACACGTTTATGAAATTTCTGACTTTTTTCAAGACATATACTTGATTTTTACCCTCGACGACTGTTATAGATTTTTATTCAAACGATAAAGAGATAAGTCCAGCGTTCCAGCATGATGACGTTTAGAAATACGTTATTTTTAGGAACTAGGCCTCCGTCATGCAGTGTCGATTTGTTCGCATCGGCACTTGCTCTGCCATTACATGCCGGAAGTACGGCAAAGTGGAATGATGGGATGGCTCTGACGTCACGAATGCTTGAAAAGACAAAAGATGTGGTCTAGGGCCAAATATTTGCGTTTTCCTGAAGATTCGGACCCCAAAATGGTCATATATTGACAACTGAATGGGTAAAGAGCTTGGGAGGTTGCAAAGGAATGGCAAAGTACCATTGCAATTACTGCCAGGGGGATATTTCAGGGTTTAGAATCAAGTGCTCTGAATGCCCAGACTTTGACCTTTGTTTACAGGTAAGTATGACGTAGTAGCGTGCATTTTGATCGGAGTCGATCGGCATTATTATTAGTCGATTCCCTTAAGATTGTTAAGTCTTATGTCACATTATTGTTGTCTCCGTATTTTTTATTTTAATTTGAATTTATTTCCAGTGCTTTTCGTGTGGAGCAGAGAGTGGAGGCCACAAACGTGACCATGATTATCACATAGCGGTAAGTTGGATTTCCCCCTCTGTGCCTCTGAGCCGGAAGCTTTGGGAATTCCCGCAAAGAAGTGCTGAGGAATCTCCTTTACCTCAGATGGGTTTGAAGTCTAAATTGGACGCTTATCAACGACAACAGAAAACATTTACATATGATACAATGTGTATCGTAAATATATTTTTGTAATGAAACTACAACCAAGATTTAATATTAAAGTCATGATAACAACATGACCGATTTCCATCTGACAGAATACCGGTGACACTTCAGAATGAAATCAGACAACAAAGCGTATTGTGTGACTGTCAAAACATACCATGCTTTCTTGACACAAATTTGTAGAACCATTGCACATATTATGTTAGTGATTTGGAGATACAGATTGCAACTGTCAAGGCATGTTCATGCTAGAAATAGATTTTATTCATTTTGCGAAAAAAAATGCATAGCAAGATTTATGCTATATATAACCACTCTTCTTGGTCTGCATAAAAGGGCGTGAGGGGTGATACTGTGGGAGAAAACTGAAGAACCCAAGGAAAATCACATGGTTGGGCAGGTGACCTCATACCTACTTGTATCTGTTCAGGAAAATGAAACTTGGACATCTAGGTGAAAGTAAAGTGTCTTACTACTGTGCCACCCAACCACCCATGCATGTTCTTGTTAAATGTGCAATACAGTTTAACATATTTTTAGAAATTGATCAGACATCCTTTTTATACCTCTGATTATGTTGTAACATACTCAAATAATGTTTGAGAATTATACTGCAAGAAACTTCTAACTTCCCAAAAGCAGTTTATTGATGCTGACTGTCCAATTATTGAAGTTGAGATTTTGATAATATTTAGAATTTTGGCATATATTTAAATGTACAATGAGATCAAGCATGTTATTACTTTTCTGCCAGTGAAATATGGAGAAATATCTCCTGGATGAAAGTGTTATTTTTCACTATCAAATATCCTCATTTTTTGTGAAATTCCATGACAAAATCACAAAATCTTTCATGCAAAAATAGATAGAGACTTTCTTTTTCCTTCCAACATGAAACAGACAAAACAGCAGCAGTTTCCACTGATGGGTTGCAAAATGTCATGATTTAAAAAAATAAAAGAAATACAAATATGCACATGGGATATAAAACAGTATCACTTGAAGTTTGTCTTTTGTTAATTGTATACATTTTGTGTGATACATACGTCTCTACCTTGAATTGAAGGAAACCACCATGTTTTGAACCTAGGTCAACCAAGCCATAGCCTTAAATCAGGGCAGAATAAATTAGCAAAAAAAGAAAGAGTGATTAGGGAATAAAAGGTTTGCTTCTGACACAATAATGTCATATAATGAATTGGCCAACCAGTGGTCTCATGTTATTTGTGATTGCTATATCTCATTACTGACAGTCCATCCTGATTGCCAAGTTTGACCTCTTTTGATGGTTTTGGAAACCCCGACTATGCAGATAAAATATAACCCAGAATGAATTTCAAAACGAGGCAGATATTTACATTAATAGTTTATAACAGCTTGGATTTTACACGTTACATGTATATTTACATTTGCCATTTCAATTCTCCCCCTTCATCCCTTAGCAATGTACACTTAACTTGCCAACTTGTCATTCCTATGGCAGTCGTTTTACTGTTTAAAATCTTTCCATTTGTTATACTGTCTTAATATCCTAACCTAAGGGTCATGCTAACACTATTTTGAAAATCTTGGCTTTGTAGCTAATGCAGTGACTGTTTTTGTTCAGCACTGCTTCATAGAGGTCACCATACCATCTAAATAGCAATAAACAAGTTCTATTTTTATGTGCAGCCAGTAAATTCAAACTATCATGTAGATAGTAAGTCCCATTATATTGTTGGATGTTGAATAAGGATCCTCATAGTATTTAATTGGTTGTTGTTTTGTTTATTTTTCAATTTTGTCAAATGAATGTGAATTACATCAGTTGAATTTATGAAAAAGATTAAAACATACTATATGACATTACATTTCTGCTGAAGTATAGTCCAAATTAAAAAGTTTTATATCTTTTAAAATTTACATGTATATTAAATGAGGCATGCTTTGATACGGCTATAAGACCTCTTAAATGCCTAGTGAGTACAGAGGTTGTGAGGTATGAATGTTGCAGATGATGATGATGATGATGATGATGATGTAATGAAAAATTGTTAATAGTAGTGGACTCCATTGTTAAGGTTTTTTCAATAGATAACTATTTTTGTGCACACTTGGTTGCATAGATTTTGATGTAACCCTAAGGCAAGAATATTAGTATGTTGTATTATTTAAAAGAAAGCGTTACAGTCAATGTTGCGTTTTTTTCGTATAAATAATGCTGTTTAACAACAACATTTTGATATTTGATTCAACATATTTATATTATAGGGAGACGATGACACGTCTATAGGTGCATTTGACATTCCACAACCATGGTCGCTGGTTGAAGAGATGATGCTTCTGGATGCTGTAGAACAATATGGTTTTGGCAACTGGTGAGAAGAAAGCTTTGATTTAATTAAATGATTGTGTTAATATTGCAACAATGTAATTATGCTGATGGAGACCAGTTTTACTATCACAGTATCAGTTGCAATGGTAGCCAGGAAACCTACTGAATTTAATAAAATATAAATAAAATGCTTGTTTATTTCAGTGAGAGGTTAAATAGGATGTTATTTTTTAATAGACAACCATCCACTTTCATATAAAACAAAATATTACAATAACTGAACCCCAAAATGATGTACTGAATACAAATGAAATTTGACTAGAGAGAGTTAGCTTTTACAGACATATCATTTGATATATTCTTTTGGTATCCTTATGAGTTTTCTGTACTTGTACATGTAAACTGCAACATATTTGGCAGCAACACAGAAAGTTTGACACTTTCTCACACTTATGATAAAGTAGTGTTGACCTCAGGAATTGTTTGCCAATGTGCTTAGTGTAATATGTGCACTTCAGGTATCTCAAGTATAGTAGGAAATAACTGTAAATAGCAACGCAATCAAACTGTTTGAATCTCAAACTTGCTAACGTGATACACAATAAAAGTTTTGTCATCAATATTTCCAATTTATGTCATGAGAGAACAACTTTGATAATTGAAATTGATGATTTCATCAACATTTCAATGTGTTTTATTTAGTGAAGATATAACAGTTCATGTACAATGTTTAGTAGACTGTTAACTAAGCCATGAATTCTTGATAAAAAGTGTGATGACCTGATCTCCACTCAATGAATAAAGTTACATTGAAGTAAATATCCTGTCAGAGCCAGTAGCACAATAATGATTTGAAATGTTTTATTCATTGAATCTTATAAATCAATAGTTTTTATCACTTTCAGTTTCTGACACTTAACTTACAGGTAACTAGGTACATGTCAGTTTGAAGAGGTAGAGTACCAGAGGTGGAAAGTATGTGTGCAACAGGTTTAGTTAATGCATAAATTCAATTGAAAAATTTTGCAAATTATTATGAATTTGATTTTTAAACAGTGAACAAATTAGTCATATTCTTACATTTTACAGGGAGGATGTTGCTAACCATGTGGAATCAAGAAAAGGACCTGGTATGACTTTTTTGCTTTTTATTTTGTAAAACAGGGTAACATGCATTATTGTTTAGGCTAAACACAACACAGTTGCGGTTTCAGCCTATTGTCACAGCTTTTAGATCTAGCTGTTACTACCAATTCTAGCTTTCTGATTGGTGGAAACATTTCAATATTCCAATGATTTACCAGCGACCCCATTAGGCATTCATTTGCTTTAAACAATGCTGCCATCTTTCAAAGCAGTCATTCATGCATTCTGTCGCCATGAGACAATCAAGTCTTACCAAAACTGACAGAATAGGTGTTCATGAAAATATTCAGATTAAGACTTGCTAGTACGAACTAGCATTGATCTGGTTTGCAGAGGATTCTCCAAGGTGAAATAATATGGTGAAACGTACAGAATTATGTGATCATTCTTAGCAGTCTTTCTAAATGACGACAAGAAGTGATAATCAGTGATAGTTGTAAAGATTTTTCAGATTATATATATTTCAGAATAATTAATTTAGTTAGCGACATTATAGATATAATTGTAAAATAGATGGAGTAATGGAGGGTTAAATTTTCCTTGATTGCCAGCTGCACTAAACATTGTGTATCACACTCGAAGGCAGCCTTTTCAATTACATATCTTCAAATACTAAATAAAATAAGTGACATAAAAATTGTACTTAAAATGTTTATAATACAAAAATATACAAAGTTGTATATATGAAAAATAAGGGAATTATGTCAAGTTTACTTAAGCAAGAATGACAGCTTGGCACACATCTATGTTTTATACAAATACCATGGGTAATTGTGATGCATCTATAGATACTAAGGTCTTAAATACTCAAAAAAGTTGGCGATATCAAAAGGTGTATTGGTAATATGATTATGATACATCCTTACACCGAGTTTCATGTTGATATTTTAGAAATTAATTGAGCTATGGAGATATGAATTTTCTTCAACGGCCGTCGTTTTTGTGTGTGTATCACACTTGAAAGCAGCGTCATCTTATAATAGGGAATAAAATCAATGACAAGAAAGAATTCATCCTATGATCATTTCTGTGACTTTTATCAGAAACATGACACATAAGCACATTATGTAGGCAGGTTTACTTTGTCAAAGAGTAATACTCTTTTATTACATATTTTGATAAGGGCATTACACAAAGTCTATCCTTATTGTTATACAATTATAAGAGGTGGATATGCTTCGTAAACACAAATACGGTTGATTTTAATTGATATTAAATTTGTAGTCCTAAGATGCAATGCAGACTACGCATACTAATATGTCATCATTAACTTCTGCCAAAATGCAAGCAAGAGATAAGTGCTTATGGCTTCTCAGTTGTGATATCTGACATGAAAGAGAATAAAGTGAACCCTGTCATTTCATGACAGTCGAAAATGTAAATGTTTCAAAAGGTAGTCGTATATAATTGACTTACTTCCGATGTTCCACACAGGCAACTGTCTTTACTAATTGGTAATTTACTTTTTTGCTAGTTGCTATCACAAATATAAACACTTTGTCCTGATTTTGGATCATGTTGGCTTGAATAGTTTACATTAATATATGGAAGTAGTATTTATTTATTTCTGTTGCTCATAAATTTTATGCACTAGATAATCCCAAATTAATTATGTTGGCCTTGCAAAATCTTTTATCATTCCCCCAAAAAAATCTTACAGCAACATAATGTGTGTGCTCCTCACCTTGGATCTTTGTTTTTCAAGAAAAATTTTGCACCTTAAGCATTGGTCTTTCAGGTAACAAAGTAAATACTTTATTATCTATGGTAAAGTTTTGTTCTGGGTTCAATTCCAATATCATTGCTTGTGGCAATCTCTTGATTTGGAACTTCAAAATGTTTCTATGAATTGTACATTTTGCAAACTTGTCACTGATTTGATGGTTAACGTTTTCAAAATTTCATATATAGCTGTTGATAAGTATCTGCTATAAAAGTGTTTGATTGTTTTAATGTGATGGATTACATCTCTTGTTTAAAGCTACAAATATAATTTATCAACATGTTTAGCATTTTCTGTAATTAGAATACTTCAATGTAGGATTATGTTATTCATCACTGTCACACTGGAACACCTAAAAGAATTATAAACTGCATCTGGTAAAGGTATAATTTGATCCCAAATAGACTGTTTTTTGTAGATGTTTTGTTATAATAATACAAGAATGGGAAAAAAACCATTAGTATTTTTTACAGGCTTTATGGCCTTCGAAAGATAGGGGTTTTAATGTAAATGGTTTTAGATAAGGGTTCATTTCTTTTCAGAATGTGAGGAGCATTATGTCAAGTTCTTTATTCAAGGAACAATAGGTAGAGGTAAGTACTTTCATTACAAACATTGCTAAAACTGACCTGTCATATTATGTACTCTACAGGAATTCTGTACATGTTCCAAGTCTTGCTAAAATCTAAGAAAAAACAGTTGTTTTGATTATCGAGCTTCAAAGGAGAAAAATGCAGATCAACAATTTTGATTGTCTGCATTATATAGCCCTAAACCCAATTTGAAGCTTAGTTATATTTTCTAGCTTAGTCTATGACAATGTAGCTCTGTAATGAGATGGATGCCTCAATTCTATAATCTGTTTACCAAATAAATCTCAAAAGTATTCTAATATCAAGCTAGATAGCAGATATAGATTTTCAGTATTATAACTATTTTACAATTTATATCTGAAAATATATCTTACCATTGTAATGTGCTAGGACATGCTAAATTTTGATTTGAACTCTCAACATTTACTATACCAGATATGTTTTTTTAATGAAATATTTAGAATGGTGAAATGTGTAATTATTGTCAGATATTTTTCAGATTTTTTTTGTTCATTTTCTGTTTTCCAGAAATCTTGTGTGTTGATACCATTGGCAGCAATGTTACAGATCATTCTTGTCCAGATGGAGGTAAGAGAAATGTTTCATAAAAGACTCCTTGCTTCTCCGTTTATTATCAAACAAAATTCTAGATTTGTTGTCAACGTTCAACTTCATTGATTTTATTGAGTGAAGAAAGATATATGTATTTTAGAACATTACTTCATGTGCTGAGTATAGTGATAAAACTACAAGAGAAAACAGCAATATTTGTCAAATTTCAAAACATATTATAAGTCTTTTGTCAATTATCAACCAATTTCCTCGACTTTTGTCACCCAGTTGTTAAATATCCATCGTGATGGTCCTTTGTCTCCTATCTGTCAATAATCAAATATTTCCCTTGTCTTTAATCACCGGTTTTCAAATATGAAATATTTTCCAGGTCCTTTGTCACCTAGTATCACAGTCCCCATCAGTCCATTAGACCTGAATATACAGGAGCAGCATGAATTAGGTTACATGCCATACAGAGATGACTTTGAACGGGTAAGATGTGATGTATGAGGAATACGTTTGAGTTGCTGAATTTTCCCTTTTTCCCTAGATTTCTGATCTGAATTACTAGGATATAAAGTTAGAAGAGTGCATTTGATTAATATTTCTGTTCACTTTAGCTGTCATTCTAAACAGATCAGTTCAAATGTTTGCCTCGCTTTCTTGTTATTATTCCAAACAGAATTGTAGATAATTTCTTCCTTTGATATTTAGGGCGGGAAAATGATTGTTGTTATGTTATAATAATATTCAGTGAATGGTGCTTGGCTTAAAATCAAGAAAACATCATGCAGAATTAGAATTATTCCTCAGTTTCAGGACAATCCATTGGATTAAGTGAAATCAACTTTTAGAGGTAGAGTTGTAGCTTTGATAACTAAGCATCTTTTGTTGCTGCAGATTTCAAAACACAACTTTATATTACAAAAATTGTTTTTGTTTCATTCCAGGAACACGATAATGAGGCAGAAACTCTAGTCAGTAGTCTAGCAAATAATTATGATGATGAGGATATAGATGTTGGTAAGTTAGTACTGTCTATGAATGTATTTGTAAAAGCTTTCAAGCATCTCATGTGATATATTAGAGCCATATAAAAAGAGGTTTTGTATTTTCAATATTGACTTTGGTTGGCATTGATATATTCATTGAATAAGAATTTATGTTAATGTATCAAAGCGAGTTTATTACACGTTTATCGATGAAATGATTGAAGAAAGTCACTTTTTTCTGATATATTGAAGTAAGAAAACAACATGGTTTGAAGATTTAGATTATAGAAATCTATTTGTTGCTTCCAAGTCAGATGTGCTACAGTGTACCATAAATACTTTTCCTGAAACCCTAATTTCTCTTCAGGTAATGGGAATTTTTGTTTTGGGTTGTCGAGACCTATTCTGTTCTAGCATGATTCATGACTTTCTGATTTGAGAAAATAGGTGTAAGGAAACCAAATCTAGAATCAGATTCAGCTCTGCCCTCTTAAAGGTTGATCTTTGTTTATATGAATAGATCTCTGTTGAAATCTACCAGTTTTCCTGATGCATTAGAGCAAATATTGCTGAGACTATAAAAGATGATATTTTCTTAAGAGCAAAAATTCTGTTAACTGTTTATTCTGATAGTAATGCAGGTTAATAAAGATACGTTTTATTTTGTTTTCAACAGCTGTTAAACTAGCACAAGTTGACAGATATAGGACTAGATTAAAAGAACGGGAAAGACGAAAATTTATAGCACGCGAGTATAACTTAATTCAAGCAGCCACTACACTGGGCAAACAAAAATGTCAGACGCCAAAGAAAAAAATTTCGAAGGAGGATAAGTAAGTACTAATTATACACTTTACACATTTCATGCTGTGCTTGAACAAATGATACTGTCTTTTTGAGAACTTGATACAATCAGAACAACCATTGACTAATATCTTAATATAATTTGTGTATGATTTGTACCAAATATCACAGTAGTTTTGTCATGTTTTTTTCAGAGATCTGCAAGAAAAAGTCAAAGTTTTTTCTCAGTTTCATTCTTTAGCAGAACATGATGCTTTCCTTGAAAATATTCAGAGTAAGTATAGCAAGACAAATTGTTATAAAGTAGAAATATTGTTTTAATAACTGTTATAGTCATGATGTATAAAAGTATTGCTTAAACTTGTCTAGTGATATATTGGAATCTTTTGTTTGTAAAGTAAACTTACTTTAGTAACACATGTGATGTTTGTATTAAAAACACAGTCTCAAAACATTTTCATTTTTCAGAGGAAAAAGACCTCAAGACTCGAATAAAGTCACTTATGAGATACAGGAAGAATGGAATCACAAAACTAGATGGTGAGTTATAGAATATAAAGCAACAGTTTATGAGGTACCTGGTATCTTGTAAACTGGGGATCTGTAGAAGTAAACTCATGTTTAGTTGAGAGAAAGTAGGAAGTTTGTAAATTGAAATTATTTTATTCATTCTGTTACAAATATTCTTTAATATGTTTGAATCAAAAATCTTGTGTACAGGAGAGTGCTTCATCTTCTTTTTGACTTCTTCATGTTTGTTACTGCTAAAGTTGTAAATAATGTATAATAATCATGTATATTTCATGAAAGTACATGGGCAGCTTGAATGTAAAAATATCTAAATTGTTCAACAGATTTTAAAAACACCTTTACAAGGCTCCACAATAGATATCTGATTGTTTTTTTTTTTACCTGCAGATGTAGAACACTTTGAAGAGGAAAAATTCAAACGAGATAAGAAGAGAGACAATAAGAAAAAGCTGGTGAGTGTCGCGTTCACTCCCAAGTTGCTAAGAAGTGAATCTAGTAAGTTGATGTTTCATGGCAGTATAGTTATTTCCATTTGCCAAATTGCACTCTTTTTCAACAAATTTTTGGCATATATATTTCATGATCAATATATATTTTACAAATATTTGTCCTCATTTTCTTTCACAGAAGAATAATATCATAAAGAATCTGCCATATAACATAAGTCCTGTATGATATTGGATGGATGAGTGTGATATTTAGTTATAATGAAGAAGTTTGAATTTGATAGAATTAGATCAGTTCTGTTTTTGAATAATTTACAGAATGAATTGCAATAATATCAATATCAACTTGTTGTAACTAGTTACACCTTACATTTGAAGTATTTTTCTTTATTTTCCTCTTTAGGAATTATATATTATTATTGAAAAACTTTCATAATTCCTGTGGCTTAAATAATTTCCTTTTCTTAATTCAACATTTATCCTCATTATAAGAAAAAAACGCAATTGTTTGGTTTCAAAGGTTACCTTCATTAGGAATCGCACATTGCACTGAAACTTTCACTTGACAGTGATTCTTTTTTAATATATCAGCTTATGATTAACAAAAACATATTTGTTAGAATTAAAAAATCTTAACTTTCTACTACACCTGTTGAAAATGATTTAATATTCACTTAGATTAAAAAAAAGGGAAATTAGTTTAAAGAAGATCATATTTTGAAATGATGACTGTAAGTCAGCCAGTCGAGAAATCTTTCAAGCTTTGTTAAGGCCAACTGTTGATAGTTGATATCATATTTGCCTTTTATAAAAAGAGGTTTGTGCGAGAGTAAAAGCATATTTATCTATACTTTCTAATGATACATTTAATGGCCCAGAAAAATATCGAAATGTTTTGTAATCGTGATTCACATTTTCCTTAAGGTGCTTATGTCAAATGTGTTTGTATTAACTCACTATGATCATGACATCATTAATATATTTGTTTGGTGAATATATTGCCAACAGAAGAAAAAATGTTTTTGTTTTCACTCCAGTTTAAACCACTCTACACAACGTTGTCAGAGATATTACATACAAGTCACTGCTGTGTGACGGAGATGCAGTCACTACGGGTAGTGCCTCACCACAACTATTCTGTATTTACAGTAGTCTTGGTTGGTTATATATTTTGTAGGGCAACTCCTCGCCGCTAATCAAGAGAGGATCAATGGTCTCAAAAAAAGCCGCCGCCGTTATAGAGTAAGTATGATCACTTTATAGCTGTCCTAGTGTGGCCATTATAGTTATCATAAAGCAAGTGTGGTCACTTTATAGCTGTAATAAAGTATGTATGGTCAATTTGAGATTAATGACTACATCCAAGGTTTAACAATGATTACCTTTCAAATTTATTACAGATTCAAATCTAGGTAGTGAAAAAACAATGTTCAATACTTCAGTCTTTTATTAGAGGTAAAACATGTAATCTTTGTTTTCTTGAGCTTAATTTTATGAAGCTGATTACATAGAAGAAAACATGTCTGTGTAATAAATTATTGTTTTTCTTTCCAGAGAAAAATTAGATATACTTATAGACGACGAAGGTAAGTCTTGTTCAGTAGTGTTTATCCTATTAAGATTAGATCAGGTAAGTGCATGTTCTTTGTTCAGGTTTTGTTTTACTGGTGTAGCATTTCAGTCGTACTTCCAATATATTTCCCAAGTGATTCTCGATATACTCGAAGTGATATACTTAGTACTACCATAGCACTTGTATTTACAGCTACCCTCTCAAAAATGAGGGAGAAGTTCAGCTTGAAATTTCATTTATTGTAGATAGTTTGAAATGAAAAAAAGTTGTTGAAATTCTACATACAAGATATATTTCATTATGGTTTATTATTCAAATGGGTTCTGTCCGTTTATTCTTCGATCCATTTGGGTGTTGCTTTCCGTATGATATCTTTTGAAGGACTGGTTGGATTTCGATGAAACTGGTTGGTACACTTGATACCTTAACCAATTGTTCAAGTATGATTATCGGCAAATTCTGCGCATATTTAATGAGGCTGTCTTGACCTGATTCGCTGAAATCTTTCAGCACCCCTATTGAATGCTTTCCGCGGGTTATCTTTTGAAGGAACAAATGAATTTTGATGAGACTTGCTTAGTAAAGTTATTACATGATCTCAACACACAAGTTCGATCAACCATGAATTCCATGCATATTTAACATGGTGCTTTTACCTGATTGGATGATTTCTTGACAGGGCTCTTACACCCCATTTTGGGACTGGGGCCCGGGTCCCTTAGAACTGGGAAAAATAACTTGGTTTTCCTTAGAATTGGGAAAACTTGGGGTATAAATTGGGAAAAAAAGATACTATTTTGCATTGGGAATGGGGACGAATATCGGCCCCAAATCAGGCAGATCAAGAGCCCTGCTTGAAACAATCTCAAGTATTTCTTTCCACACTTCTTTCAAAGGAATGATCAAAATTTGTATGACTTGCTTAGCAGACTTATTTCCTTAACCACTCTCAGTTTGAGCATCAGCTAATTCCACAAATATCTAATGAGACAGCTGTGATCTGAATGGCTGACTGCTTTGCACAGAATATCTTCTGAAGTAATAATAAGAGACCTTTAAAAGACTCTAAACATATCTCTGACCAATTCAGTAATGTAGATGTCACAAAATTCTGGAAGAAGAATAAGTATAATAATGATAAGAAACGGAACACTAACAATAGGTCTTTTCACCAGTTGGTAAAAAGCCCTAATAAACCTATGTAAGTGATGTTGCACTATCATCGGTTGTGATTTCTTTTACTGATTGTAACTTTCTTGCAATTGTACATATCTGACTATCAGATGCTGTATTGTATTTTATCAATGTGTATAAACTAATTTCACTTGTCATACTTGAGAGGTTATAGAATCATTGATTGATCCAGCATCACTGAAATTAAGTGACAAATATACCATCATTACCATTACCTGATTTTGATATTCACAGTATTATGCTACTAAATTGTTATCATATTGATCATATTGATCACTTTCAACGGTACATAAAACTGAACATAAACCATAAACGGATTCAATACTTTAGTTTTTCATGTTGCTCACTTTACATATAAATATTTTACAAATGAACATGAGCGGGGGATCTCAATAACTATGTCCTTGTTTGTACCAGATGTCAAATAAATGAAATATTTATTAGAAGTAAATGGTTTTGAAAGAGTCTCAGCTGTGGGTTGTGTTTGTTAAGACTTGTTTCTGGTGTAAGATTGTTGGTGATAAAATTGCTGTTATGATTTCAATAATTAGACAAGGACAGGTTATTAATTTCAGTGCAGTCATCTAAGACGACCAGTATCCAGGTGTGTTAGGTTTTTCACTTGTTCACAGAAATCGATCTTAGATCATCTGTCACAGGTATAAATAGCTCAATCATAGATTAAACCTGTACCACATTGCCTGATGCGTGCACTTGCAGTTGTCCCAATGTCAGTGACTCTCGTAAGTAATGGTTACAATGGTCATCTGAAATGACTTGTATATATATAATAGCAATTTCAACATTTAGACAAGTTCTTGTTAATTCTTTTACGTATATTACTTACGAGAAGCTATTCTAATTAATTACCATATAACATAAAAGTGTTACAGTGGATTGTGTATTGAATAATATCATATCTTACAAAAGTCACATTCAGCTTCTTATAAAAACCAGGTTATTTTTCATAGCAGTTGCATCATGTTACTGTAGCATTGCTGTAACATTACCGTAGCACTTTCTTACTTAATTCATCTAAAATGGAACAACAAATGTTTACAGGTCTGTATTTCTTTAAATAATAATACATGATCCTTATAACGGTTGTCCTCTGATGCATTTCTCAATGAAAAAGATCTGTATTTTATTTTTCAGACATGGAAAGTGTTGTTAATGAAAGCATTTCTTTTTCTCAAATATGGAAAGCTTTTCCACTGTTCCTGATGGACAATTTTTTTTAAACATTACTATATTTCATGGTACTTACAGAGAAAAAAATGTTTTAACTTACTTGTCAAGTTTATAGCCTAATCTTGTCCTTTTATGCCACCACTAACACCAACATTTAGTGAGAGGGGTGCTTAGTAATAACTTTAAATTGTGTTGTGTATGCATGACTTGGTTTAACTACATTCAATTCAGTTCAGCTCATGGTTGGAATATTTTTCAATCTGATCAATGTTGAAAGTTGCAGATACTTCAGTGACTCCATGGTTATGTGAATGTATGTGGAAAGTGTGTAGTGCTTTTTCTTATTGATGCCTTCCTTTTTCAGAATCAAAAGATGAAGATGAGGAGAATGATAGTAAAGAAATGGCAGCCTTCCCTGGCTACGACATGTTGTCAGAGCGTGAAAGGAAGGTAGGCATTGTGATATTTACAGACCAAGAGTCGTTTATGGCAATGTAAATTAGGCATGGAACATATTATAATACAAATATCACCAAAATCAACAACCCCATTCCTTGTCCTTTATCTCTGTTTGGAGATTTAGTCCAAGAGCCAAAACATAGAATGTCTTACATGTTCTAACTGAGAATGACGAGGCAAACACAATTATGTGACTTTCACATGTGCTTGGGCTTGATCTTGCCACTGGGAGCTTATCTTATTTATATTGCAATAATAAGTTACAAAGAAATTCATGAAGATACTTTATGTGTTCTTTAAATGTAAAGACTTGATTTGTTCTTTGAATTTGTATAAGATTTGAACCAAGAACTCCCAGTTTTTCTACTTGTAGCTATAGGATGGTATGATTATATTTTTGTATTTTGTTGTTGTTTTTTATCATTATTTCATTAATACAAGTGTATTTAACTTTGTAGATTGTAAATGCCATATGATACTCAATTGATGAGAGATTTTTAGGAATCTGTTTGCTTGGGAAGGCTCAAACAGTTTTAATACTTGTAAATTACTTTGAAAACTTGAAAACTAATATTGAGTGATCCTTTTTTTTTTTTGCAGCTGTGCAACTCCATAGGTATGACTCCAGGGAACTACCTAACCATAAAGACCTGTATCATTAAGGTATGTAATAAAAAGTTAAAAACTCTTCCTGTTGTAAATACAAATGATTTATCAGTTTGGTCATTAAGAATCTCACCTTTGCAGAATGACCGTATTGGGTGTTGTAAGGCTTTGTTTATCAGGTTGACATCACAAGGGAGTAGAACAAAGCAGTTAGTGACTGATGTGCTTTCAGTACATCTCTCAATTTATGGACAAATTCAAACAAGTCAGTAGCTTCATGTCAAAAGCTAAGCAAATAAAGGGGCTAACCACTCTTTGAGATTGAGAATAAGTGTCTTAATTGGCTACAAGAGTGTGCTTATTGAAAATTTTATTGTCATGTCCTCTAACACTGCTATACTGGCTTCAACCAAATTGTAAAAGTAGCTCCTGACTAGGATATGTAGGTAAACAATGAATGGAATGCTGTCTGAGAGATGTAAGGTGGTATCAAAAATCAAATTATGTCAGATCAGGTACCAGGGGTTACTTTGGTTTGAATGAAGATGTCCCAAATAACAGGACAAGTAATAATTAATGTTGGCACTCTCCTTACTACCTGAGAATCCAAAATTATACATACATATAAAGGATTTACCTTCTGATGGTTTCTAACTGGGGTCTGACTGGAGTACCATGTCTAAATGTCTAAAGTGCTTTCTGTTAGTTAAGGATGTCTTTACTCCTGAGAAGGAAAAACAATCTGGTATTAAAATTTTTTGTTCGATTACATTTTTTTGGAAGGTTTGATCTAAGAAAGAAGATTGAAAGCAATAAGTCAGTATGTTGCTGCCTTACTTTTTCCAGCGCAGGTGTATATGTATAACAGGAAATATTTCATTTTCACATTTGGTTCTTGTTATTTTCCCTGTATAGTAGATATACCCTGCTATTTTCACAGCAACCTTTTTTGAAGATAAATTTTTGTCATACTTTGCAAATGAGGGAAAGATACTTGGATATTTAGTAAAAAGATAACATGAAAAAGTTTTCATTTGCTTTAATGGACTTTACACTGCATAGCAATCAAAAAATGAAAACATTTCAAAATGACCTAAATCCATTATTTGGCAATCTTCTATTATTAAATTTTTGTTAATACTGTATATTTGAATAGAGATATTTTGTATGATACTTGTCATGGTTAAAAAAGAGGGGGTCACTGTGCTTTATTTTTTGCAATTTTCACCCAAAAAGTTGTTTTTTCAATGATAAAGAAACAAATCGTTTTCAAGTCCTAAAAATCTGGGAAAGTGATCCATCGAGTTGGAACTCATGAATGTGAACTCTGTGCTTTGTGGTGATTATTCATAAGTTATACTCAAGAGAAGAACCTTAGCAACAAGAAAATGTTTAAATTGTTGACAGTATTAATCGCATCACCCTGTCAAATATGCCGTCAAAAAATAGTCCACAAGTGAAATTGCTTCAAAATGTCATAAAAATTGCCCTTTTTTCGTTTATTATTATATCTCTACAAAGTGTAGAAGACTACCAAAATCAAAGATATTATATTGGAATTTATTTTATAATGAATTATGTTTAACTTTCTGTCACATCATTAGAAAAGCGCATCCTTAATCTTTTAGTTAAGAAGTTTCTTATGCACTCCAGCTGTGCTAATGTCATTTTACTATTATTGTTATCTAGTCAAAGATTGCTTTATAGTTGTTAGGCTGTTCATGATAAATAGTGTACTGGTAATGTGAAGATACATATTGTTACAGGACTATCTACAGCGACGACAAGGACTGCCCAAAATAAAGATTCGCTACCCAAGTGGGCTTGACAAAACCCATCGGCGCAAGATTATGAGCTTCTTAACGGATAATGGTTGGATAGGTGTAACTTGATGAGTTCGTTGTTCCAACAGGGACTGGATAGCTTGCGAGTCAGGTGGGCTCTGGCTTTAGATCTTCACAAACGGCAGACTCTTCTTTATTAAATACGAGTGCTGCAGGGAAAAGCTGGGAATTGATGAGGTCCAATCTCTGAGATTTCCTTTACCGATGAAAAATCTGTAAAGCGTGGTCCAAATTGGCGATCATTACAAGACAAACAATCTTGAATCAGCTCAGAGTCATTTGCAAGACTAAGTTGTATTCTGCGTGTAAAATGAACAATTGCTGTGTCATATCAAGCTGCCAATGTCCAAAAGGCTAGTTGTAAAAAGAAGTGTTCACAGCAAAGAAAATTGAAAGTCTTACACAATTTGCAGCAGAAATAGCTTGTTCATTGTATTAGTGGTTGGTATTGAATTCCTTACCAAACATATCTCAGGTGATGCAAACATGTTGTGCACATTATCTGTGGCCAGACCAAATCATACAGCAGATGGGTACTTAACTGCCAAGAAATTCTGCTGAGTGATCCACATTCCCATACTCTTTTCACAGACTTGATACAAATGGTACATCTGATTGGATCTGTGAACTTGAGGGATGCAAGTGGGTTCAATAAATTAACAAGATGGAATAAGTTTTGAGGTTATTGTAAAAGTGATGAAAATGATAATTAATTTAAATTGGCTTTCCTGATACTTTTACATCCTTTTCAGAAAGTACCATTAACAAAAGTTCTAAGTTCCAAGCTGTATGGTGAACATTTATGAGAAAGTTAGAATCTGTCTGAAAAACCAGCTCTCTCTTCACATTTAATCACAACTCATTCATTTGAAGAAAGTCATTGTAGCAATCAGTTTTATATTTATTCTTTGAAACTTAAGAAAATAATCATAGTTGAACTTGACCACTTGCTCCCTAGGTGTTGATTATTAAACAAATTTCTCTACACATGTTAGTCTTGCTGCCATGATTTTGGCTATTTAAGTTGTAGGTGTAGTTGGATTATACCTGGAGATCACAATGTAAAATTTGAGTTAACTCTCTGCATCATAGGTAGAGTATCAGCATGCAAACCTCTTACAATCAAATTTCTTATATATGTATTTATATATAGATTAATTGATTATTTCTTTCTTTTTTCTTACTTTTTCAATTTGGTCAGACACTAGGAATGTGAATGGTATTGTTTTCAAGCATCCAACAGCATTATATTTGGTTCAATACTGAATTTACAGAAGTGTAAAGTTTTAAGTGTGGCCATGATGTTCCAGGAAATTGGTGACAGGATTAAGAGAATAACTGATACAGGTGTTCAGTGGTTGCTGCAATATCATGGGTGTGAGAGATGTGACAAGTATTTGAAACAAGGAAAAAAGATAATGTATGCCAGAAGAAAATATGATGTGTAACTGAAGATATTTCTCCTAAACACATTACAAATACATATTTCAAATTGGCAACAAGGAAAATGTATTAAGAATATGGGTTTTGAGTGAAGAATTTGTCACATGTCATAAAACACTACATTTCCTCATACAAAATAAGCATTTCCTTAAGATGGGTTGCCAAGCCATGGTTTCGGTCTCCTCGATCTTATTCATTATCTGTAGGATAAAAAAAACTAAGAAGTCATCTGGTATGCTGGTGCAGTAGTTGAATTTTTTCCATATCATTATTAAACATGATATTGGTTATCTTTTAGTTAGCTTTACAATATTTGGAGTACTTTGATGTGGCATACACTATTGTTACCTTTCAAATAGCATTCATCTGCAAGCATGAAATAAATACTCAGTGGAATTTGTGATGGGTCAGGAACTACAATATTTAGAATTATTAATGGCTTATGTGAAATGTTAAACATCTGAACATTGAAAAATAATTTGCTGAAGTCTAAAATGATTGATTATTCCATACCACTCTTAAGACCTCCAATATGCATTGATCATTTCAACAACATTGAAGTTAATTCCAGTGAGAAAAATCCAAGTAATTCTTTTTTTATTCAACCAGCTTTGTGTACAATATTTTTCTGTAAATGTTTGTTGTATTGAAGGAATGTACATAGTGAGAAATGTGTAGTGTTCCAACTTATTTATGAAAATGCAAAGTGTCTGTGCTATTTATGGTGTGTACAATCTTAAAACAAAACTTGATCTTTATTCTTAAATTTTTTAAATTTGGATCCTTCAAAATTTTTATGTCAAAATAATTGTAGCTTGTTTTTAATCCTGTAACTAATGTAAATTTATATTTATTTTGTATAGATGTAAATACCTGCCGACAGCAGACTGTTTTACCCCTGATATTGTACATGTGCTCATTTTAGTTACTAAACTTTTTCCTTTTTTTCTTCTCCTCAGCTTTTGCTGTTTAGGTTTGTGTCCATGATCCGTCTCTGATGAATCACATAATGAATTTCAGGGATTTCAGTTTTGAATGGAAATGATTGTGTTTCACATAAACACACTTTATTCCTGGTCACTGGTATTCATTACAGTGAAAGCAAGTATAGCTTGCAACTTCTCTTTGTGTTTGTTGTTTAATGGAATTAATTTTAAACATATTCATGGTAAATGAATGAGTTATCTTGATTTATTAGATTGAGAAAAGTCCCAATCTTTTACATTTTGTCTAAGCTTTTTCCCATTAGAAAATAGACTTTGTGCACCAATATAGGTGTACATTCATGATAAAAGTTTAGATTGTCATTCAGCATAGGACAATTTCTCACATAAACATTCATTATTATCATCAATCCATTCATGTCACATTTTGTTTCTTCAATGACTAGAAATGTTGGTATGGAGAGAAGGAGCTACTAAAATCTTGTTTTATTTAAGTGTGTCTAAGTGTGTCTGAATGGATATGTTTCCCATACTGCCAGTCTTTAAAACTTTCCTTCAGGTGGAATTTGAAGGCAGATGAGGAGTTTGAACCAAGGGTAATTTATTTTGACCCGATTGTATTGTGGTTAATTTATGATCGACCCAGTTGAATTGTGCTGGAAGTGTTGTGTGAAAGCCATGTCATAATTCAAAGCTAGAGAAATACATGGATATTGTTTGTAAGACATGTAAAGATGGAGTGCATCACAAATTTCATTCAAATAAATGAAATAAAATCTTGGTTTTGTTGTGCTTATTATATATTATCCATATCTTTCATTGACTCTGTCTCTAATTAACTCTGGCAAAAAAAAAAGATGATGGAAGATTGCAATGATGGAGTGATGTAAATTGTCAAGTTATTCATATCATAGTGGTAATGATAAGGAAGGATTTCAAACACATTCAAGATTAAAAAAGAGCTTCGGAAAAATGCTCAATAATTTATACCAGGCATAAAATGCTTTCATTCACATTATCTTGATATTTGTAGTGAAGTGTGTTGAATTAGTTGGTTAATGAACCTTTCCCTCTGAGACTTGCGTAATTAGAAAAACGACTCAATTTTATGGATGAAGTAATTTGAGATGTCTTGAAGGAAATGTGATTGTCTTTGTTCATATTATTTAAAGCAGGAGATACTTCTGTGGAGCATGGATAAATTTGATTGATGCATGTTTGGAAGTGTTTTTTCCATGTCACTTGTTCATCACATAAAATGAGTATGAATAACAGAAGGAACAAATTTCTAAATATCCAACATCAATCTTTATAATACGAAGTCAACCCATTTAGTAAATCTGTTTTATTGATCACATCATCACACACCTTACTACATCACACTTGAAAAATACATTATCACAAAAAAAATAAAAATACTTGTTCTACCGTAAGAACTACAAATAAACAGTGCTAAAAATTGCGTATATCATAAGATGTCTTGACTAAATGTAATTCTGATATTATATTGACAAAGTCCTCCAAATTCCTGTATTTCTTTGATGCAAACACTTGCTAGAACAGTTATTTTATCATGAAATAGAAATATTAAAAGATTTAAATATTCTCATAAAACAATGAAATGTCACACAAACTGATCTACAGTTAAAATCTACTTTGAAACATTCCTGTTTTATAGAAGCATACAGCGCGTAAATTATGCTCTATTCGGTGTCGCCAACTCAAATTATTTTGTTGGGTCAACCTGATATTGGCCATATGATGAGCTGCTCAAATAGTAAAAAAAACAGACAAATAAAGAAAGATTATGTATCTAACCCATTCTGATCTCTGGATAAGGGAAATAATTGATATGGTTACATTCATTTTTCTCTATGCTAGAACACAATAAAACGTGTTCAGTCATTTTATATCCGTTCAAGATGGAATTTTGAATTGAAGATATGAAAAATTAAAGAACTGTTCCCAGTATGTTAAACCTCATCGATTTCTTAGTATATATACCGTGGCACGATAATAACGCTATTAGTGCGTCTATTCACAAAAAAAACTTAATGCTATATATTTGTTGCCAAAACAACAATTGTCAAAGCTGTATCAAACCCCGTCTATATTATCACAATGAGGAAATAGTGTGTACTGCAGTGTAAAAAGAAACACTGCTTGACTATAAGTAAGCACTGTGGATATTAATGATATATCGAATGTTAACATCTTGACAAATCAAAATTATTGTAAATACATTAATAACAATCCCATTCACAAATTAAGTTAATTCAAAGCGTTTTAAACTATTTTGAAATGATATAATTTAATTTCCAATACATTTGCTTAATTCTTAATTTTATCAAAAATTATAAACTTCATTTACTTCAAACAATATTGTGAAACAAATTATGCCAACATTCATTAATCATTCCTTGACCAAGATGAATGTCTGCAAGATGGAGAACTCAGCATCCTTTACTTAAACATAATTAATCATAAACGTCTTGGGTAACAACAATATTTTAAACGTACACGTTCAGCGGTAATCTTATTCTGTATGTAATGCGATAAGATATGATGAACTCTGATCCTTAAATTTTATTGCATCAAAAATAGAGCGGTTTTAGTATTTTATATGGAGACAATTACTTCTTTAAATAGATTATAATGTATTATTTTTTTTATTAGAAAATCATAATCGTTCTGATCGTTTTAAATGATGTATATTAAATATTTTCATTGTGAAGTTAGGAGTTGACGAATCAAGTAGTGATGAAAACCTAATTTTAAATTATATTACGGGCATTTGTTCCGAGTACAAAATGTTCAATATCAATATAAAAAACAGCAAACTATCCTCATCAAAATTTAACGCAGTAAGTTAAAAAAAAAATCCACCACAATTCTGTTTATACTTTTCAAACAAATTATAAACAAGGAAAACCAATCAAATTTTACATTATCTTTGGATATTGTCATAGCCATACATATGCATTTTTTATCATGAATATCAGGATTATGGGTTTACAACAAAAATACTCCTAAAATAATGACAACCAATAACTTGTGGTTGTCATTAGGGGAGATAACTCTTACTTACCAAAAAGAAGTAGTAGCAATTATGAACTCATTATTATATTTCTGTGTTATAGTATTATCATTAAGTCCTGTACATTTATTTAGAGATAATGCATATTGTTAAGGCTTAAAAAAAACCAGGTTCGGTAGGTCGGGATTTTCTGCTCCGAGAATGCTTTGTTGCTCGTTGACGCCGGCCTCTCAAGTACGGCATATTGATAAGGTAACGGGTTTATACACACGCGTCAGATATTATATAAGTGTCGTATGTGTGTATTGTGAGATGATTATCTGATCCGAAGGATTTTTGTCTTGGTCGCGGTCGATAAAATTCCTCCCTACATAAAAAAAACTGGACGTTTTAGCAACCCGTATATAGATCGTTATTCAGGCAATGTTTATATAATTCACAACAGAGCGATAGTAACAAGTGATACATCAACGGAAAGATAAAACACGAACCGATAAATAAAAATCATTGCTTTCTCATCTTTTAATGAGTCATTCATTGATTAAAACCCTATCCAATAATTCCCATAATAATCTATTTTTAAAACATATGCATTTCTCCCTCGTTAAATTTGTAAACTCTCAATAATAACTCATTCTTAAACCATTGTCCCTTGATAAACAGAAATTTTACATGTGTACCATTAACCTACCATACCTCGCCATCGAAAATATGTAAATTGTCTTGGACTCAGGTTCTAGAAGAAGTGTATTTTCTGACCTAAAAAAAAAGACCTTTAATGTTTATTAGCTCCTCCCCCAACCCCCTAGTCTCGCGTACACCAAATGTTATATAAAGTATTCCTTCGTTGTTTTAGGATTGTGCTGGAATTAATAACTTTTCTTTGAATCCGTCTATTTTTGGTATATCCTGGATTGAATTGAAGATGTATGGAAATAGCGCCTCTCTGACAAAATCTACTTGACGAGTCGGTGAGTGATGGGTAGTCAACACATTGTTGGACCTAGATGCTGACCGAGTTAGGGATGTAGTCAGGACTTGCCCACTTGTAAGGATACCTTCTGATTCTATTCCTTTCCTCTATTATTTCAACAACTTCATGCAAATCATTTTGGAATCTGAAATGATACGATATTATCATATTTACATTTTTTCTGTAATGCAATGACATCCAACTGTCGATAAACCAATGAAATGGTGATCTTTATGGGATAATTTCAAAATGAACATTTTCATCTTTACATTGAAGCATATAATATATACTCACTGTGTCACCGCGACGTCGCGAGAGAAAGATACATTGTCAAAGTCACCCAGGAGTTTGGTATTCCTTGTGCTCAATAACTTCATCACTACCATTTCCAGAAGGCAAGTAACCTTGGTTGGAATCGCGTTGATAATGGCTGTCGCAGTCAGCTCAGTGGCCTTCGTTCAACAAAATAAAGGAAATTTAATGTGTTGGAACTTTTTTTCTTTTTATAAAAGTTAGAACATTGATGTCTTTTTTTATCTTCAGTTAAATAACCGATTGTATTAATTTATTGCAGTGTTATATGCATTCTATCAAATGGATTCGGATATTAAATTATTATTTCATGAATTTATTACTGTTAATGATTATATAGATTCAATGAATTATTGTATTAATGATCAAATTAAAGAACATGATGTGTAAAAATCGTTTTAATATTGTTTGTCTCACTGAAGAATTGAATGGCATATGTACCGACAATATTTTCTCTTGAAGGAAGACATATATGTTTTGGCTGAGTGTGCGGAGATTTACTGCAGAACTAATATTTGAATCTCATACATCACCTTAATATGTTTTTTTCGCTACTACTAAAGAGATATTGCCGTCCAGCCAGTTAAGGGATTATTGGATTTTTTTTTATATTAGTGTTCTCGTCTTTGTAATTTTGTCTTTATGGCTTATGTACGTGATGTAACTGCGTTGTATTTTGTGTTTTGATAAAGGTGTGGATTGACATGATAATTTATTTGTTTGTCGGCACTGTCGTTTTTACTTCATTATAATACTTCAATATATCTTTTCTGCTAATACGTATCCAACGAACACTTTTTTTTATTAAGACCCAGTACCAATATTGGATCATGCCGTCGATATTATATTCGATAAAAAATAACGACAATATGTTTCTGTCTACTTTTACTAGAGATTGAGTTCGTCAGTTAAGCGTTATGTCAGTACATTTATTCCTTCTATAAGAAACATTCCTGAAATCCAAAAACTCAAATTCAAAGTCGCTTGTCCGAGAAATATACATGACGCGATTGTGTGATCAAAATCTAAAATTGTTATTATATTTTTCAATATTTTGTAAAGAAATTAATGAAAATGGACATTTCGGAATAGAGATAAAAGGCGTACCGGATTCTGCGGTGGAGTGCCTCTCATGCCAACAGGGTAGGCTGGCTGGAAGCCGTACTGATCGTACTGTGGAAAGTTAGTGACGGCATGTTTCACGCTACAAATGTATATAATGCAGGTCAAGATTTCTATCAGCTGCTGACATGTAGATATGGTCTCACCGTTTTCATCCAGCGGAAGACCCTGCGTAAGACATCCACCATTGTATAAATATCATAGTTAGTGTAAGACATCCACCATTGTATAAATATCATGGTTAGTGTAAGACATCCACCATTGTATAAATATCATGGTTAGTTTAAGATATCAACCATTGTGTTGACGCCATGATTACCAGATTAGAAAATATTGTCATTCAAGCTATTGTCAAGAAGTACGTAACAGAAGTAAAGAAAGCAAATTTCGCATTGTTTCAAACACATACCAGTATTCCACAGCCACCACCGACCTGTTCCCTCGGGGAAATAATCGCCAATATCCAGGCTTGTAATCGTGCATCATCACTTACTGTGCGTTGCCCAATACCGCCGTTATCTAGTTGTAACATATGACCGTTATATACATTCATTCAAAACTATAACCCTTAGTTTAATGTGTAAATCCGTCCCTGCCATTGCCTCGCTATGGAAGAAATATCTTTACAGTACACTTGGAAGAGTGTACACACACGCGAATAGCACATTGTATGCGAATTTAGATATAGAGCTTGATGACAAATTAAAATGCAACATATATCTCTTTCATCCTTCTAGGATTCATGGGTACGCTACGAACCTTAATTTCGGGAGCTAGGAGGCGACCAAGGAAAATATTGATCGTAGTGTCAAAATCTAGATGCGGAAGTGCAAGCTCCACGATTCTAATCAGTATTACTATCGAAGTGTCATAAATTTTGCTGTATTCATGGATGGCATGGAATTGCAAAATATACCATTTCTTGTTAAATTATTCAAATAAAAAAAACCCCTTTAAATCAATAAAAAAGTGAAAATCCGAACTATTGAAATAAAAACCCTTTACATGCCAGTAAATCTTATTGTAAACTTCAAACCAAAACAAATAAGCACAATTTTTGAAATGACAGTTGATTAAGATAAATAGTGTGATGTTATTACTGGTTTCGAAGGTAGGCATTCTCCACTTACCATTATAGTGTATCTCAACACATGTCTGCACGTAACGGTGAATAGCCCCATAGACAAGTAGAGCATCGTCACGGTAATAATACCCAGGAAGAATACCGTTACCTGTCACCTAAAACATACATTAACAGACAGGTCAATTACTGATCAAAAGGGAAAAAAAGATATTGAACTGTTTCCAAACATGCATCTTATACAGAAAAAACACCACTTAAGACGAATCTATAGGACCATAGAGTTTTACTATGAACCATGAACCGGATTTTGCCCCAATTAATTCCTTCATGTATTTTTGCTTTTATGCAAATAAAATAAACCATTACGCATTTAGAAAAATGAGATATTTTCATAACCTTATTACTTGTTATATTACCAACGTTTGACATGACCTACACATCTGAGGTTTTCGGAATTGTTTTCGCTATTTATTTTTTTTTTTCGTGTGTTATACTGTTTAAAATTTTCTTACCCCTCTGTTTTCAAGGTCATTCGGTAATATTCCATCCGTATCCATCCTCCACCCCTCTAGTCTGATACATGAAAAGGTGAAGACTGACATATGTTCAAGATAATCAACATTAAATGCTTTTCTTGGCATTTCGCCAAAAAATAACATTTTCTGTTCAGCCTGTACAGCATTTTTAGTATTGGAATTACATCTGTCATTTTTGTATGTGTGTCTGTGTTGGTAGTTGCTTGCTCATTTTAATGTTTTATACAATATTTACAACTTTGTAAATTTTTAAGAAACATTATACCGTCGTCTGATGATCTCGATCATTCCATCTCTACCGATCGACAACGTTTTGTCCACGATTCCATTAATGTTGATCAGCCGACTTCTCGCTTCCCTATGAAAGAGATTCCTCATAGAATAAATCATTCTGAAATGAACCCACCTTCATATTATACTTTGAAATTATGTAAATTGGGGTATGTGTTCACATTTGTTGACGTAAATGCAGAATATCTTTAGATATGTATTTTTCAAGCAAATGAGATCCAGGAAATCTTCTGCGATATCTTGTGTTAGATTGTTCTGTCACGATCTGGTCCAATCCGTTTGGTACCGAGGTATTTGGCACCAAGCCCCGACTTAATTAAAATGACGTCATATGTGACGTATAGCCGAAAAAGGAGGCAATAAAATTTAATAGAAGAATTTGGAAAAGAAAAGTTGAGATTCTTATTTTACAATTATGACAAAATTATGTACATGTACGAGAAATATAATCAATTTCTTGTATTTGTTCTATTGATATTCAGTCTCCGGAGATTACGTTACAAGGGAACAGGCCTCGACTGAGACAAATCAATCTGGAATTGTGGGATTTACATGAAATCTTTTTACTGTTTTGACTAATGGCCACAAAATGGCTTCATACTTGTTATTTCAACATATCATTTTGTGGAGTTCAGACCGAATGGAATCAATTAATGAATTATGTTGGTTAATAGACACAGGTAAGTTCTTGAATAAATTTCCCAAATCAGATTTGAAGACAACTTTTACCGGGTTAGTATCCCCCGACTGATGCAATTGTATAGCGATGGGCATCAATTCGTTGTTAGCATCCACGAGGAACAAGGCGATAGGAGCACAAACCTAAAATAACCAGTATTATCATTAGGCCATAGGCATTGAATTCTTTCTTTATTGTTAACATTGATGTCAATGATGTAAAATCTATTAATGATGACATTTTGATAATTAGCAATTATGGACATTTACAGGAGTCAAAATAGTGTTGAATAAACATGGTAGAAAAATATTGTTAATATTTTTACCATGCTGATATAACAACATATTGACTGAAATCGAAGGTCCTTAATTTTTATCTATACATGTGTACCGGTGATTTGATTTTTTTCTTTTACACATGCATTTATGAAATATCCTTATTTCAAAATCAAACATTCAGACTGATACGAAATAATCGACAAATACTTTTATTTGCTTAACAGATTACACACATTTAAAATCCTGATTTATATGTTTGTATATCATATTCCAGGGTTCATATAATTCGGTTGTTCTAAATTTAGAAACACTGAGTTCATATGAATAATATCAATCTGAACGTGACGATCTCTTATTCAACCAGAACAAGTGAAAATCCGAAAAACATGTAAGAATATAGAATTACGAATATATGCTTCATTTGACATTTCCATTCTAGGCGTGTAATATGTACATAGTGACAATAAGACTACTTACTCCGAACTGATCCATCATTCCATCCAGAATTCTGTAATCAACGATGAAAAGTCTCTGTTCATTGATGGCTGTTTCAAGGGTGAAATCATCCCTCCCAGATCTATTTTGTAAAACTTCGCTTAGGGAATCCTGTCTGTCCTCAAGGTTATCTAACAAGTTTCTAAAGAGAGGAAAATTAATTGTGAGAAAGAAGAAAAAAATCGATATCAATATCTTACAATTGTTATTTGTCATGGTTTAACAAAAAAGCTCTCTGACCTTTGACTTTTTTTGCTGGTAATTCAGTCTCGGGTGTGGTATCAAAATTTAACAATTATTGATCATTCTACGTTTACCTTTTAAGGATTTAATTTTCAGTTGATAGAATATAGTTCCATGTTTTGTACTGTACCAAAACTATTGCACTTCAGTGGCTGATGAGCATGATTTTTATGATGCCAATACTCATGTGTTGATGAATAGTGATTGGTATGCCGAATTTATACGTTCCCAATACCAACGTGTAACTATACGGCGTGATTAATGAGCATGGCTTGTATAGTCCTTGTACCTGTACGGTGTGATCAATGAGCATGATTTGTCGCTGTACCAGTATGTTGCTGTACGGTGTGATCAATGAGCATGATTTGTTGCTGTACCCGTGTGTTGCTGTATGGTGTGATTGATAAGCATGAGTTGTCGCTGTACCCGTGTGTAGCTTTATGTTGTGATTGATGAGAATGATTTGTCCCTGTACCCGTGTGTAGCTGTATGGTGTGATTGATGAGAATGATTTGTCCCTGTACCCGTGTGTAGCTGTATGGTGTGATTGATGAGAATGATTTGTCCCTGTACCCGTGTGTTGCTGTATGGTGTGATTGATGAGAATGATTTGTCCCTGTACCCGTGTGTTGCTTGCTGTATGGTGTGATTGATGAGCATGATTTGTCCCTGTACCCGTGTGTTGTTGTACGGTATGATTAATGAGCATGATTTGTCGCTGTACCCGTGTGTAGCTGTATGTTGTGATTGATAAGCATGATTTGTCGCTGTACCCGTGTGTTGTTGTACGGTGTGATTAATCAGCATGATTTGTTGCTGTACCCGTGTTAGCTGTACGGTGTGATTGATAAGCATGAATTGTCGCTGTACCCGTGTGTAGCTGTGTGTTGTAATTGATGAGAATGATTTGTCGCTGTACCCGTGTGTAGCTGTATGGTGTGATTGATGAGAATGATTTGTCCCTGTACCCGTGTGTAGCTGTATGGTGTGATTGATGAGAATGATTTGTCCTGTACCCGTGTGTAGCTGTATGGTGTGATTAATGAGCATGATTTGTCGCTGTACCCGTGTTAGCTGTATGTTGTGATTGATAAGCATGAGTTGTCGCTGTACCCGTGTGTAGCTCTATGTTGTGATTGATGAGAATTGTTTGTCCCTGTACACGTGTGTAGCTGTATGGTGTGATTGATGAGAATGATTTGTCCCTGTACCCGTGTGTTGCTTGCTGTATGGTGTGATTGATGAGCATGATTTGTCCCTGTACCCGTGTGTTGCTGTACGGTATGATTAATGAGCATGATTTGTCGCTGTACCCGTGTGTAGCTGTATGTTGTGATTGATAAGCATGATTTGTCGCTGTACCCGTGTGTAGCTGTATGGTGTGATTGATAAGCATGAATTGTCGCTGTACCCGTGTGTAGCTGTGTGTTGTAATTGATGAGAATGATTTGTCCCTGTACCCGTGTGTAGCTGTATGGTGTGATTAATGAGCATGATTTGTCGCTGTACCCGTGTTAGCTGTATGTTGTGATTGATAAGCATGATTTGTCGCTGTACCCGTGTGTAGCTCTATGTTGTGATTGATGAGAATTGTTTGTCCCTGTATCCGTGTGTTGCTGTATGGTGTGATTGATGAGAATGATTTGTCCCTGTACCCGTGTGTTGCTTGCTGTATGGTGTGATTGATGAGCATGATTTGTCCCTGTACCCGTGTGTTGCTGTACGGTATGATTAATGAGCATGATTTGTCGCTGTACCCGTGTTAGCTGTACGGTGTGATTGATAAGCATGATTTGTCGCTGTACCCGTGTGTAGCTGTATGTTGTGATTGATAAGCATGATTTGTCCCTGTACCCGTGTGTTGCTGTACGGTATGATTAATGAGCATGATTTGTCGCTGTACCCGTGTTAGCTGTACGGTGTGATTGATAAGCATGAATTGTCGCTGTACCCGTGGGTAGCTGTGTGTTATAATTGATGAGAATGATTTGTCCCTGTACCCTTGTGTTGTTGTATGGTATGATTAAAGAGCATGATTTGTCGCTGTACCCGTGTGTTGTTGTATGGTATGATTAAAGAGCATGATTTGTCGCTGTACCCGTGTGTAGCTGTATGTTGTGATTGATAAGCATGATTTGTCGCTGTACCCGTGTGTTGTTGTACAGTATGATTAATGAGCATGATTTGTCGCTGTACCCGTGTGTAGCTGTATGTTGTGATTGATAAGCATGATTTGTCGCTGTACCCGTGTGTTGTTGTACGGTATGATTAATGAGCATGATTTGTCGCTGTACCCGTGTGTAGCTGTATGTTGTGATTAATAAGCATGATTTGTCGCTGTACCCGTGTGTTGTTGTACAGTATGATTAATGAGCATGATTTGTCGCTGTACCCGTGTGTAGCTGTATGTTGTGATTGATAAGCATGAGTTGTCGCTGTACCCGTGTGTAGCTTTATGTTGTGATTGAAGAGAATGATTTGTCCCTGTACCCGTGTGTAGCTGTATGGTGTGATTGATGAGAATGATTTGTCCCTGTACCCGTGTGTTGCTGTATGGTGTGATTGATGAGAATGATTTGTCCCTGTACCCGTGTGTTGCTTGCTGTATGGTGTGATTGATGAGCATGATTTGTCCCTGTACCCGTGTGTTGCTGTACGGTGTGATTAATCAGCATGATTTGTTGCTGTACCCGTGTTAGCTGTACGGTGTGATTGATAAGCATGAATTGTCGCTGTACCCGTGTGTAGCTGTGTGTTGTAATTGATGAGAATGATTTGTCCCTGTACCCGTGTGTAGCTGTATGGTGTGATTGATGAGAATGATTTGTCCCTGTACCCGTGTGTAGCTGTATGGTGTGATTAATGAGCATGATTTGTCGCTGTACCCGTGTTAGCTGTATGTTGTGATTGATAAGCATGATTTGTCGCTGTACCCGTGTGTAGCTGTATGGTGTGATTGATATGTATGTCTTATGCGGTTTTTATTCCTGGATGTAACTGTGAAACGACAACATTAAGAGTATTTCGCATCATTTACGTGGGTACTGTTTCAAAAACACGTCTGATGACGAATGGGTTGACTCCAACCAAACGCTGCCTTGCAAAAAACGCATCATCTCTCCAAATTTCCGTCTGAAAAAAATTAATACAACGATGTTCATTGTAATTACAATTATATATAGACATACAAATGTAAATACATGTATAAAAAGTCAACACGGCGTATGCAGTTGATTACTTATCACTTTATTAATTTTTGGTTAACACTTTTTGTGTTCTTTTTATAGACACACGTGTTACTGACATGTAACCGAAACATGAAATGAAAGATAGAGGAATCTCTTCATCAAATATAGAAGAAAAATACAGGATTCAAACACTGGGTAGAATTTGTTTTTACATTTTTTCAAAACGTGTTCCAATTTGAATACTTTCACGTTATCTGTTTTGTTCTGTCAACAATGGTAAAGAAAATTTTCCATTAATAACCTCTGACACGGTGAAACAGTTAGAAAATTATCTATTAACTTGTTCATTCCGACAAAGACTTATATATATATATATATATATAGATTGTGCATTATTCAGAAAATAGTTTTGAAGTCCGTATGACGGGAAAAAATAGAGAATTGAAAAGATTTCAAGATACTAGATTCTCGAAGTCTGTTAAGATATCTTCACATATGAGCTTCTCATCAATGAAATATTAATTTTTATACAACAGTGTACTCGTAGAAAAATTTTAATAAGAATATTGTTTAATCTGAGAATATGATGGACAGGGTGTTAATGTATATTTTCAAGATACTAGATTCTCGAAGTCTGTTAAGATATCTTCACATATGAGCTTCTCATCAATGAAATATTAATTTTTATACAACAGTGTACTCGTAGAAAAATTTTGATAAGAATATTGTTTAATCTGAGAATATGATGGACAGGGTGTTAATGTATATATGTATATAGACGTTGGTTTAAGCCCGATTGATAGGAAAACACAAATCGATATCAAATGTAAGAACGCTAATTCTCAAAGTCTTAACATACATGCTTATTTCAACATGTATATGAGCAGAATGTGAATTATATGCATTTTGATAAAACTAGGAACATCACCATTTATTTTGTGGTAATCAGAATGAAATATGGTCATATTTGTTACTTGACGATTGCTCTTCCTGTACTCACCGTAGAAGGCTTCCGAAAGATCAAACCATATACCTTCAAAAGGTCTGACAACCTATTCCAAACTGGAGTGAAAAATATATCGATGCAGTAGCCAGTGAACAACACAGCCATCAGAACAGTTACGCGAATCTGTGTTAAAAATAATGGTCCGTTATTAAATTAATCAAGCTGCAAAACTGTACAATACCCATGAAAGTAACAAAGCCATCGTTGGATAATCTGAAAGAAGTTGCAGTTATATCAATATTTATATTTTATCTGTAATTTCTATATTTGAAATAAAATTCTGAATTATCAAAATCAACAGAAGATACATTGAAATATACCATGAGTGACGAATAAAATATTTACTTTTTCAAACATGTTAAACTTTTCGTTATTTGGCAGTGTTTCCACCTGTAATAAATTTAAAAAAGTCAATTGCAATCAAAATAATATGCTTCTCTAATAATACAAATATCAAACTTATAAATATGATGGACTTGAAATATGTTAAAAAAGTGATCTTTAACAAGATCGGATTTAATCCCTACACAGCGTGTGTCGATCTTTATATGATTACAATATCTAGAAAGAAACCCTATGTTTATCTGATGTTTGGGCAATGAATAGGTACAAGAAATACACTATTACTGGTCTTTATTTGTACAATTGAAACGGGATATGTTTATCTATCACGCTATGTATGTATATATTGTTATTCGTACTAAGGAAAAGTAACTTCCAGTGATATTAAACATTGTAAAAATTCCTACAGTTTAGTATTTCAAACAAACCAATGAACAAAACGACTGTCTTAAATACTCACACGAGACGGAAGGCCTTGGACATACTCAACCAACTGGTAACCTTCATTTAAAAATTCATTTTATTGCATGCACATATATATAATATGAAAGTATGTAAGGTCCTATATGGAGATTTACTACTACAGATATCATGCTCATATACCAAGGTAAAAGTCCAGTGTTCAGTGTAATATGTTTACAAAATATTAGAAAACTGTCAAATCTGATTATGGCTTATTTTAGATAATGCGGCATCTATGAAGGTTTGCGTCAGTCATAAAAACGAACATTTCATGTAAGTGGTAATTATTTCAACAGATCAGAAAGGAAGCAGTCGCAGGCATAATATATCGACTATCACACACATCATGTAATTCTTGATGTTAAATTCAATTTCCTTTATTACCATAGGCCAAAGTTCCTTACATGGAAAATTTGGTACAATCAGGCATATATACAGATTGAAAGAGAGATGGTTTAAACGTGAATGAATGTGTTTAACATATTCACTTGTTTAGAATACAATTGTCAACAATAAACAATAAAAATGCATATTCAGACATTTTTGTTTCTTAATTTTGAAGATAGAGGTAAGAGTTATCGATTGGGGTGAATTTCAAATTGTGTACATAGAGCAAAGAAGATTAAGCGGTGCAGTATGTAGACCTCTGACAGTCATGACGGACTAGTTGTAAATAACGAAAATAAGAACATACGTACCTGCTCCTGTCTGAAAACGTCATGGAAAAATAGCTTTTCATACAAAAAACAACGGAATACCAAAATGTCAACAACATCGTTATTTAATCTTAACTAAACTTATAATGTTTATGGTGTGTAGCTTCGCACTCTGTCTTAACCGAGACTGTGAAAAAAGATTAAACGATATCTTGTAAAATGACACGGTGTTTATTGACTAATAATGAGTTCATATAAAAATTATACATTCATATATTTTCTAAAATGAAAATCCTTGAAGCACCGATGCTATTAAATCATGTTTATTTTCATATGAAAACAAATTGATTGTTATTTCATTTACCGTGGTATTACTGAAGTGGTTTTTTTGTATGGATGAAAATCACTAAATAAATAAATAAGGTGAAATAAGATAAAAAAAATTACAGATTTTTAGAAATGTTTCTCCCTGTAACCATTTTTTGAAGTTTTGTCATGAGAGTAAATAAAAAGGAGTTCTATGGCAGAAAATGAACCCCATAGAACATACCACAGGTGAAGTGATTAAAGATCGGTGTTTCAAATACTGAAGTTAAACCTATGCTAAACTGCATTATATATGTATCTATCATGGATGCTTGCCATAATATTTGCAAATGATAAGCATTTTTGTAAAACAAATCATTTGTATGAAACATCTAAAATTACAAAAATAGGTAAATGAATAAATAAATAGTTATCCGTTACATGTATTTTTATATATCACGATTTTGAAAGAAAAAGATGCATGTTGCTTCGTATCTGCCAAACACTTCAGTTAGCAAATCTTGCAAAATTTTGAAAAATTTGTAATCTCACTTTAATACTATAAAATATAGGACGTCTTACATTATGATAGTAATTTAATATGATTATAAATATATATAAAATCTGCCAAATTATGAAATGTCAATTTACCTTTATAAATTGTGAGTATGATGCCAACTTTATATCTCAGATATTGTAAGATGTATAAAGAAAATCAGTAAAATTGTGATGTTCGAAAAAAAAAAAAAAAAAATAAAAAAAAAAAAAAAAAAGAAGAACATTTGCTGGCATTACGAAATAATGTTTTACAAATGACTAGGAAAATATCTTTTATAACATTGCTGCTTTGTTGTTAGTATAAAATATTTCTTTACTTCCATAATTGTAAAAAGAACCACCTGTCACCAAAGAAAGTGGCGTTAAGTGTGAAAATACACCCAATTTTGACTTTTTATCTGTGTATCAAAATAGACCACACAAGAATGCTTGCAAAGCACCTAGCTAATGCGAGAAACAGACTTTTAAATTCGTTTCCATTCAATATGAGACTTATGAAAATAGCCAGAATAAAACATTCTGAGATTCATTTTATTAATCTCGTATGGAATTTAAACTTGTAGGATCTTCTATATAATTGTAACTGTTAAATAAGGAATCAAGTACGTGTAGATGCATATTCAACTTTTGATAATCCCTAGATTGATAGGAAGTATTCAAATTATCTTCTTATACTAAGATTGAGCAAGGCATAAAATTTCCTACCATCACATTAGATAAAACATGTACTTACGGCCATAATTGGAAGGTGATCTGCAAGCTGGTGATTTGAGCAATGTGCGTGAAAATAGTAAATATCATGGGTATTTATAGTCTCTACTGGAATGCGGAGACGTTTGTAATTAAAAAGATAAAAAAAAAAAAACAAAAGACTGCCTTTTATAAAGAAATAAATGCTCCTTTGATGTGTGACAAGTGTACAACACGGCATAAAGGAGGATATGTCGGCTTGGTTGCAGGTTTGTTATGTATTGTGCTGTATCATGTTTCGGAGAAATGTTGAGGAAATTCCCGACTGTAAGGTAAATAGTTTGGCAGTGTGTATATCTATTAAAAGGCCTATATTATTGTGTGTCCTTTGTACAGTCTTTGGAGATTGCAGGGGTTAACTGTGCAGTCGTGTTTTAAAAGTCGCATAAACATAATGGCAAGGTTCAAAATATATACACCCAATAGACGGATTTAGTTTATGCATATTCCTTATTATTAAAATTGTGCCTCTTCTTTGCAATATTTTGAGAAGAAAATGTTAAAAAGTCAGCAAGCGAACTTTTTATCGGGGTTTGCTGTGCATGACGACTTTTAAAAGGTCGTACGAATAGTTGCACGAATCAAATAGTTGCTAGTGAGTTAACATTCTATAAAAATGATCCAATATTGCAGAATTAATTAATTTGATTATTATGTTGGTTCATCTCCCAAGCTATATTTCAGAATTTGTTTCTGCCTATTCGCGCAGACCCCTGTTATCACTTAAGTGTCATAAAAAAATGAAGAGATAACTACACGATGGCATTTAATTCATCCTTTAATTTGATGTATCTAATGCAAAGTTTGAAAAGGTACAGATATAAGATATCAAAAATTAAATAAGAAGATAAAAAGTAAGAAAGAAAAAAAATAATCTTACAACATGAAAAAAATGATAGAAAGCTAAAAGACAAAAATGTTAAAAATAACAAATTTTACAAAGTGATGAAAAATTAAACGATAACAAAAGTGGTAAAATATTCATGTTGAAAATGATAAAAAAAAATCTAAAGGTAAAGGTCATCGGGTACACCTTTATGTAATAGAGGGATTAAAAAATAAATATTTGTCACTACCTAATTTTTACAACCCCAGTAATGTGAGTAGGTGTTTTCTTTCAATTCTAGTTAGTTTGTTGTAACGCGTTTCTTGTATTTTGTTTCGGCATTGATACCTGATACCTGTCTAATAACTTTTTATGAAGTATTGTACATACCGGACAATGATGTTTAATCAAGCGAGCTGAAACTTGACATTTGACTTGGAAACATGTGTATTTTTCGTGTGTATTTTTCCACGAAAAATACACAATAGGGAATGGCTAAGTGCATTTAAATTACGATACACGACGAAAATACTTCGAAATAAAAGAATGTTTTGGGGTGGTACTTCTCAAATCGAAAACAAGATTAAACATGAAGAGCGGGTTTCATGGACAACTGAACACCCTAGCTTAATATGTCATACGATTTAAAAAAAAGGGAACTGATCAAAATTGAATATCATACTTATGATAATGGCGACGAGACTCATTTTATTTTTAGTATGTACAATCATGCTTAAAGGTTACAAAATGGAATTACCCCACATTAATGATTAACACATTTCTTTGTATTTTTTCCTATCTGGATGCATTCATATCAACCAATGATCGGGATATGCCCCAGACACTCGTATTATGGTATTTTCATCAGATGGTGGGGTGTTAAAATATCATGTGTGCTTTCCCTTTGCCCCGAATGGTGTCCTCTACAATTTGAAGCAGATTGAAACAAAAAATTAAAACAAGGCGACATTCTTGATTTTTATTAGCATTGATCATTTTGAGTTAAGGTTATTATTATGGCGATTTCTTTAGAAGTAGTTAATGAATTAAAACATTTCTGTTCCCTTTGTTTATTGTTGTCACTTTATCATTGATTCACCTGATAATACAGTTAAGAGCGAAATAAGGAAATATCCTACTAATACCGATCTAAAGATCATGTCACTTTGGACGTCATAACATCTCTGAGATCTCATTTTTGTATTTATGATAAAGTTCAAGTTGAAGTTACACTGGCCTTTTCTAGTACGCTTCACGCCGCAGTCTCGTGTTTGACATATGTAACAAGTTAATCAACGCACATAAAACAGTGACAGAGGTGTGCTTCATAGATGTTGTCAAAGCGCACACACTTCTACCCCTACATTGCCCATAAAATCAATCATATTATCTCCATCTCCTCGTTCTTCCCCTATCTAACTCCATACCCTTACTCTATCCTTTTCTAGTAGCATCAGGTGAGACATTGCGCAATCACTCACGATGCAGCCAGCCATGTCAATATCAAACCTTTTTATCTAACTATATCGGATATGTCGGCTTGGTTGCAGGTTTGTTATGTATTGTGCTGTACCATGTTTCGGAGAAATGTTGAGGAAATTCCCGACTGTAAGGTAAATAGTTTGGCAGTGTGTATATCTATTAAAAGGCCTATATTATTGTGTGTCCTTTGTACAGTCTTTGGAGATTGCAGGGGTTAACTGTGCAGTCGTGTTTTAAAAGTCGCATAAACATAATGGCAAGGTTCAAAATATATACACCAAATAGACGGATTTAGTTTATGCATATTCCTTATTATTAAAATTGTGCCTCTTCTTTGCAATATTTTGAGAAGAAAATGTCAAAAAGTCAGCAAGCGAACTTTTTATCGGGGTTTGCTGTGCATGACGACTTTTAAAAGGTCGTACGAATAGTTGCACGAATCAAATAGTTGCTAGTGAGTTAACATTCTATAAAAATGATCCAATATTGCGCAATCACTCACGATGCAGCCAGCCATGTCAATATCAAACCTTTTTATCTAACTCTATATCCCCTTGCCTATCTGGTTCCATCTGGTGTGATAAAACAATCACACACGATAGAATCATATACATGTATAACACACCATCCATTATCCAACTATTTATCCCCTCCCCCACTTTTGCCTGGTTTTGCAGGGCGATATATCAAAACTACACCAAATATAACCAAATATACCATTCCTTGTCATTATCGTATTAAACTTAGATACTACTAGTTCCAGTTTAGAAGAGGCCAAACATTATTATCCTTGGTCTGCTGTAAACTCAGGAATCATTTATTGACATGAACACATTACACTTGACCCAGGTGATATTGAATATGGATTAAGGTCATGCTTGGTTGCCCTCTATTCCAGCATGCTACCGGCCAAATATCATGATCATTGCGCCTCTTCACGAGCTGGTGATACGAAGACGACAGATGAACGTACAGACGGACGGACAAACGACACGACATAAGCTTAGGTAATACTCTGTGAAATACAAACATGACAAATATTCTGTTAAGCTAATTTATTGATAAATTCGCAATATGCATTCATCATTTAATGCGAAAAGATAATAATACAAAAAATTAACAAAAGCAAAAAATATCATCATGTTTAACAAGGATATAGAAACGGTGCTTAATGTCCTTCTTTCTGCTTGAATTGTTAGAACTAATCTTAACAAAAATCTTTAAGATTTCAATATTTAATCTATTATCACAAACCAAAACATTGTTAAAAATTTTTCATTATTCCCGTCCAATAGTTGAGTAAATTACATATCTCACTCTCCTATATATGTCCTCAAATTTACCATGTTGTCGCATTATGTCGTGATTTCAAACGTTTAACTTTGTGTAATTTTCTAAACATTTTTCTGTCCATACCAACACTGCCATCAAATTGGAACGCAAAAACTCTTAGATTTGGCAAATGCACAGTGGAAGTTATATATTAAAATGACTCACTTGTCATACTGGTAACACGATAAGCAACTTTAAAGGCATTTATATATATTGTTTTAAAGGAACCCCCGTTCTTTAACATTATGGATATATCTTACTTAATATACTATTGAATAATATTTCGGAATGAAAATAATGAATGGTTTATGCATATTGAAAAAGGGATGATATTACTGCAATATTTCTTCAAATCAGTTTCCTTCACCTAACTCTGTGCCTTTCTTCGAAAACCACATGAACTTCCTTAACAATGTTTACACTGGTTTTGTCCATATACCTCATCGCTTCATATATTTCAACCTTTTAGGCACTTCACATGTCTGATGAGGCCTCGATGGACGAAACAACCGAATATTGCGGTTTCAGTAATTATTAAGCTATGTGGAAGATGATCCAATATTCATAATGTAATGTGTTAGTCATAACTTTTTTGTACTTATGGAATAGCGTGCCAAGTTCACGTGATCATATATGATTGTAATCAAAGTGTGATTTCTGCAATATGCCTTTACCATACTTTGTACATTTGTGTTTTTAAGATCAAGAATGGACTCAGCTATACCAAGCTTTGATTATTTATATTTTTACATATTTTTACATAAAACGCCAATGAAGGTAAAAGGTGAATTACAGTACAAAACAGAGACGACATAAGCAATGTGGAAGAAATATTTTAGTATTCAAAGTTACTGATTAAATAGTACATTTCTGCTGCTTAAAAATGAATGTCTAAATTAATGTATCAATTAACTATATTATGTATGAAATAAAATGTATTCAGCGTTATTCCTTTCCTTAATTTTTGAATCGCTGTTGGTTGGACACAGGTGACATGACTATCAACTACCAGCAATACCGACTGCTAATTGTGAAAAATAGTACATTGCATGGTTGATTTTAGATATATGTTGCCATCATGCTCACAGGCTCACCCATTGTTTCTGGGCGCTTGAAACAAACATTTCACTGACTGAGATTAAGTGTAACAGGAAAGATGACCGACGACACTAGTTTGACAGGTAAATTTCCTAGTCAGTCAAAATTGTAGTATATAAAGAGATAAAAATATTAAAAAGGCATTTTACAGCCACAAACTAATTCATGGAATTTGAATATTCTGATCAGGAACTACAAAAAGATGCTATAATATCACAACAAAAAGCATTTACAATTATTAATATAAAACGAAAAACAAATGATTACCATAATAACAGGTTATAGCACGAGTAAAACAACATTATCTAGATAGTTAACATTTTTCCCCCTCCAAATAAATTGATATCACATGTATTGTGATTTGATATTCACGAACATCTCACTTCCCAATCTCAATCGTGGTGCTGAACAGTTTTAGGGTTGTCCAAATGTATACAACAAACATCTACTTGCTGTGTTGGTCAGTGGTCGGATGTTGATGGTGATATAATTCCAGTTGTTTCTAGACCTAGATGCTGATAGAATTTGGGATGTAGTCAGGGCTTGCCCATTGGTAAGGATACTTTCTAATTTTATTCCTTTCCTCAATTTTTTCAGCAATTTCATGCAGATCCTTTTGGAACCTGAAATATTGTGTAATTTGAATTTGTTTTGTATCACAATTGATTAAACATTACCAATTAACTATGGACTGGAAATTGTAGCGATATTTTTTTATCTTATCGTAATAATAACGTTGAAATACATTATGAAAATTATTGACATAGATTCGTGTAGCATTTATGTTTGTGAAATTTTGGCGACCAGTACAATATATATGATGTACCTTCATCTAACTATTACAACAAACATCAACCTGATATACAAGGTAATACATTTTAACAATCAAAACGATCCATTTATCGATTCAGCTACCATTACTAAGGATTCTCGTATATTTCCGAGAGCGAATTGACCCTCTTATCTCCCTTGCAATCACAACTGATTTCGTCTTCACATGCTGTACATACTATACGTTCCATGAAATTACGGAAATTTCGTCATTTTATTACCTTAAATTTAGCGGTAATCTTATTTTTGTACTAGAATAGGATTGCGCTAATTCCAGTTTCTGTATGTTGCTTACAAATCGACCATTGCACAAATCATTCAGAAAATGTAAATGGGCTATATCAATTACGTTTACTGTATTCAAACTGCGATAGGCTGTCAAAATGGAAGTACAGTACTGCTGGTCATCTTGAAAACAAATACTTACTGTGTTACCGCTGCGTCGCAAGGGAACGGAATAATGTCTTTGTCAAAATTACCCAAGAGTTTGGTGTTTCTTGTGCTTAAAAACTTCATTATTAGCATTTCAAGAAGGCAAGTAACTTTTGGTGGAATTGCGTTGATGATGGCTGTCGCAGTCAGTTCAGCTTTCTTTGTTCAACATAGGAAAACATTCAGCATTTTTATTTTACGAATCAGTCATTATATCATATAACGTGCAACTCTATTCTTTGTTTGCTTTTCACAATAATTGGTGTACATACATTGTAACAGAAAATACGTCCTCCGAAATCGGATTGAGATCACAAAAATAACGATAATTGTCTAAGGGGCCATTTTGAAGTGTAGTGTCTACTCAACCCTTGTGCAAAACTGAATATGGGAAATAAGCAGTTTTGCAATGCCGATCAACGAACCAATCCTTGTAGAAAAAAAACAAACAAACAAACAAACAAACAAAACAAAACAAAACAAAAACCAAAAAATCAATAGAAACTGTTGCATCAAGAAAATATTGCACTATAGATATTGCTAAATTTAGAATATCATGACTCTCGTCGCAATTGTGAGACAGAAAATGAAATTAATCATTATCAATATCAATACTAGTTCGAATAAATGCATTGCAATATGGCATGCGTATATGTCTTTCTAAAAGATATTCTCTATGTATTGCTAACTTTGAGCTATATTAGAGTTCATATTGACGATGTTCATAATACAAGCAACACACTGTTTTATTAATATCAAGCAAATGATTATCATCTTGCTATAAATCACAATGAAACAATTTTGACTGAATCATTTTTTTAGTTACTTGAACAAAGTATTGATAGTATTGTACTGAAGTACTTCACCAATCGAATTCCTTAAATTTATGCAACAAGCTCTCTGATTGGCAGAGCCAAGTCTAGATCGATTGTGGGTGGAGCCAGGTGAAAAAATACTGTGCAGACATCGGACGAGAGGTTAATTGGAAGAGTCCAAGTCACAGGTGGCTTCAGATCAGACCTAATTGGGTTGTCCCATTTTTTTCGTTCTATACCCAATGATACCTTGCTTTTCCATCGATGGTACAACGAGAAAACGAAAGTTACTCAGATACTGAAAAAAACGAGAACAACAAAATATATATCAACTAATTTACATACAAAATATATATCAACAGGGTAGATCACTGGGACCGGAGAATTCATAACATCTTAACAGTGAATATAGTCATATAGTCATTCTGTACTAGTTTTATTTATTTATTTTATTTTTTGAAAGGGGGGGGGAGGGTTGGCTCAAAATATTTCGGTTTAAGCCCAAGCTCTATTATATTTAACAAAGAATTACGAATTACCTGCTGATATATGCCGATAATTCATACTGCATTAAAAAATAAAGGAATTCTGTGGTCCCATATATTTTTTATTTTATTTTTTATCTTTCCATCGAAAATTATACATATCCGCAACATGTGAAAAAACTTTGAAGTTGGTTGGGCGGAATATATAGAGCATTTACTACTGCAAGTTGAAAACAATAAACGGATTCAAGAGGATCGATATCTCACAATTTTGACTGAATCATTTTTTTAGTTAAACCATGTGTATAACTTTCATGTTTTGTCCGACAGGCAGTAATCGCCAACATTCTATGATTCTTTTGACTTAGATGAGTTAAGTAAACAAGTTCATTCTCATTTTACCAAAATTATAATTTCGAAAAAAATGCAACGAGTCACATTTTTCAGTCAACTTTCTCCGTTTTCAAACTGTGAATGATGACGTAAGATAATTAGACAATAGACTTTACTTAACTATGAAATGTTTCGACTATAAGAAATTCAAACGAATTTGTTTACAGTGCAATGAAAAGTCCATTTTCCACAAGCAAAATTGGACTGATAATAAAAGATACAGAAGAGTCTCGACATATGTAGAAAACCGTACCGGATCCTGAGGTGGAGTGCCTCTCATGCCAACAGGGTAGGCTGGCTGGAAGCCGTACTGATCGTACTGTGGAAAGTTAGTGACGGCATGTCTCACGCTGCATATGTATATAATGCAGGTAACGATTTCTATCAGTTGACCACATGTAGATATGGTCTCACCGTTGTCGTCCATTGGAAGACCCTGTAGAGCATCATTTACAAATTTCATTGTTACTGCAAATTAAAGATGTTTACAAAATCTTCCCCATCCTTCAAAAATAATGTTTTAAATTGACAAGCAACGAAAACAATTTCCTTTCTCTAGCCTTTGGTAGGTGTATCCACACTGTTACCGGTGTAAAGTTTCCTCGTCTCATCCTTGGGGTGCGAAGGGGATTCTCCTAACTATGGCGTTACATAAATAATACTTAGAAATGTGCTAACGGAATCATTTAGGCTAGCAGGGTATAAGAAAAAAAACTTTCGTTCCCTTAACTCAGATATTTTATTCCTCGAGGAAAGATGAAAAGGTGCAAACACTCGAAAAAAACCTCGTGGATCATCAAGGCAACTTAATTATCTTTCCGCTCGGATTAAGGTTTTCTCAACATCAAGGAAGTATACAATTCTATTTGTTTTTGTTATCATGATGAGATTCAAACTTATACCAGTATTTCACACATATCACCGACTCATGCCTGTATTTCACAACCACCACCGACTCATACCTGTATTTCGCATCCACCACCAACTGGTTCTCTCTTGGAAATGATAGCCAAAACCCAGTTCTGTAGTTGTGTATCATCACTCACACGATGTCGTCCGTTGTTGCCATAATCTGCATATGAATTGGACAAAAGACACACAAGTGAATTTTTTTAATATAAAGTTGGAACTAACGACAGAATGAGTTAATTTGCATAAAAAGTGTTTCCTAAATGATGCGAGGGATTTTTAATGTATAGAAGGTGAATTTGGGAAATAGAAATGGGCCGAAATAGATATCAACACTGATGGAGAAATGCGATAACCGCACAAATCAATATTTTCCATACTTTTGCATTATTTTAAACTGACGTCAAACACGTATTTATACGTTTGAATAAAAACGCGATATTACTCCGGTATATAAGAGTAAGTAATCTAAGTAATCTTTGAGATTATTGATAATTACAAAACAGAAATAAATTCAATCTAACAATCATATGCATTATGTTTACATTTGAATATGTATATGTTTTTCTTTTTACCGACTCTTAATTTACATTAATTTTATGATACGTTAATTGGTTTTGACGCTAGGGGTTTTTTTCTCAACTTACCATCATAGTGTATCTCAACACATGTCTTCACGTACTTGTGAATAGCCTCATAGACAAGTAGAGCATCGTCACGGTAATAATACCCAGGAAGAATACCGTCATCTATCACCTAAAACATATGTTAACAACAGTGAGATCTGTTTTCAATTACCTGAAAGAAACACCGCTTAAGGAGAATCCTTAGTTATCCTGTTTGAATGTGACATGAATACCTAATTTGGAAAATCTTCCTTTCAAGAAATTATTTGTTTTTTTATTCGTAAAAAAACTGAACCGTTAGTGCTGTATCAGATACGTTGTAAAAATTTCGAATAATATTTGTATAACCTTATCACTTATCACATACTTATCATTGATGTTTCAATTTTTTGACAAAAACTAGGTATTCGTATTGTTTTCAGTTGCCAGGTACTGTCATGCGATTCAATTTTTTTCGTGTGGTATTCTGTCGCCGCTGGAATGGTCATGTTTCGGTTACTAATAGTTAAAAATTGATTCCGTAGTAATCAACTTCAAATAACCGTGATAATGTATTGCATAAAGGCATGGTAAGTAACCAGCTTCCCGCCAACTTGTACGTGTATGATATTGTACTCCATTGATCGTTGATTCCTTAAGACATACGACCTCTAGCCGATGTAGGCAATGATTATATAATGTATCAACAGACGAAATCAGCACCAGGTTTGAAGCAATACCCCGGCAATATCATCATAACACAATGATAACATTCCAATGTTAAATAATTACTCCGATTCTACTACATATATCAATTAAACTAGGGAACAGCAGTATTCACCATTCATGCACAAAGGACATATTCATTTATAAGTAATAGTTATACATTCGATTGTTGTGTTTTTCAGTTTTTCTTACCCCTCTTTTTTTAAGATCAGTCGGCAATATTCCATCCGTATCCATCCTCCACTCCACTAATCTGATATATAAAAATTGGAAATGCATAAATGTTCAAGAAAATAATCATGATATGCTTCTCATGATTTTTCTCCAAAACTTTTGAAAAAAAAAAAAAAATGAAAACCTGTTCCAGCGTTATCAATATTGAATATTGGAATTACATTCCAGTTTGTATCTATGTGTATGTATCTGTGTTGCATACTGAAAGCAACGTGCCATAAAACGAGTCAAGTTTTTATATTCTATAGAATGAACATTGTTACCGTCGTCTGATGATCTCGATCATTCCATCTCTACCGATCGACAACGTCTTGTCAACGATTCCATTCTTGTTGATCAGCAGACTTCTCGCTTCCCTACGAATGAGATTGCTTATATCTAACTTTGAAATATGTTGGAAATGTGACTGTTTTACTTAGTGGTCTTTTATATTTCGTAATATGGCGTATTTCTCTCACACAAAATATTTGCAAATACATGTTCCTTTTACTAAATTCTTCATCATTGGGGAATTTAACTTATGTAGCTTAAACCTGAAAATAGTATATTGGATTTTGATCCCTTGAGCATTGATGCCAGGTTCTAACTGGCTTATCCATTTTTTTCTTTCATTTTGAGACAATTATATTTGTATATTTATAAAATATAGTATTACATATATATTCTGTGTTGGTAATGCGCTTCATATCACCAACGTTATGTCTCACGATATGTACTCACGGAGTTTGTACAGCACGCTCACAAGATGAATAATTATGACAAGGTTTTCCATTCTTGATCGTGTAATTTAGATGAATCATAAACACATACTTTCAAATTTATTCAAGTACCGATTTAGGCATATGATATAAATTTACATTGAAATGTTTTTGTAAGAGCACATGCATGTATACGCTCAAAATAGATTCAAAAGTTAGATAGTAATTGATTATTCTAAAATTCGAACAACTGTCGAAACAAGAAAAGGAATGCTACCATTTCGAAAGAAGTCTGAATCTTCAATTTAAAATGTTTTCGCCTGCTATGAAAACATAATAAAATGCAAAGCATAAGTGTTCATGTAAACTTTTAAGAAATACGGCATTTACGTGTTGATGGCCAGGAGGTAATGAAAATGTGGAGCCAGGATTTCAAACACCGGGTGGGATGGAGCCAGATTCTGGTGTGTCACAACATCAACACTCTCCATCAGCAGATGAGTGACACCTACGACAACAGTTGAAATGCAATCCTTTTAACATAGACATTTAATGCTAATCAACAAGAGTAGGTAACGCATGCCATTTTGGAATATCTGATTTTATTCTCCGTGTACTAAAAAGTCTGTGGAAGTCACTGTGGTTTGTTTTTATTTTAACTAAGTTTCGATTCTTAATTATAATTTATGTTATCAATATGTCTTTTTTTCCATTGTTGGCGAATGAAAATAATGATATGCTTCACCTAGATGAGAAAACGATTCCTGAAAAGAGCTGTCCGCGTGATTGAACCACAATTTTGCCATTAACCAGCTTGGGTCGTTTGGCAGGAACAACTGAAAAAAATTACATTTTTTGATGATGGATGTTACGCCAGCATAAAGAAATAAAACATTGCATTCATTATTCATATACTTTCTTTCATTTGGTGAGCAATTTAAATACATGTTGCTGCATATTATACCAAAATGCGTTAGATAGTTTTTTCGGATTAATTTACATGTATATTTTAAAATTAGAAAGACAATCTCTCAATATTTTGATGATATGTATAAATATTTAGTATATCTAGTATTTAATTTGTTCCCGACGTCCACTCGATAAACTAAGTACATTCAGATTTTTACTGAATAATGTTTTGTTTACTCGTTTTCACTGATGAAAGATATGATTATTTTTGTGGAGTTCGGATAAAAAAAAACCAATTCATTCATTTTCTTGGTTTATAGACACAGGTAAATTCTTGAATAAATTAACCAATCAGAATTCAGGACAACTCTTACCGGGTTAGATTCCCCTGACTGATGCAATTGTATAGCGATGGGCATCAATTCTTTGTTAGCATCCACGAGGAACAAGGCGATAGGAGCACAAACCTAAAAAATCCAGTATTATCATTAGACCCAACGCATGGTGAAGTTTTACTTTTGTCATTTATTAAAGTATAACCAATACAATGTGATAAAACAATGCTTGAATTTCGATGATAAAAAATATAATACATACTCTATTTGACATGTCCATACTGATATATAAATAATGAAAAAGTCCGTTTACTCCGAGTTATATTTTTATCATTAGTGCTGATGTCAGTGCAGTGCAGTGCAGTGAAGTGCAATGTATTTATGATGACGTCTTAATAATGAAATATTTTATGCATGCTGTATACGACATTTCTATACCAGACAAGTAAGATATAAGCAAAGAAAAGGGAGACTTCTTACTCCAAATTGACTGAACATTCCGTCAAGAATTGTGTAATTGACGATGAAAAGTCTATTTTCTTGTATGGCAGTCTCCAGGGTGAAATCTGCCCTCCCAGATCTTTGTTGTAAAACTGTCTTAAGCGAAGCCTCTCGGATATTAAGGTTTTCGGTCATCTTTCTAAAATAGAAAGCTAGGGTTTTCAACTTTTAACGATATAAAGCTTGAAATGTCTGATGCTGGTTAGTTCTCTTGTATGTTCCCTTGTTTTATACTACGTTCTCTTATGGGAACTTGACAAGATTGGCCAAGGTTAACAAGGCGGGTTGCGGCGACGAATCAGAAGACATATACTCTTCGGAAACATCTGGCCTTACTCCTTGTACGTTGTAAATCTTTGTTTCATGATTGGCCCTAGTTTTAATGAATTTGAGTTTGGATTATGATTATATTGACATGTTGGTATTTTGGTTGTTTTATCGTAATGCTTGGGTATAGCTGTAGAGTGATTGGTTTGCATATTTGTATGAATGTCGTTCACAATGCAATAATACTTACTTTGGTAGCTCTTTGCAAAGTTCAATGACGAATGGGTTAACACCAGTTAAACGTTGTCTGGCAAAAAACGCATCATCTCGCCAAATTTCAGCCTGAAAACACAGCGATTCGTCCAATTGAATATTTTTTTTATCTTACATGTGTACATGTTCTTATCTTTTTCAATTAGATTGATAAGAAAATATGTAAATCCAAACTCATTGACCTGGCATATCGGAACAATAATGGATACAAATTACTGTTGCACATAATTCATTATCATCGATTAAACATTTTTACCGGAACTGTAGGCATATATCTTGAATACAGCAGTGATTTTATGCAATTCCAATACATCGTTCCATATTACTAATTATTGTGGAATTAATGAGAATATTTATCAATTGTATGTTTTTGTGATTACTTTCTGCTTTTGTTCAATAAATGTCCTGTAATTACCGTTGAAGGTTTTCGAAAGATCAAGCCGTACACATTAAAAAGGTCTGGCAACTTCTTCCAAGCTCGAGTGAAAAATCTATCGATGGCGTAGCCAATGGCCAACACAAGTAGCAGACCCCGTATGCGAAACTATGTTGAAATAATAACCGGTTATTGAATTAATTAAGCAGCAATATTCAACAATACCTGTTACTATGTGGTTGAAAGGTATGAAATAATTTGCCGTTGTATCAATACTCGTTTAAGGTTAAGGTATAAATTATTTATATATATGAAATACTAATTCAAAATAACCAGATGTAATTAAATGACTGGTAGATAACATGTACATTCAATAAAATATATTGATAAAATTGAAATAAAGAAAATTGATAATGTAAGAAATATTTACGTATTCAAAGAGGCTAAATTTTTCTTTCTTTGGCAACGTTTTCACCTGTCAAAAACAAAAGAACAAAACCTACAACATTAAAAAAAGAAAAAAAATATAATTAAATAATTAATGATATTCTTCATTCGCAAATGAAAATGGCGGAATAAAGTTACCGGTGGAATATGATAGTTAGCTCTCTTAATGCAATATTTATGTGTCGATGACGTTTGTTTTCGATTATTTTCTTTTCTGCGTATTAGTGAGTATCTAAACTTTCAAATATAAAGTGTTTCAATTGTATCTTAGATCACATAATTTGGTCTTTAAAGAGTACTTGTTTCTTGTTAAATTTACTGCCATCTTTCAATATGAAAAAAGGCTGATTCTCTTTCCGATAATGGTGTTAGGATTTCAGCACGTAACTGCATCCGGCAAGAAATAATTACTGAACTATCAAGCTCATATAATTATCTGATCGATTTTGTCACATGTATGGATGCTAGATATCTCCTCCGCTAGAAATGAAACGGGGTATCTATGTGTCAACTCAATTATATCTATATATGTACATCGCATCCACAAATATGTTGTGTTAATCTGACCTTGTAAAACTTAAAGCCCCAACACAACATCTATCTTTCTATGTCAAATATTGTTCATTATTGAAATGTCGCGTCCGGAAATATAGCCATCTCTAATGAACCAAACTTTCTGATTTTACTCTATTTACGCGATCCATACAGCTACAATCTTGGTCAATACCTTTGAATCTAACCCGTAAACAAAACTTCTGTATTAGATACTTACATGGGATGGAAGGCCATGAACATACTCCACCAGTTGGTAATCCTCCTTTGCAGTACGGAGATCATCTAAAAGGTTGTACAAAAGACTCACAAATAGATTACACCTTTCAATAATAATTTAGAATCAGACGCAGTGGAGTCATTAAGTATTAATTAAACTGCAGCCTAAATCTTTTTCGTCCTTTTAGGACTTGTCAGTGATCTTAATGGTCTAAGTTTTGAAACATTAGGACGACTGAAGAAAAATATAACCACACGTAACATCACAATTTAAGTGAGAAGGTTTACTAGCACTCGATTTAATGAATTTCGTAATTTTTTATATCTGATATCTCAAATGAAAAACAAAAAATTGTAAATATGATAGGTATGATAGAAAGTGTTTTAAAGGCAATATATTCATATAATAAGGTTCCATACATTACCAAACACCATACCATATACATTGCTTACCAGTAGACAAATCCCTAAAATATAATCAAATCATGCTATCCAAAAATCATCTAATACCACCCTTTTTCATCCACATATAGTTCCCGGTTCTTTAATTGTGTGCTTTATCTCCTAACACTAAATTACCTATGGAATCTGGACTATCCGGAGCCCCATTGCGAGAAGTCCAATTCACTGTTGTTCCTCGGCGTCTGGTTGTAATTGTCTGAAATGACATTAATGATAACTTTTCTCCCTTTAAAATCAACAATATGTTTTGTACAAGAAAACTTTAGCCACTGTAAAACATTTTGCCACACCTTATCTTGAGCCAGATGAATGTAAGGTAAATGTAATTCATATATTTTAATCAGTTTAGGTCGAAGTTAATGTTTGGCGAAAACGTTTCCACTAAACACTATCGGTTTTGCTGCGTTCCCATGTTTTAGTAATTACGTATATAATGTACATCTACCTTGTTAACACATGTTTATTGATTGGTGGAAAAGAGAAAAAGTATATACATATGTATACATATACAAACAGTGTATGCCAAAAATGGTTGTTGAATAACATCTTAGACAGTAAATAAGATCCTAACAAAGAATAATAATCAAGTAAAAACAACCAAATGATCGTGGAAAACGAAACGATCTGTAGGACCTGATTAAAAGAGAAAAATGTCTGTGTCCATTTGAATATTGATTCATCCGTATCAGAATTATGCCAAATATCCATTACTGGTATCTATCAATCACCTTATCCCAGCATGAATACTGTAAAGTTTTGTGGTTTTACCAAAATTTTCAAAGACATATAAATTTAATTTTCATTGAAATCAAAAACAGATTGATAAAGTTTCTATCAATTAATTTTCATGTTACTGTGACTTTACAGTTTTTATTGAGCTTTACTTATTCACAAAGTGCCGATGAAATATTAATTGTTTTGTTAAACCATGAAAATTGAACTCTACAAAAGTACATTATACAGATTTCCCCTAACTTTATGATTTTCTCAAGATGACCACCTTTATGGGATTAAATTTCTACATGATGGTCCTTCCTTCCATTGCATCATTACCAACTGCAGGATTAACATCAACATACTAAGCATGCATAGGTGATACATCTATTGTGTAACCTCAAACTAAAGTCATCTCGATGAGAAAACTATTTCATTGAAGTCTCAAAATACCTTCTGTATGTCATTGTGGTGTACGCTTCACAATTGAGACCAGTTTTTGAAGTCTTCGATGTCAGTTTTGTATTTTGTGTCATCTCACTAATCACACCAATGATTAGTCACAAAGTTACACCTGTAGTGTATTTTACTACGTACTTCTGTCTGATGTCACATCAGTCAGCAGTTTTTACATGTCAAACCCTTTACTCGGATACAGCTGTGGCGAGTTTAATGTTATAAGACATACATTCAAATTTAATAACTGTGATATATAGACAAAAGTGAATGAACGGGAAGTCAGGCCATTTGTAATTGGTCTAAAAAGTTGGCTGTAGTTCAAATTTGAAGGATAGATGACATAGATAACACTATACATGCATATTTACATGTGTGCTACATTCTCACTATGTAAACCTCGTAAATTATGTTCCGGGTTATGACACAATAGGTACCAAACCAGCGCTCGCTTGGTTATATTTTAATTAATCGAAGTTCGTTCTCCTTTCATTAATTCGCGACGTCAATATTTTTTAATTTATGTATTTTTTCTTAGTTTCGTCCTTAAAATATCTTAATCATAAGATGAAAGCAAAATAAAAATTAAAAACGAGATGAATAATCCAGTATCAAAAATAATATTTCACACTGAGATAAAGTGGTTCATTGCATTGAAAAGAATTACAAACTAACATTAAAACGTATAGCACGTGAGACATTGACAGAAATATCTTATCAAACAACGTTCAAAGCGAAATTGAAAGAATAATGTACTCATATATCAACATTGAACAAGAACATACATATCTTATACATAACAATAAATAAATATATACTTACGCTCATACTTGTTATAGAAAGCGTCGCCAGTGTATGTAAAATCAGCAAATGCACGGGTATTTATAGGTTCTTGTGGAATGTAAAGCTATTTGGGGAGTGGCTGTAGATATTATTTTTCACGCTTGTTGACTTTGCTCACTTATGCAGTTAAATGCAATAACATAAAGGTATATATATTTGTCACGCATTAATAACAAAGTAGGATATAATGTTTCCTAGAAATTCTTACTACATTCTCGGGTCTGGTATATTGCTTCACATCTCAAGTGTTATAGAGTTCGTATTCAGGATCAAACACATTCCGTTAAATAGATAAAACGAGATGATACATCATTGCATAATTGTCCTGAGTGGATTCTAGCAATCTAGTGCATCATCATCACTAGAACTGAACAAGAACTAGACCTTCAACATTTAACAGAATTATACATTTCAGTATCAAAGAATAATACCGAAACGTATATATTCGTGATTCCGATGTAAAGACCAAATTTAACTTGACTTAATTTGAGATATTCCCTCGTCTGATAGGTATACTATTCGAAGTGTCAGAACCAGCTTGTGTGTCCGATTAATTGGTTACTACTTTCGAAAGCATGACATTGCCTGTATTGTTATGGGCTTGCATTGTTTTTGTCGTAGGTAATGCAGAGATGTTTTAATAATGTACTTTTTCAGGGGTTGATTTCGAGCTCTATTACAGGACACCAATTGAGAGATAAGTCTTGTCTTGGTCGTTGGAAGGTGTTTTGTTGGCACGATCTGCTGCATCCTCAAGTGGAGGATTCTGGATTCAATTTCTTCTTTCTGGGTTATTAATGTTACAGGCAATCAAGTGGTGCCACCAGTGTTGTCGCCATACTTACCACTTTGCTTAGAATAACATGCGACTGGTCTCATACGTCGATTAGCGAAGCCTACAAGATCTCGTCTCCAGATGACCTTGACTGTTCAAAGGGCGTTAAAATCAGCAAACAAGCAAGCAGCAAGCAAACACACAAACACACAAACGTTAAAGAAAGCTATTTGTTTAAGCTTTATAATTCACATACATGTATGCTTATTTGTGAGATTATTTAAATCTATATTGCTTCCGAACACTTGGCCATAAGTTAGGGACCAGTCATATCTTAGACTGGGCTTGATTTTGTTCGCTTTTTTATTTAAGAAGAAATATTCAATGAAAATTCAAAACTCAAAAAGACATATAGGGAGGTTTGAATGTTTAGGCGTCTGACGAAATTATACACAGTCGATAAGAAAAGAAATGTACAAAACCGTAAGAGCTTTATCCTCTTTAAAAGACGTGCTCGAAAGGGCATCCCCAAACTATATGAAAAAGATTGATATCAACTGACTTCTATAAACAGATACATTATCATATCACCAAAACATTTTGCTTGGTCAAAACGTTGAACTAATCAATAAGTTGTATTGGGTATGAAAATGTCAATATCGGGTGTAGCCATCAGGCTTCTGGTACAATTCCTGTGTCCGTTGTCTCATAAAACTGACAGGAAGCCGAAGCTTGTTGTGAGGAAACATCTTTGATTTCCGTGCATTGGCATTGTTTTGTGTCCGAGATTTGCAAACATGCTCGACCGGGTTCATGTCTGGTGGCATCAGGTAATACCAGCATCTCTCTCACTTCTTGTTGATATAGTCTTGTATAAGACGGTCTCTGTGTGATTTGGCATTGGCATCCAATAAGATAAGCCGAACAGCCAATTAATAGGCATCGAAATACGAAACAACTTAAGGTTGAGGGATCTGTTTACGGTACTTCCGCCCATCAAGTTCCATCAAGGACATGCAAGTCTAGAGAAAAGTAACCCCAAATAGTAACACCGCCACCACTCAATGCTGTTGTGTCCAGTATGCGAACCTGATAGTATGCCGTAGTTACTGGTCTCCAAACAAGATTCCGCTGTCTGTCGGATTAACTACCCATCGACTTTCATCAGACTGGAGGAATCTTCGTAAAGACATAATTTTCCATGTCCGGTTAAGACGTTTCCATTGCAGTCCTTCTTGTTTGTTTCTTCCTATCAACGTTTTACAGGTGGCGAGAGAAAAATCGCATATTTATCAAACGTCTGTTTACGTTACGATGCCTGCCATTACGATAACTGATGTTCGACTTACCCCTGAACCTGTTGGCAGTGGTGAATGGGGCTTGCCTTACCCGTCTATATAGAAGCCTTCTGCCAGACCTGGAACGCTCGTCAGCATGCCCGATTTGGTTCAGACGCTAAATTAACAGAGATATAACAGAATGGCTGACATTGAAATGTGCAGCTACTTGCCTGTATTAAATGACGGTTTGAGCATGTGTATGATTTACCATTGATACATGTGCAAACGCTTTTCTAAGTAGCAAAGCAAACTTGTAATTTTGTTATAGTACTGCTTACAGCCAGTTTAATCATGGTTATCGTTCAGTTGGACGTATGTCTTGGCGGCATACGGCACCAAACACAAAAAAGACACGGCAAGGATCCGGAGTTTTATGTTTAACAAAGGGAAAACAAAGTTTTTATTAAATTGATAGTATCTAAATGATGGTCAAATGTACACTTTGAAGGTTGGTTTAGGATGTTCATATAAATGTCTTTTTAATCGATATATTCATATAAATGTTTGGTTAAACTTATAATTACTAATGTCCTAATACTCGGGCTTATTGTTTGTATTTTGCATGGTAATGAAAACCTGCTTGATAGCGTTTTCCGAAACAGAAATTTCCAATTTTAATATGTCTGGTCGAGAATCGCTTTTAGCATGCATGTGGGATCGACAAAAAGCGTGCATTTCAAAGATGTTTGAGATTACACAACGATTGACGTCTTAAAATGTTGAACTAAATGAAAAACATTTGATATATATATCTGATATGCACATTCTCAGTCAATGTATGCACTTTTCCACGAAAGATGCATCAAATTACATTGCTAAATAACCAAAATTATATTAAATTACAGTGTAAGACGTGTGACAAAAACATCTCGTACAAATTGGAGATGTTTACTGTGTTCACATAATGCAAAATTGTCATGATGAAAAGTACCTCTAAACCAAAACCCATTTAGAATAGAGCCATACAATGCCTATACTGCATCATACAACTTTAATTTGACCTTATTGTAAAAATAAAACAGGCCATATAATGTGATCTGAAGACCGATCAAAATAGAAAACGAATGCAATTAACATCGACTCACAAGATAAAGCCTTTTCCCACCCGATATCCTATACAGTTTACTGTGAAAGGCTGGTGATTTTCGCGGGTCAAAATTTTCAAGATTTTTTTTAATAGATCGGATTAATATTTCACATTCTGGATGTAAATGGACATTTCTACACACGTGTCTCATCATTTCACTGATTAATTTTTCCCGATCTCTTTAAATGTACAACGAAGTAACAAAAATGCCCCCCCCCCCCCCCCCCCCCCGCCCCGCGAAAATAACCGGCTATATGGTATACAAGTTAAAGTCTGACACTGTTTTATACCTTGTGTACCTTATGTGCATGAAAACAGAAGTTACTCTTACCTAGTAACACATGTGTGAACCAAGTGTACTTTTCAGAGACGGGGAATAATTCTATCAAGTAGGTCAACTGCCCTGAAAAATATGATTAAATGTACGACATAGATATATGCCGGTATGGATATTTCGCGTCAACATCTAAGAAGATTTCGGTATCTAGAAGAATTCTCGTAAAATGTGCATTCTCGAATAAGTAATATACCAGGAACACACTCAAGCGAAATACCTACCTGGTCCCAGAAAGACGTGTTCATTTTTGACATATAGTGATTGGTAATCAAAATATTTTCCATAAAGCCACAATGTATTATTTGTATATATGTAGGTAACTCGATTAAAAACATCATCCATTTCTTGAAAAACGGAGTTAAAGTCGGTTCCAATATATATAAGTTCTGCTTTGCTCTCTAGATCTTTAAGTACGTCATCAACTTTATTGTATATGATATACTACAGTAATAAAACAATACCTAGATGAACAAAGAGGATTAGAAAACAAGTACATAACTGCTTATATCAATTAGTCTCCTATTATTATAACTTGGCGACGACAGGACGATGTTGCATGTAATTTCTCTTTTATAATACTTGAAACAAAATACTATCAAGGAAAACACAGAAAATTTTGTAAATAAACGACATTCAATTTAACAATATCATTCATGGGTATTGACCCTTCTTGAAAGCAGGGTTTTTTTTCATTATTACATATTTGTAAAGATATATCTGTATCTAAAGAATTAGTTACGGCGTCCTCGGACAACGCTGGGTACATGATATACCAACACAGATGTAAAAACATTTACACTGCATTCAAAAAACTACTCTGGGCTATAAATTACATGACCAAGCACGATATATTTACTATTTCGGAGAATCATTGTTGAATTTCTCGACATGTCGGGTGAACTGCTATAGAATATCAAGGAAGTGTAATCGTATATACTAGATAATCCTAGATTCTATTTGTTATCATATATCAATTTGTGAATGAATACTGCACAGAAATTGCTCATCCATGGTAACATTTGTATTTACGAGACAAATATGAAAGTTATGTAAGCTTCATTGACAGATTCAGAGCTGTGTTTTACGATAGCTTAGTCGGTTAGATCGTTGGTCCACGTAATCTCAAGTGAAGATCCGTGGTGCGTGGTTCTACTCTCACTACTCGTTTGTGTTTACCAGGAAACTGACGTCTGTGCTGATGTCGTCGTGTCCATGGACAAGACACTTTCCCCTAATTGCTCCGGATGGCATGCGATGGAACTTCCGTATATTCAGATTCCATGTCATTAATAGACAAAGAAAACATAATAGATGATAAAGTTTTCCCCTGTAACAGGTCGATTTGTAAGTCGATCATTGGAGACAATTTACTATGCAGCTTTACACAGGACTTGGCAATTTCATATATATAGATATAACAACATTAAATAAACGCCCCAGAACACCAGATTTCCACAGTGTAAACCATAATCTATTATGTGAAATGATATCAAAAGCTTTTCTGTACTCAACACAGTAAAGCCTTTTGTTGTTTTACAAAGATTTTGTAATTAAACTATGTAGTACAAAAATCGCATCTCTAGTACCGCTACCGGATTTAAAACCGAACTTAGCATCTGATAATACATTATCACTCTCACTCCACTTAAACAAATGTTTATTTAAAAGTGACGCAGACAATTTGGCAATATGACTGATCTATGTAATACCCCTATAATTGCTCGCATCATTTTATCGCTTTTCTCAAACAAAGGTATAATGATCCCTTCTGACCACGTTCAGTATGGAAATAGCCTACATGTAATGTGGTATTAAATAGTTTTAGTAAAACTGGTGCAAAAACTTCCTTCTATTCAATAAAATATTCATTTAATACTATGTCAAGTCCTGATGCCTTGTCCCTAGATAGCCCCTTAATTGTAACAGTTCATCAAGACTAAAATCAGGATATATGTGTTCATTATCTGTAACATGTTGTTCGGTGTCTTCAGCGGTATCAAAGGACATATTAGAAATTAATTTGAAGTATTCTGAAAAAAACTGATCTAGACTTAAACTTCCAGCTTCCAAACTCATGAACCTTGAAAAATGATAATAAAAAGATTTTGGGTCGTTATTTTTTAATATGTTTAACATATCACCTACCATCTGAAGATAATTTCGCTTCATTCTTGCTTCATACAATTTTGTAATTTTTCCTGAAGCGAACTAAAACTTCTCTACCTTCATACGAGTCACATCGGTTAAAAGAAAACAAGGCTCCTCTATACGCCTTATGTAGACGTTTACATTGATTATCACACCAGGGCTTATCTGGTTCTTGAGTCTTAAATTTAGACCATTGGTGGCGTGAACAATAACATGTATTTACAATTCTATAATTAGAACAAAACCGATCAAATACATAATGGATGTTGTTTATCAATGTCCGCTTGTCGATAACCTATGTACAAGAAGTATTTTATTATAGGATGAGGACCTTTATGATCAGACGAAGAATTGGATAAACCCGTATTGAAAAAGCGCTGCTTCATGTTTGAAAAAATAGTGGATAAGCAATCAAAATAGATTTACATAATTATTGATTTAAAAAAAAAAACTCTGTACGCCAGAGCTACAGATCGAGAATCGCTTTTAGCATGCATGCCTGACGTGGGATCGACAAAAAGCGTGCATTTCAAGATGTTTGAGATTACACAACGATTGACGTCTTAAAATGTTGAACTAAATGAAAAACATTTGATATATATATCTGATATGCACATTCTCAGTCAATGTATGCACTTTTCCACGAAAGATGCATCAAATTACATTACTAAATAACCAAAATTATATTAAATTACAGTGTAAGACGTGTGACAAAAACATCTCGTACAAATTGGAGATGTTTACTGTGTTCACATAATGCAAAATTGTCATGATGAAAAGTACCTCTAAACCAAAACCCATTTAGAATAGAGCCATACAATGCCTATACTGCATCATACAACTTTAATTTGACCTTATTGTAAAAATAAAACAGGCCATATAATGTGATCTGAAGACCGATCAAAATAGAAAACGAATGCAATTAACATCGACTCACAAGATAAAGCCTTTTCCCACCCGATATCCTATACAGTTTACTGTGAAAGGCTGGTGATTTTCGCGGGTCAAAATTTTCAAGATTTTTTTTAATAGATCGGATTAAAATTTCACATTCTGGATGTAAATGGACATTTCTACACACGTGTCTCATCATTTCACTGATTAATTTTCCCGATCTCTTTAAATGTACAACGAAGTAACAAAAATGCCCCCCTCCCCCCCGCCCCGCGAAAATAACCGGCTATATGGTATACAAGTTAAAGTCTGACACTGTTTTATACCTTGTGTACCTTATGTGCATGAAAACAGAAGTTACTCTTACCTAGTAACACATGTGTGAACCAAGTGTACTTTTCAGAGACGGGGAATAATTCTATCAAGTAGGTCAACTGCCCTGAAAAATATGATTAAATGTACGACATAGATTATGCCGGTATGAATATTTCGCGTCAACATCTAAGAAGATTTCGGTATCTAGAAGAATTCTCGTAAAATGTGCATTCTCGAATAAGTAATATACCAGGAACACACTCAAGCGAAATACCTACCTGGTCCCAGAAAGACGTGTTCATTTTTAACATATAGTGATTGGTAATCAAAATATTTTCCATAAAGCCACAATGTATTATTTGTATATATGTAGGTAACTCGATTAAAAACATCATCCATTTCTTGAAAAACGGAGTTAAAGTCGGTTCCAATATATATAAGTTCTGCTTTGCTCTCTGAAAAAAATCCTGTGCGCCAGAGCTATAGATTGTTTTCACGAATTTAATTTCTCCTTCCTACATCTAGTTATTTATCTATGTGATTAATTCTATATAATAATCGTCAAAAGCAGAGCCACCATAGCCTAATCCAGACAGATGCTTTAAAAACAACTAGAATGTAGCATATCTCTTACATATAAGAATTTAAAAATTGATTCGAATTGAAGAATCTATTTTCTGAAATTATTCTCGGAATGAGAAATAGATATAACGGAAAGCATGCATAAACTCATGAAGGAATACTCTTATAATCAGCACTTTGCCGTAATAGAGAACAGCTGTTAATGCTTATGAAGATGAACAGCATTTCCCTATTCTTCCGGAATATTTGCCAGTCATCGCATCCCATATCCGTCAAATTAGACAAACCGGAAGTACGTAGAAATGTATTATGGCGACAGATGAAAAGGTACAAACTTCATTTCAAAGATAGCAGTGATAGTATACTGGTAATGCGGGCGTATCAACTTTAAATAACAGTACAGGCCTCTACCTTCAAATACGAACTTTTGAAATACCCAGAGAAGCAGAAATGTAATGTGATGTGAAACCGTAATGGCAACCATAAATTATGCCATCACAAATCCCAACATTACCGGCGAGGGACAGGGTGCCAAACACAGAAGAAAATGTTCATTATGTCAACTTAATTTGAAGTCTGCCGATGATTTCACGAGACATTTAAGAGATTTTCATTGTTCAAAAGAAGGTGGTTCTTTTGTATGCAGGTATGGACTGAATAATGTATGTCCCTCCCTACCGTTAGAGGGGGTGAGTAATATGGACTACGAAAATCACATAGCTCGGGACCATGTTCATTCGTACCAACAACATGGTATAGGTACGTACAATATCAGATACCCGAATCAGCATCATAATGATGGTGGTGGTGTAATACTCACATATGACAAGTTTGTTGATTAAAAGTCGAAGACTTGTACAGGTTGAGAACATCAATTTACTTTGGATGCAATTCAAGTTATGCACCAGTGTCAACAGGTTCCCTGCGAACGCTATTTAGTATACAGTATATCGCCCGTATATGGGCGTGACGATTTACCCAAATATACCCATATACACCCAAATATTTCACAAATATACCCAAATAAAGCCAAATCTTACCCAAATATACTAAAATCTTACCCAAATACATCTAAATAAGGCCAAATTGTATCCAAATATACCAAAATCTTGTATAGCCCAATATATACCAATTTGGCTTTATGTGGATGCATTTGGGTAAGATTTTGATATATTTGGGTGTAATTTGGCTTTATTTGGATGTATTTGGGTATATTTGGGTAAATCGTTGCGCTGCAGTATATCACCCAAGTAAAATGCCAGTAGCTTTCTACTGATTCAGCATTTTGATAAAAAGATCAGGGGTCATAGGAATTGGATGTTCTTTATAGAGGATATTTACCGGTAATGCTTTCCTATTTAATATCATAGATATTTCCAGACTATAAGAGTATGACAGATATCTATATTTTTCACAATTGCGAAGCATTTTGTTGATGCCAGACAGATATGAAATTAACTGGAAGACCATTAAATTTTCCTTTCATTCATTACATATTTAAAGGAAAAAAATGAAGAAAACTGATCCAAACATAGAATTAAATTGGATGGTGGTAAAAAAAAGTTTTGGAAATATTAGTGTGCTTTTTGATGACATCAGATATTCTGACATTACAATTGACAACAAGATGGTGACATTTTTAGTTATTATATACCAAAGAAGTTAAAACCAGGAAAAAAATTTGGAATTTTTTAATGGAAAATAAACTTATTCAACCAATGCAATTTACTTTGCTTCTTAAATAACAGGAACCATGTATAAAACAGCAAAGAACCCTGTTATTTAAGTACTAAAATACATATCATTCACATGTAGAATGTCCAGTTTCTTTGCAGCCATAACAAATACAGTATAACCCAGGTATAATGTCAAACTAGTAACGCTAGCAGCTGTTGCACAATTTTTGTTTTATTAACACCATGTTGTAGAAATTTGACTGGTATACAAGAGGAAGTCCTTATTAAACAAATTGATTTTCATTAGAGGAGTCAAACATAATAAACTCAGATACCATTGGCTCTGCTACAAAGACATTGAACTGAGAATCTCTGGCTTACTGGCTCACTCATACCAAGTGAACAAAGGAAACAATCTCTGTGGTTGATAGTATGTAGCTTATGTCTTATCAAGGTCACATAATCACCTCTTACACAGATTTTATTGTTCAGGATAGATATTAAAATTATGTGTTAAGAGATTGACAGTGAATTATAAGATCTTCAATAATTGATGAAAATAAGGTATTCCATCACTTATCTAAGGATACAGTCATGCCTTGCCAATGTACGTAGAATGATAGGTTTGACTTAAACATTGAACATTAGGTTATCATGATATTCTACAAATCTTAGTTGTGCACTATCACAAGTGAGATGCTGTTATCGACCTGGGTGTAAAATTAATTTGTAGCGAATGTTGACTACATCAGATGTAGGTGCTTGCAGTTATCTCATTGTAATGCACATAAAATATAAGAAGTTGGAGTGATCTGGTTCCAATTGACTAAGAAATTTTGACAAATACTTTATAATTGTCAGACATTTTGTAACATATGTGAGCACTGTAATTTGAAGAGCAGTCATATGCTATGGAACAATATCATTTTAATTGCATATTGATATATTTGATAGTAAAAGATATTTTTTTAATATATCAACTTCATACATTTACCATTATGTAAGAAGTTAGTTAAAGGTAGTAAATTATGACATCTATACACAGTACCTGCATCAGAAAAGCTAAAAGTTTGGTTATGTTGACTAGGATGAAAGATTGTACAGGAGTTGTAACAATGAGATTATATATTTACTTTTGTTACATCTATACTTAATGTACATTTTAAAATGTATCTTTACTTCGAATACATTCATATTTTGTTCAATTAAAAAAAAAACATTTTTGTACCTTCAGGCCAAAAAGACAGTGCAGGAGTGATGGCATCATATGTGTCTGATCAAAACAAAAAGGAAGAACCAAGTGTGGTCCAAGATCAGCACAAGTGGACAATATACAAGTCATGTGTGAACCTTCCAGCAGCACTTAATGACCCTTTGCGTTCAAAAAGGGAATATGACTTTTTCACAAAAACTTGGGGCCAAGATTTTTATGAAAAGACAGATATTCCACCTTCACCATATTTGGTTCACATTTCAAGAGAACATTTCCAGAAGTATAGACATAGAATATCAAAGGTATTACATCACCTGAATAATTAGTGTATGTGATCATATGATCAGAAACAAAAAGTGAGGAAGAGTGTGAAAAATGTAGTTAACTGTAAAGACCACAGATTCAGCTATTGAAAAATTACCTCTTTTCTTCTTCTGAAGATTTCTGATGTCATATTCTAAAGAGGAGAAAGAAATCGGTGAACTTTCTTTCACAGGAATCAGCAATTTTATCTTTGAAAAATTTTAATCACATTAGTCAGATTTGCTTAACAATATACACTTCTCAGTCTTGTTTAGAAATGAAAATTTGTTTTAACACTAATATAAACTCACATTTTCTTTAATTTGTGGTGGCCTACTTCAGAATAAACCTAGTATTAAGAATTATGAAAGAGTTATGGAACCAGGGCACCTTGATCCCAATCTATATTAATGCATTACTTTTGGATAGTTGATTTTCCTAAGTTGTCCAACACCACCAACTTCTTGATTAAATAGTAATATATTAGATATTGTGATTTTTATGCTCCAATTTAATACTTAACTTGTTGGATCATTACTTTACAGAGATACAAGAAACATGTCCATAAAACTACTCAGTTCTTTCAAGAATCTCCTGGTGGGGAAACCTTCTTACAACAGCTAGGTAAGTTGTAAACTTGCCAGTACCAGTACCATGGAAACTGCTGTTTGGAATGAAATAGCAATGTGCAAAGAGATTTTTGGAGAAGCTTAATTGATATGAGAAAAATGTTTGCTAGCCATGATATAAATTCTGCTTTCTGACTTTTGTAATATTTATCACAGGGTTAAGTTAAGTACATTTAAGTTAAATGACAGGAAATTTGAAAAAATCTGACAGAGTTGTTAGTATGCTTTTTGCTTCATTATAATTCATTTGTGTTTGAAATTCATGGACAACTCATACAACCATTGGCTGCTATATTTAGGGATACATGTATCAGTATTAGGGAATAGGGTGTGTGTGTGTGTATATGAAATATATGTAATATGTTGGCACTGATGGGAAATATAGTCGATTTGTTAACATTGGGGGTAAGTGCAAAATGGCGTAATTTTATAAACAGTGTGAATTGTGGTACATTGGATGTCTCAGATGGTATATACATTTTAGTACTTGTCTACAATAACATTCATTTACTGTTAATCTTGTTTTGGCAGAGAAGAACAGAGCTGAGTTGCAGCAAATTCCAAAAGTAAGTCGTGTATTTTTAAGTCAACAAAGGAACTGTAAATGTTTTTTGTCATGTCTTTATTACATGTGTATATTGACATTGCATATATATGTCGATTCAGAAAAGACATGTTTTACTGTAACACAAGCTAACGTTGGCAAAATGGCTATAAGGTGTATATTTTTCACTACAATGAAGATGCTACGTAAAATTAATGGATACTTTCTGTCCACGAAATAGTGTGAAAATCATAAAACCAAAGATTGTGAGTAGCATAGTGCTAAATAAACACTGGACAGTATTTATGTCACTAAGCATTAAGAAAAAAGGTTTCACCACGTTGTTGCTTTAATGATATTTGGTGACAACTATTGTATAAAATGATCCAGTAGATAACAAAGTCCTTGTTTATAGTTTTTAGAACATTTTCAGAATATACCTCAAAACATGATATTCAAACACTAGAATTTCTTAGATTGCCATTATGGTTTAATATGAAAATAAAGGTAGGCAACTCTACTGTATGTTATCAGACTTGGTTTGAAAGAGGGATTAGATCCCAATGTGATATAGCTGATAAGGATAATAATTCTCTTGACTCTTAAGAAGCTTTTTCCACGGTGTATGCTTTTTGACCACCATGTATATTGTTTTCTGGTTGGAGCACTGTTGTGATGTCTATATGGCATTCATACACTCACAGTGCTGTAGGGCTTTTTTCAGCCTTGTAGATGTGTACCTATTACATTTAAAGTGATAATTAAAACAGAGGACTGAAGAGATATGTATGTCATATCTATAGATGTTATAGACTTGCACAACAAAAGATGTTACTTTAAGGTGGTTTCAGTACATAATTTACACATAGGACATTGGTAACCAATAGTTTTAACAAAAATCAATATTTCAGATAATTCCTTCTGTACAATTAGACAGAGGAAACTAATCTATATTTTTTTAATGTGAACATGCTGAAAGATTTTGGAACTTACTTGGTAACTGGATATTTTTGAAAACAGTTGTGTTCATAAACTTTACAAAAACAAAAGATTCTTTTTGGTAAACATGGTAACTATCAAGCAAAAAATCAAACTGTGTTGATTGTAAAACATTACATTAACAAACAGCATGTAGAAGGTGACATGATATATAAGTGTTAAGAAAAATATCAAGAATTACTTTAACACTGAAATATATATATCTACATGTCATGGTAAACTACCAGGTAATAAGATTCCATCAAAGATGGAGATTATTATCAAATATAGTAAAAGACTGGTACACTTAATCAGTATATATTAATGTCAAATACCTGCATTAATGTGAGTCAGACCTCATAATTCTGTGAAGTCTGACTGAATACTGTATGTTCCATATCATGTACTATATAACAGATCTGGAGAATGACTTGTTCATTTACAGTAAAAATCTATTCAGTTTAGGATGTGAAGTAATGTAATGTGTATTGTTTGTTATATATATGTGAAAGAAGCAAATAAACAATATTCAAGGGAAAAAATGTCATAAATAAAGATAATGGACTGGATTGATAAGAAATAACTTTGTGTCTTACCACAGTGTGTAACTTTATCATCATTATACTTTCAGCTTTTCCTTTTACCAAATTTTGAATTGGACAATAGTGATACATTCAATGCTGTATTTCCATGGCAACAAATTGAATCCAAAAATCATTCCAAACCTTCTAGTCCTTCTTCTGGACCACAGTCATCCAAACTCCTCCAGGAAAAGGTGAGTCACAGATATCTCACTTATATAGTTTGTAAATAAGGAATGATTAAAATAGTATTATAAATATTTTCCATTTATCTTGCTATATAATGAACATTTATCATGTTTATAGCTTCACGATTTCTACATACATTTCCTTTTTTTCTGAATGGTAGAACTGATGGCATTTGGATACATATATTACTACAATGTAACTATTTTCAGAGAAAGCTCTTTATGTAAAATTACTGTAACAAGGTCTGATATAACACAGATACAGGAATAATGGAAACCTTCTTATTACATAAAAAATTATCACACCCATGCCAAGTTTCATTTGATTACACAAATCTGAATACCTGACCTGCAAACAATTAAACAGTATGTGCCACTTTGTATGTCATGAATGTAGTTTTTGACCAGTAACACAAAAGAAAGTTTAATTTTATCATAATTCTTTACGTTAAGTGTATAATTGCTGTCTTTTTTGTTTCAGTTAAGTCATTACTTAGACATAGTTGAGGTACACATAGCCAAGCAAATATCGACCAAATCAGATGCGTTCTTCCAGGCCATGTCTCGTCAGGACAAACTCCAGGAAAACATGCTGCAGACATGTCAGACTATCAAAAGACTGAGGTATGTGTAGATCAGCTCTTTCAGTTTTCAGACACCAGGCATTCCTCTGTCAGATTATTAATCAGTTGAGATATGAAGAGGAGAGCTGTTTTAGTTTTCACACCCCAGGTATTCTGTCATATTATTTAATAGGTGAGGTAAGAGTATGCTAGCTGTTACAGTGTTAAAACACTAAGTATTCTTCTGTCAGACTGTCTAAAAGGTGAGCTGTTTTTAGTGTTCAAATACCAGTTATCCTTCTGTCAGATTATTTAATAGGTTAGGTAAGTGTATGCCAGCTGTTATAGTGGTCAAATACTAAGTTTCCTATTGTCAGACTGTCTAACCAGGTGAGGTAAGTGTATGCCAGCTGTTATAGTGTTCAAACACTAAGTATTCTACTGTCAGACTGTCTGACCTGGTGAGATAAGTGTATGCCAGCTGTTACAGTGTTCAAACATTAAGTATTCTTCTGTCAGACTGTCTAACCAGGTGAGATAAGTGTATGCCAGTTGTTATAGTGTTCAAACATTAAGTATTCTTCTGACAGACTATCTAACAGGTGAGCTGTTTTAGTGCTCAATCAAACACCAGTTTTTCTTCTGTCAGATAATTGAACAGCTGAGGTATGTATAGGTTAGCTGTTTTAGATTTCAAAAACCATGTGTTCTTCTGTCAGACCATTAAACAGCTATGGTATTGTAGGCATGGTCGTTATGTTTTTAAACACTAGATATTCATACCTGTGTTCAGAAAGTAATTTGTATGTATCTCCAGGGATAGCAAATTTTCACCTCTGCTAGTAAGTAAACTTTTTGTCTCTGCTTTAATACTAACATTTGTATCTATAATTGAATAATATTTGAATCTCATATTTGCTGAAATAGTTTCCATCTGTTAGAGAAATAATAACATTTACATTTCTGCTAGGATGAATAAATGAACATCCCCCTGATGTTAATTCTGAACATTGGTCATCTTTTCCTTCTTTCCATTCAGAGACAGGGTGAAAACTATTGACGAATATCTGGTGAAAGGATCTTTAAAGATAATCAAATTATATCGTACAAGAGCTAATTATGCACAGCTGTATAACAAAGTAAGTACAATCCCATAGAAGATAATTAAACTAATAACCTGACCTTATACATGCCTGCATACATGACAAAAACCATTGTTATTCTTTGTAAAGTTAGGATCTGTTAACAAAGTTTTATTGAGAAAAAAATCGTCTTGATATATTTATCATTTTTGTCATAAAAAGCAGCTTCCAAACATTTATGGTTGCCTCAAACTTTAACATTATGAAATATCAGTGAGACTCTGGTTGTTTGTAATACTTTCCACGTTTGTATGTTGTATGTTATGTACAGTAGGTCACTGTAATAAGTATCATACATCATGTAACCACCATATATCATACATTGTTATATATGTAATTTATATCATAACTGACAACACATGTCAAACAACAAAGGAGTACAATATGCAATATACTTTACAACATTGTTAACCTGTTGTCATGAATTTGTTGATTTCCAGCTTAAGATGATGGCTACAGTGCATCAAACTCAGCCCACCATACAGATGCTTTTGTCCACTAACGAGTTTGTGGGCGCCCTTGATCTTATCTCCACTACACAGGAAGTTCTGTCACAGGAGCTAGCTGGTGTCCACAGCTTTAGGTGAGCTATGCCTATCTCTGACACCAACAATTTATTCCATTTTGAAATTTCGCATATGACATTATTTCAGAGGAGTTCCAAAATCTCAATGATATTGAAAATATAGAATATCTTTCATGATGATGCAAAGAATACCGTTATTTTTGAATAGGTACAAAGCCAGATTAAAAATTAATCAAACCATTGATAATTACATAGAATTTTACTGCATCAAAACAATCAGGTCATCATTACTATTATGTTTGGGATCCTGTCAGCAATTTTTAATGGACTACTAAATATGAAAAAATAGTTTTCTGCAACAATTTATTCAGGTTCAGCCAGTCCTACCATTTCAACCGCTTATGTGAAAATAACTGAAGACATATTATTTAAATTTCTTGTGTATTGTTTATCAAATGGCATCAAAATATGATAAAAGTAGTTTATTGATATGTTATACCTGTTTTGTGGCAGACACCTTGGTTCCCAGCTTGCTGAGATGGAGAAGGTGATTGACCGAATGTTGCAGGAAGATTTTGCTAAATATGTGTCTTCTGACCTCAATCGACCAGTCACAGACCCTGAGCTCCTGCAGGAGGAGGTAACTTACTAAAAATGGGTAGCTTGTAAGACTAGACATCCTTTGCTGATATCTAAAGCTTAATTTTTATTATCAGATATCTTTATCAATATCACTAACTTTTATAATCGTAAGATCTTAAAAACAGAACATTATCTTTAAAAAAAATTTGAGGAATTAAAAATTTTGATTTTTTTGTAAAACAGAACATCACTCCAGAAAAACTATTATAAAAAAACCATCATTCATATTACATAAGGTTCTCATTGCAGATGTCTTTTATTTGTGTTGTTTGTTTGTATATGACCAACATTGCATTGGAAGTAATGATTGATTTGGTATTTCACTTCACATTAATCTTTATTGTTTCCACTATAGGCTTTTGTTGTTATTGACAGGAAAAACTTGTATCCCTGGTGTTTGGTATGATCCGGCGTGGGCGGTATAATTTTGTGGATGTGTACCGAGAGGAGGCTTTAACAGCTGTACGCGCCACAGTTAAACAGGTAAGGGAGACAACTCATTTAGTAAACGGCAGGGATTAATTAGTAGTTCTGAGAATTAAATAGAGCAATTGCCAAACTGTGTATGTGGGCTCAGATGTCACTCATTACCAGATTTGACAGGAATATGAAAGTGTCACTTCGGGATGTGTTTTAATGTTTCAAACTCAAATTTTCATATAACAGTATAACTTATGAGAAATGAAAAAAAAATATGCACTACCAGATTGGCACACAAAATATAAGTTTTTGAAAGTAAAAATGATATTGAGTGTTAATAACTAAAAAAAACATGAGGAGAATTTCATGTTACTTAATTAACATAGAAAGTAGACAAGATTAATTCCTCAAAACAGCTGTTTACTTCATGCTTTAAGATTGCCATTTGTAAATACTTATTTCTCTTCTCAGACTGTAGTTGAAGCTGTGTCATCAGCAGACATAGATGCAGATGATAATGCATCGAGGTAAGCAGACTTTCTAGCCATAGAAAAACTTCATCATATGGAAATACATTGTTTATCTGTAATTGCAGGAAAAACATTAATTTGTGATCTAAAGGTTTTATTTACAAATACATATAAGTAGTGAATCATTGGTAATTATCATTTCTATACAGTACAGGAATAATGGTGTAGTATGTACAGTTTAATGGTTTATACTTTGATGTCTGGTATAGTTTGGGAGACCAGATGCGACTGCTTGATTACAATCAGTGGATGGAATGTCTGAAGCAGATCTTCTCCAACCTCTTGGTACATCTCAACCGAGTCAAGACATTCCACGGTGTCATTACTGATGTGATTGGTATCACTGCCCGCAAAACCCACGTGCCTAGTCCTCTGCCCTCACCTACTCACAACCTGGAGTCCCTATCAGAAGCTTCCCATCTCCATGTATCTGTGTATGTTTTGTTCGTATGATAATGCTTCCTACTCATTTTTATATTTGTTTGTTTCCAAAGTCTATTAAAATAACATGACATCCCTTGTATTTTCTCCATTTGGAGCCAGTGAAGATTTTTATCAATTGATTTGTTAACTGTGCCAATCTTGATTTTAAAGTGATATTTCATCACCATATGTTAAGTGATACACATACTTTATCAGATTAAATTGAACATTTATAGTATTACTTTGATATAAAATGGGTTTCTGTAGACTACTACAGGTATAAGGACTACAGTCACAGGATTTCAGCAGTAAATAGTTGTACTGTGTAGTCACTAAGGTATCTCTGTCCTATTAGACAATGACCTTACATGTAGTCCTGCTGTTATGAATGTATCTCTGTCCTATCTGGTAATGACCTTACATGTAGCCCTGTAGTAATTTTAATGTCTTTTTTAATGTCTACCAGGAGTGAGGATGCTGCTGATTTGATGATTAGTGAAGCTGACTTTGTGACGGTCAGCTCCAGTCTGTCGGATTTACTGGTCAACACATGTGATTTTTCCCATGACCGCTGTGTCAAGGTCATCGTAGCTCGGTCAAAGGTATTTTGTGTTTCTATAATATTCGAATAACTTTCTGAATTGTGGTTTTGTCTTTATCCTTTTGGATTTAATGCATATAATTTTAGCATAAAGAGAAGTTTTTGTTGAAGTATATGTATCAACTGTTTATAGTTTATAAGTCTAGGAGTAAAAATATGTATTGAACTTCCTCCTTTGTTTTTTCATGTGCTTTTGACATCAGGATATGATGGCTCAGTCTGCTGTATAACTTCAAATGTGTTTCACCTATCCAGTTGTTCATTTTGGTACTTTGTTAGAAATTTTGTTGAGTATCAGCTAGTGTAATTAATTGACAGTTACATAACATTTTGTTAAACGTCTTCGGAACACCTTTGATAATGTCCGTCATGTAACAGGATGGTTTTCTGGAGAGGTTGTCGTCCCAAGAATTTGTCAACTTATCCCGAGTTGTAGAGGGATTTGTAAACGACTGTGAAGGTGTGTGTGGCAGACGGAGTGCTTCTTTAAGACTTAGCCTTCAGTCACAGGTATGTGATAGTCTAAAATCTGAATGGTAATATATTTGTAGTTTGATATAGATTTGATTAAGGTAAGCAAACAGTAGATCATTACCTACTACCATGCCTCCTGGTGTCCTGCTCTAGAGTGCTTGATTAAGATAGACATTGGTAACCTTGGTGATGTAAAAATTTCAATGGCAGGTAGTATCATTATGATGTATTAGTTACATTGGCGTAGCTAATTACCTGTAGGTTTGTTAGAATGTAATCACAAGTTAAACATGAATGAGGAGTAATACTCATTTTAGGGATATTCCTAAGGAAAAAATTCTCTCTTGTAAGACTGAAGATCATAACAATAAATGTATAGGATTTGAAGCTAGAAATACAAATATTTATTATAGCGATGGTAGTAAATTGCTTTCTCTTCATATTACCCCTATTGGTGGTCTAGTTTTGTTTAATTGTGAAAATGCATTTTCATTTTGTAATTATAGTATTAAAAGATCAAAAAGCCAGGAATAAAATTTAAGTTTTTTATGATTCTCATTTTTTTTTTCAGGCCTCAAGATTTGTTAATCGTTTCCATGATGAAAGAAGAACAAAGTTAAGGTGATAATTTTTTTTCTTTTATACATTTGTGTTTTTAGTTGTCATTATTTTTTCTCTTTTGAAATTTTTTCAGCTTAAATGGGAAAATGACAAAGAAAGAAGAAATACATCTGATAAATGTGTTGTTAGTTTCTATAGAGAAATATGTTTAACAAAGTCTGACGGCTTGTTTTTTGTTTGATTTTCATTATGTTCGTAACATAGTTTGCACATGTTTTTGCGAATTTAGGATGATCCTTCCTGAAGTGTACACCACTGTTATTTAAGACATCATATCAGAGCTGTACATCCTAGTACCTGCGTATAGTAATTTTAGTGGTGTGCATCACAGACTATAATATAAGACTTTATACTTTCATGAGTGACATTGTTGTAATTCAAGACTTGTAAGACGTGTACATCAGTGTAATTTAAGACTTTAATGAACGAATCATTGCCCTGAAAAGTTAGGGAAGACTGATAGGACACTGCTGCTCTTAAAACGTCACATCCTTGTAATGTTAAGAAAGTTGATTTTATAGTTGAATGTATGTAATAACCAGCAGACCTTTAGGACATTATACCAGTTTATTACAGCTTTTAACTTGTATTTAGCTGAGATTATGTGAATATCTGTCTTATTCCAATCTCAAAATTTGAAGTTCTGAAGCTCATTAAGGAAATAAAATATAGGGGAGGTGTTCATTTTGTTGGTGACATCACTTATAAAAACTGTTGACATTTGTTTCAGTTTGATATTGGACAATGAGCGCTGGAAACAGGCTGACGTTCCAGCTGAATTCCAGGAACTAGTTGACCACATCAGTAAAACAGGTAGGATGGAAAATATTACTGTGTACAATATGTAGATTTTTACATAGTGTTCTCCATGATAAATATAAACTTTACTTTACAATTATGGAAAGTTACAGGCTTATTCATGTTAATCCCTCCTGTAAAGGATAGAAGCGTGCAAAGGTGTTACCAGATCACCAGTGGAAAACCCATGTGTTGGGCAGATGACTCCGTTGCAAAATAATAACTGTATATTCTTGCTTGCTTCAATATTTTGTCGGAATTAACATAGTAAGAATTTGTAAGTGATATATATTATATGTTGTTGGTTACAGAAAAACTTTGCCTGGTTGAGAGGACAGCTGATGCAGGTGAGATAGTATTATGTATTTGTTATCCCTATACATTTGTATTTAACGTCAACTAAAGTTAACTAAGATGTTAAGTTAATTAATCTTGAAAGTATTGTTGATGTTTTTCAATTCAATGCCTTTATTCAACAAAAAATATCTTAGGAGTTTAAACTTTTTTTTTTCAGACAAAAAGCCATTCAATACCTTGACAGTAGATGGGCAGAGTTACTCAGTTGTAGGGTGAGTAAAATACTAATTAATATACAATATTCATTAAGTGGAAACTTTTGTCATTTTTGTGGCCATAGATAAACTCTGACAATAAAATGTAACAAATAAGACTAGATGAAAGGTCTGTGTATATATTTATGTGGTATCCACAAATGTTTTTAGAATGGGAAGGATGTCTTGTTCCTAAACCCTGAAAAAATGTTCCCACAAACATTTCATGTTATGCAATAAAAAGGTGAAATAGAATGTGTAATTCTAGATGATCTGAAAGTTGGAAAATTGACTAGGTCTTGTTTCTCTGCAGGAGTAATGAAAATTGTTTTAGTCAAGTTCAGTCTGATTATGTTTTGAGATACAATTTAGTCTGACTTGTGTTACAGGACAGTGCTCATGTTACTGAAAATGATGGTAGAATACTGTCAGTGTGTTGATGACATTCCTACTGCTGCCCCAGACCTACTTACCCGTCTTATAGAACTTATCAAAGTAAGTACTCCCATGTTCCCTGTGATCTATTTACCCAACTCATATCACTTACCAATGTGCACCCATGTTCCTTGTGACCTATTTACTTGTCTTATTGAACCTATCAAAGTAAGGACACCATTCACTATTTTTACAGTCCAGGTCAAAGTCGAAGAACACTTCAATTAACTTTAACCAAAAGCTATGAATTGATTTAAGGAAACTTTGTCTGCACTTGTAATTTAACATATGTTATTGTTACAAAAAAATGCAAATATATGATGATGTTCATTATTGTATCATAACCTGAAAATTTCAAATTATTGGAAATCAATTTATTGTTGTTAATCTCTAGGAAAGATGGTCCTTGAACTTATATTTTTCATACTTAGAGTTTCACATTTTATCATTCAAAAATCAACTACCGGTAAAACAATTCAAATCAATATAATAAACTACATCTACCATTCATATTTTCAGATTTTCAACTCCAGAACCTGCCAACTTGTGCTAGGTGCTGGGGCACTACAGCTAGTTGGACTGAAAACTATTACCACAAAAAACTTAGGTGCGTGTTAAGGATGTCATTATTAAACTAAGACTAATATACCTTTTGCTGGTTGTGTATTGTTATTAGATAGAGTATAAAGATGGGTATCTCACTACATACAAAACTAATGTACGTTGTGATTTGTTGTTATTTTCAGCCCTTGCATCTCGTTGTCTCCAGCTGGTTGTTCATTACATGCCCTTGGTGCGTCGACATTTTGAGTCACATCTGCTGGACAAGAACAAAACTATGCTTAAACATTTTGATCAAGTCAAAAAGGTCAGTCTTGCTATGGTATCATGTTTCACAGAATGATATACACTTAATAACTAGTCATGTTTGTGTAATGATTGTAGAGATGTGTTGTTGTTATCTAAATCAGTATCAGTGTGATTTATTGATAAAAATAAGTTTGGATAATATATTTTTCCATCTGTAAAGTCATGTCAGAACTTAATATTTCTTAAATGTATAGAAACATTTCTGGGTAAAATTGTAGTTCATTAATACTTCTACTCAGTAGTAGACCCCTACTGGAGAATTAAGTCTTTTTGATGATAATGGTATTTATATTTCAAGATAATAATCAGGATTTAAGTGTTTTGTAGAATATAGTTAAGATAGAAATATGCTTTATGATGCTATTACTTATAACTGCCCTCTGATGCTGTTATTTTGTAATTTTCATCAGTTGTTTACCCTGAAGTAGATGTAATTAAAGTATTCCAGTGTAACAACACCATGACCTATTTGACCTTTTTTTTTAATGACAGGATTACCTGGACCACATCAATGAGATCACAAACAAGTTGGTTAGTGTAATGGAAGGTGTGGTAGAGTCCCAACTTGTCAAGGTAAATAGATCTATCTCTTTACCAGCTACTTCTTTCTTATCTTTACCATTGCTTTATATTTCCTACTTATAGCCTTATTCTTCTAAACCTTGTTATAGGAAAACAAAAACATAGCTTCTGTATCTGACTTCATGATGTTAGATATGTGAATAATTTTGAGCCCTCTGTGGGACTGGATTCTTGATACATAGGAGGAACAGAGAATTGGACCTGCTCTATTTTATCGCTCATGAATGTAAAAGGAGATTTCCTTCCATGTTCTCCCGATAGGAAATCTGAGAGACCATTCTTCCATGTTCTCCCGATAGGAAATCTGAGAGACCATGCTTCCATGTTCTCCTGATAGGAAATCTGAGAGACCATGCTTCCATTTTGATAGTGCTTGGGTTATGATTTTTCTCTTTTTTTTTCTGTGTAAATTCTATTTATGCTTTGTTTCGTTATGTTGGTCCTTCCTGGTAGCCCATCTTCATATGACTTGTGGGATTTAATCTACAAAGATATGTCTTGTCCTGTCATGTCCTTGTCCATCATTATCTTAATCCTCTTTCCTCTTGCCTTTCTTGACAAGTCAGATTGAATGATGGAAATAAACCTTGGAAGACTTAATGGCTACTTCCCTTCCATCTCAATTTTGCATTTCCATGTCCTTTCTGTTTTCTCGTGTTTCATCCCCAGCCCCCTGTTTTTCCTATCTCCAACCCTTTCTAACCTATCCACTTACTTATACCCCTGATTGTCTAGTAAGACCAGATAAGGCATCATGCTGCCATATGCTGTTCAGTGTGATGGCACTATGATAGCACCATCAAGTGGTCCCAGTAAATGTTGACTTTCTCTTTATTCCTATGCCCTTGGCAGGTGAGAGAACAGAATATCCAAATCAAAGTTGCCCCTCCTGTCCTTTCTCCTTTGTTTGAACACCTACATTTATCTTCCCTGCTAGTTCCACTACCTGTCACAGATAACTCTTTAGAGATTATATCACAGCTTATTTGTTATAATGTTAACACTTTCCTAGACAAAATCAATTTAATTAAAAAATGCTAGTATGATCTTTAAAGAATATCAACTATTGTAATTTTATTTCTTGATTTAGACAATTTCTAAGAGAAACATGTACCTGGTGATATATTTCTTAAGTTCTTTGTGAATTTCACAGTGGGAAGTGAAAGCCCCTATGCCGTCAGCCTGTTTCCGGTCCATCTGTAAACAGATTACCAAGATGCATGAGGTGGTCATTGACATCCTGCCGGAGGACCAGATCAAGGTCAGTGTGGTGTTTTGTAGAGCTGTATGTAATGACATTTCTGTATAACATTTCTTGGAACACCTGAATTAATTTGAATTTGAAATTTGTTGTGTTGTCTTGCTTATGAACCCATTTTTTAAAATGAGGTGACCATTGATTTAGTTGGTTGGTAACTATATTCTCCATAATTGAAAGTAGTCTATTTTTGGCTATTCAGATTGTCTATGACTGGTCTGTCATCTCTATTACATCTGTTGTCAGTCCATCTATAAGCGATACATGTTATCATCATTACTTGAGAAGCACTGGATAGATCATATTTCATGTATAGGTTCCCCTTGGTCCATAGTTGTGTTCTTTTTCTTTGGAACTGATTTGGTACAAAAAGCAAAAGAACTGACTGGTGGCCATCTTGGATTTTGACAATGAATGTTTGTTATCTCTATTCCTTGAGGAGTATTGTATTCTGGATTTGATTTGAGTTATTTATGGATATTGTGATGCAATATACATCACATTAGTATGCAATTATATTATCATTGAAACATAATGAATTGTATAAAATTAAACAAATATTGCTTTAACAGTTGGCAAAATAAACAGATTTTACACTACGGCTGATATTGTATAGGATGATTGATGTAGTTCATCAATTACATAATCAGTTGAGTTTGTGTTAAATAGTCGTAGAAAGTGAATGCATTGCTGGGAGCAGTGATGTTATATTTTCTTTGTACCTCCGGAAAATATTAAGGTAGTGATGGCTGACTATGAAAAGTTACAATCAGTTATTGCATCAGATGAGTTGAATTTTTTCTCATTTCTACTTATGCCGTACTAGTCAGTTCAGGGCAATACATCCAGGTTTGCTGTTCTTGTATTACATATCCATCCATGTAATATAGGCACTCTTTCCAGTAAAATATACAAAACACACATTACTAAACATGTTCCTTCCCAGTTGATGTCATCACATTATACAATGTATACACACATGTGTACAAATAATTATCTGCAGTAACTGTTGATATTTAGTTTTAATTTTTTAAGGCAGACTTTGATTACCAAATCTAGGTACGGAGAATTCATATTCTATATCAACTTGTTAGTTTATTGCATAATAAAAAGACATGATATTTGTGTAATATGGTGTCCTTGGTAGTACATTGTTGATATCTGAAGCTAATATTTTTTCAACACTTGAAATGAGAAAAAAATACTGTTTCATATGTCTGGATGAAGGATGGGATATTTCACCCTCAAGGTCACAAAATGTGGTAAAACCTTCAACAAAGCCTTGGGTCTTACAACATTTTGTGACCTCTCAATGGAATTTCTTTATTCTACACCTTGACACATGAAAGAGTCTTATAATATTCGATCAATGTCCCTTTACCAGCATGCAGTCAAGGATAGTTCATGAAAGTCTTATTTCTTATGAGATTCCACTTGGTCCTCAGTTGTGCATTTCTGTTTTTGGGGCTTATCAGGAAAACAAAATGGCTGACAGGTGACCACCATGGATTTTACAGATGAAGATTATGATTCTTATTTCAAAGAAATGTTCAAATTTCACATAATTAAGAGCGTAAAAGAAGACAGGCTGGGAAAAAAAACCAAACTTTTAAAGAACACTGAACTGTTTTGATACCTGATATTAAAAAAATGAATAAAGGGTATACTATATTTACAGTGTTTATGAAAACTTGGATTTTTGCTCATAAAAAATAACTTTGTGACAGTGAGGGACCCTGAAACAGACAGCTTTGAAATCTTGCCTGAAGTTAGTTTCTTGTGATTTGTGTTTTCAGACCTTATTCCAGAGTATAAACCAAGTCTTCATTAGACTGGCTAGAATACAACTGATCAAGCTGGATGTATGTAGTAATGGTGGCCCTCAACATGCGTAAGTAACATCTCCGTCTGTAGGCCCTCGCAATGCATATTAAATGATATAGACCAATTTAAGATTTCAGATTCGTAAAGTCACTAAAAAAATTCATGTTCATCTCTTCTCCTTTGCAGATTGGTTACCTCTGACTTGGCATTTTATTCGGGGACATTTAAGACATTACGAGGACTAGAAACATTAGCCAACAATACAAATTCAGTGTGGGATACAAGCTGACCCCCTCACAACGGTCCATCTTTGACCATTTGACCTCTACAGAATGTGTGCAATGTTTACAAAGGGTTTTAAAGAACTCCTTGTCAATGATGAAATAAATATTCAGAAATACTTCAAATTTTCTGTAGGGAAAATTTATTAAGAATGAGCTGACCAAAAAAATTATGGTTTCAAACTTGATTCATTTCTGTCTATTTGTTTAACATGTGAGGCACCTCATAAAAGAAATTTATCACATGCTAATAATGTAAATTTACTATATAACTTTATGTATCTATAATAAAATCTTTCATTTCTGTGATGTCACTGAACAGTTTGATGAAACTGTATTTTACAATACTGGAAAAAGATGAGGTGTGTTCCTCTTGTTCAAATGTTGCTGTATACAAAATTTACAAGACGTGTTTTAACACTACTTTGTGTGATGTTGATGAAACAGACCAATGCTTGTTTCAGCATATTATTTCATGACATTTTCAATGAACCAGTGCCCAAAAATGACTATAGGTTTTTTTTTGTAAAGTATCAGGTTTATTTGATGAAGGGTAAAGAATGTTGGGAAAATATTGTTTTTGTTGTTGGCAGGATATTTGATCCAGATCATCATTTCATTTAAAGACACTCACATATTTGCCTTTTCTGATTTATCATTAATTTTTCTGTACTCTATGGTAAGATTCTGTTGAACACTGTTAATCCATGATAATAATGTCATGGAAATTAAAATTTTGAAATCGTCTCTAAATTTAACAGCAGTTTTTTTTTTAGCAAAATAGAGAAAGATACTAGTTGTTTTTTCTAGTCTATGTTAAAATAATGTACTCAAAGATATAGGAATTAAATATAGCCTGATGTTCACGTAATATTCCGCATATTACTATATAAATACAGCATTATTATGGTGTTAGTTCATTTTACAATATTCAGTATTACTGTCATTTTTTAAAAGAGTCTGTCATCTTACTGGAAAGAGAAATAACAAGTCTTTTTTTGATTCTTCACAACTTTTGATCTGTCAAATAGTAGGATTAATAGTTTTCGGGTAAATCAGTGTCTCATTTGAAAGGTGTTTTGAGACCACGGTTTTTGCTATGAGCAAATAATTTCAGAGAGATCAATTGAATTTGTTGTTGGGAATGTGAAAACTTTATAAAGTAAATGTGTGCTTGGTGGTATAGATTCTTCTTGAATGACCTGCTGTGGGTATTACATATTAACGTTTTGCTCATCCTATCACATTTTGTCTTGTCAGGTGCGTTCTGTCTGTAGTAGATGTCATCATTGTCTGGGTTTTGGTCATTGCTGATACAAAGTTCAAGTATGTAAATGTCTTAAAAATGTTTGTGTTTCAGAATTACAATATTTAAAGCCGAACTTGTGTCTCAGAGTTCCAAGGTCAAGGTTGCTGTCAGTATTTATAGAAATTTGCTTAGGTGCAGGACATTTATTGCTTATTGCAAACATTGCTATTAATATTGATAACAGCAAGCTAATGACGCGGGGTCTCCAGGACCTATGATGAAATTGTTTACAGCTTCTAGCTTTTGCTGGGAAATCAGTCTAGCAAGGGGATCTTTCAAAGGAAAGCAGCTTGTCTTATTAGCACTGTTTGCTGTGTAGCGTAACCATACTGTAGTTACAATCAATAGGTTATAAACTGTCAGTGAAAGTTAAAAATAACCACAGAATATTCCACGAAGTATAACTGGTCATATGTACCAGTATTGGATGTATTTAAATGGTAAACTGATTAAACCATAAGAATTATTTAATTTCTCATCTGCTGAAGTTATCACAATATACATTTATTTCTACGTATAAGCAATGATCTTTAACCATTGAGGGTATATCTACTTAACATTTAATTTAAAGAAATTTACAGACTGGAATGGGGGTAGGAATTAATTCACCCATAGATGGGAGCTATTTCACCGTAAGATAAGAGCTGTTTGACCATTAGACGGGAGCTGTTTCACTATTAGATGAGAGCTATTTCACCATAAGATAAGAGCTGTTTGACCATTAGACGGGAGCTGTTTCACTATTAGATGAGAGCTGTTTGACCATTAGACGGGAGCTGTTTCACTATTAGATTAGAGCTGTTTCACTATTAGATAAGAGCTGTTTGACCATTAGATGAGAGCCGTTTCATCATTAAATGAGAGCTTTATCATCATTAATGAGAGCTGTATCGTCATTAAATGAGAGCTATTTTATCCTTAGATGAGAGCTGTTTTATCACTAAATGAGAGCTGTTTCATTATTAGTTGGGAGCTGGATTATCATTGGCTGAGAGCCATTTCACTAGTAAACAAAACAATTTTCATTGATTATAGATTTTGCTTTGTTAATTTCTCAATGTATTAGTAAAATCAGTTGAGGAAATATTTTACCATTCAGTTATATGATGCCACCAATGGACCGTAACAGCTATGTCACAAGTGGTATTTTGTATTAAAATGTGTTTGATAAAACCGATAAACTTGGAACATTGTATTGCCTATTTATTTCTCCTGCAGCCAACATTTAACATTGGATTGAAGCATTCATGGTGCATAAGTATATGTAGAATGATGGAAGGTATGGTTTAAAAATGAAAGAAAATGGACTTATCATTCTTAGTTCATTTCACTCTTGAAAAAAACAACGTATACAGTTCATATTGACATTTATTTCACCTTTGGAAGAAAATTGTCATTTTGATGGAGAGTTATAACAGTCATCAGAGAAACAATTAAAATAATTTTGAATGAGAAAAGAGTGATCCCTTTAAAACTTTGTTTTTACCGAGTATTTGGTTGATTCATATTCTCGTATTGATGCATAAAACATTCCCAATGTGCAGTCTTTGCATCTGTTATTTGAGGTGTTGTGGATTCTAGTGCTCGTTATATTCTTGCTACTTTGGTTTACAAGATGATTTATTTTTGTATTTTCTGAGATACAAGACAAGATAGCTATATAGCATGTGTTCATTATTGGAAAGGACTTTGCATTGAAAATGGGATATTGATCTGAAATACAAAGTAAAATTTTTTGAATTGTCATTTTTCATGTATCATTATCTAGTCGAATTATTTTAAAAATAATGTTGTCACACCCATGTTTTCAGAAATATTTCTACCATTACAACATTGAATTAGATTATTTTCACAAATGTCCTATACTCTGAGGCATCTGAATGTCAAAATAATGTAATGATTCACAGGTGCTATTAATTTATTATTTTTTATTAAGTATCATAATATTACACCACACAAAGGTTTCCACATGATATATCAAGAACATTCATGTTTATTTATGCTATGACAATGGATTCAATATCTGTAATTTTATGTGGTGTCTGCAGATTTCAAGATTTCTCTCCCCTGATCTATCATTCTTGTAAACCCCTTTGTGTTCTTGCGTTCACCCCAATTCTTCCTTGATAGATTCTATCCACATTGTTAGAATGCTACCTGACTACCTAACTTTGTCTATAAAAGGTCCCTTATTCAAACTGTCCCTTTTTTGACCTCTACTGTTCTCTATCAAATGCCTCTTTCAGGACCTATTATGCTGTCCTTTTTTCCTGTAAAGCCCCTATGTTCTTGTCAGGTAACCATTATCACATAGGCTGTTTAAACTTACTGCATGAATTCTTTTAAACAGTTCCAGTTATCACAGTTTGGGATTTTGTTAAAAGTCCTGAAATAAGAGAATACACTTTATGTGACACACAACATCTGAATTATATGTATAGAAACACCCTAGAGTTTTTGATCATTTATATGCCTTCCTACATAAAGAGGGGACACAATTTTTGTTCAACATCCAGCTTGGCATTATCTTGTTTTTTTTTTTTTTTTATTTAGTGTGGAGTTTCTGTCCTAGAAATGAAGTTTATGAATTATTTCAAGCAGACAAACCAGAGACCATAAAACTGTATGTACATGAACAGCTGACTGTATGACCTTTACTTATACCAGATGATGTTAAGAGTATTATGTTATATTACTGAGTAATAACCCAATATAAGCAGTCACATGACTTGTTGGGGTGTTGTATTACTGAGTAATAACCTGTTAGAAATTGTCACTTGACTTGCCCGTTATAAGTATCATGACTTGGCGGGATGTTGTATTACTGTGTAATAACCTGTTATTAGAGTCACATGACTTGTCCGGGTGTTGTATTACTGTGTAATAACCTGTTATTAGAATCACATGACTTGGCGGGGTGTTGTATTACCATGTAATAACCTGTTATACGTGTCTTATGGCTTGGCAGGGTGTTGTATTACTATGTAATAACCCGTAATAAGTGTCACATCCCTTGGCAAGTGTTGAAGTACCTTGTACAGGTTATGAACTTAAGGTGACGGAAAGAGTCCACGGTGTGGTGTAATATCAGTAGACACCTACATATGATGTAGAAGACCTGTCATTAATATGTAGGATTAAGAAAAAAATCTCATGTTGCACATGCTTAATTTTTAGGCTGACCAGAAGAATAAAATGAGGGGGAAAATGGAAATTGAACTACCATGTTTTCTTTACTAATAACAAGGACAATATCAATTACATCTTTATGAAGTTTCAAACATAATACAAAATTGCTGTAAGTTCTATCACGGTAAGACTTTTTTATGATCTAGTGTTAAAGTACCATCTCTATAAGACTTTTTATGTCTGAATTAAGTAGAAAATTTAAAACACCTTTTAACAAATCCCACAACACTTTAATGTTCCAAACTTCGCCCTGATTGACCAAGGATGTATTTGTATCCATTGATACATCTACTTCTATAATGTTCTCTGGTACAAAACTTATTTATTTTATCTCTATTTTTTAATATCTTTTTTTTTTTGAAACATAATGCTGTCTGTTTGAATTTGTTCTTTGATATCTCTGTAAATCATTTGTCTTTGAATTAACCTGCCAGCTATATAAAATGTTTCTTGTCTGTAGGAAGACACATATTGATGGTTCACCATTATGTCCTCTCTTTGAAAATCTGTGATATCTGTTTGTTTTTCTTGTAATTCAGCCCTACTGAGGCTCTATCATTGTGGGTAAACTCTCTACACCAGCAACCGGTTTAGTTATTATGTTCTGTGTATGACATCTCTTGTCGTATACTGCTGTTTGGACTAATTATTCAAAATGTATATTTTAATCAGAAGTATGTATGCAAACCATATCATTGTCATGTTAACATCCAATTTGTTTAGTTTGGTATACATATTGTATAAAATTGTAAATATATGAAATAAATTATTTAAATAACACATCATAATGTTTGTATATATTTTTATATGTGCTTTATGTATGTTATTATTTAACCAGTATGATACACTAATCATTCCTGCATCATGAAAATTGCATGTTATCCTTTGGCAAGACACTATACCCTAATTGTTCCAGATGGCATGTGACGGGTCTCTCATATGTTGTTCAGCAATCTAGCCACCAGCTACTGAAATGAGCCCCTGCCTCAAAATCATACTGGCTATTCACAGTGAAAAACAAAAAAAGTCAAAAAAACACTTGGACATGTTCAGACATCTCTACACTGGATGTGTCTTGTTACTCAACAATTTGAGATTTAAAGTATTTGAAACCGGTAATAGCATTGAAAAAATCGCTAATCGACAGTCAGAACCATTCGAAAGTATTTCTTTCGTGTGATACATGTCCAAGACTTTCGGAAATACATGTTCTTAGTGTTTTTATGCGACCCTCCATCCTTTATTCTATAGTCACATTAAGATATGGTAGAATTAAGAAAATTATACCTATGAGGAGTCACTATATGTCTTCGTGTCAATGTCATACCTAAGGATTCGGCTGGTAGTTACAGACATCGTCAAAACATGGGCGACAAAATAACAACAGGTGACTGTAAAAAATCCAAATCAAAATCCAGGAAGCGAGATTTTTGAAAAATCTTTGAAAAGATTACCCTAAAGTGCTCCGGAAGGGAAAACGTCTTCTGCTTTTTCGACGGCTCACGCTATAGAAATCTTAGTTCATTCATGTAAGTCATCATACTTTCACGAAGTATCATATTCGCCCTATATACACCTCTTAATTTTAGTCTCAACTTCATATCAATGTGGAAAAGTCATCGAGGGTGCTATACAAATGTAGTTATTATACTACGGAAGTAGCAGAAATCATAATTTTTATAGGTATATTCGCCCTATATACACCTCTTAATTTTAGTCTCAACTTCAGCTATACCACAATGCTCATTTAAAACCTATGGAAAATCCGATTATTTTGAAGGCATACTAATACCACAGGAATCGAGGGTGCTATATGTCAAATTTAGTTATTATACTACGGAAATAGCAGAAATCATAATTTTTATAGGTGTACTTTTAATGAATGATTCCCGACCCATTTTCTCAGTGTGTTAGCTGTATTTTACACATAGTACGTCCGATTTCTGTACTATTACACATATCACTTAAGTAATACGCTGGACAACACCGGACATTCGCCGCGAAAGACCCATTTTCATATTCCACCAAAAACAAGCCTATAAGATTCCTTCATTAAATTTGGAACGAAAATGTATTTCAGGTAGATTTCTTCAGATGATTGTTTACACTACTTGATGACGTCGATTTTCTTCGCTTAGTCAGTCTGTTTACTATACATTTACATTGAGTTACTACATTTGCATTACTCCCCCTGCCTCTCAATTCTCTATCTGAAATGCTTGTATTCATTAATATCAGTCTAACAGCGCCCTTTGGTTTTAACGAACGTTTGTCCAAGGCAATATCAGTTTCCTTAAAGTATTAACCTTATGCAACTTTTGCTAATTAGCCGTGTGCAGACCAATCAAATTAAGGTTTAATATTGCAACAAAATATCTTTTTTATTTCGATAATGATTGGTATACTTCTACTTATGTCCACTTATACATAACACAATCCTAAAATCCAGCATAATAAGGGTAAACAGCGACTGGACAACCTTTCCCTGGTCTGTACCATGTATACTGTAGATTTGATTACAAGTATGTCATGGACGGGTTACCATACTTTGCGTATACAATGAAGGTTTCGCTCCATATGTGTATAGGAAACCTAGGAAGGTCAAGTATCTTCGGAAGGTCACCATAGATCATACATCTCCAAGAAGTTTGTGGAGTTGATGGTGTGTAAATTGTTTGGATATGTTTTCTCTAGAATTTCTCGAAGTTTTAATTGCAGTTGTTCTGAGTATCATCGTGGCAGCAGCCTGGTATTTGCACCAGCAACACCTGAAGTATGACCATTTACCTGGACCTCCGCGAGACAGGTGAGTACAAAAACATAGGTAGATATATGTTTACCTTACAAACAACTTAATTCTGATATCATCACTGAGTCTCTCGAGGAAAGTGGGTTTAAGATGGAAATAGTAAAATGGACAAATACCGGAGGGGGAAATACTAAGGAGTCTCGGAAGGGAAAAAACTTAAACAAACAGCATGTTATTATATATTCTAGTACTAATGACGATATGAAAGAACCCCTCCTATACGGAAGTCTATTTGTGTCATTAAAAAAACAGATCAACAAAAATTCTCGTTATCAAGAGTTAACTATCTCGTTAAAACGCATTAGTTGAAACGAGTTTCTAATCTTGTATCTCGTTGATATTAATTTCGTTTTCACATTTTAGTTACGTTTGTATCTCGTCTTAACACCTTGGTTACACTTGAATCTCGTTTTTACGGGTTAGTTACATTTGTATCTCGTTTTAACACCTTAGTTACATTTGTACCTCGTTTCAACACCTTAGTTCCACTTGCATCTTGTTTTGACGGGTTAGGTACATTTGTATCTCGTTTAAACATCTTAGTTACATTTGTATCTCGTTTTAACACCTTTTGTATTTCGTTTTAACGCGGTATTGGTTTAACCGTGGTGCTTAACGAGATCAAATACGTTTGTTGTTAAGTTTTAACGCTTTAGCTCTCTCTTAATACTGCATGAAATGTGATAAAGCGGTAATAAAATCACAATAAGCTGTAGGCCGATAGATGACGACATAGGGGCAAGCAAAATACTTTCCACTCTCAGACATATTCACCAACATACACCTTCACGTGTTCACTATAGACTTGCCATAACTTAACAATATAACATAACTTTTGAAGTAGGTTCCCTAGTCGGCTCGACAATTTCCAGAAATGCCATTTAGTAAAACATTTCAGTGTTTTTTTGGAGACTATTATTGTCGTCAATCATAATGAATTTAACCCTTTACATTACAAGTCATTTAAAACCGGTGGTCATATTCATTTTAAGACTAGCCATCCCATTTCCATAAATAGTATATTCACATAACAATATGTATTTATATATTGGAGTATTGACTTAAATTGTTAAGATGCATATTTTGAAGTCAGCAATTACGTTGTTTCAACCATGGGCCTAGGGCTTGAGATAAGGGGGCCAATAGGGGAAATTTAGCAAATTCATTAAATATTGTATTTTGTTGGAATGAAAGTATTATGACCCAATATAGTCGGAGACATCCCTGGGAAGAAGGAAAGAATTTTGTAAAAACTGTGCATTTAACATCCTTGGGAACAGAGGGTGGAGCCAAACCACATCCATCTATATCCATTTTTTTCTTCAACTTAAAACTCGATAACTATCACATTAAGACTCGATAACTATCACATTAAGACTCGATAACTATCACTTTAAAACTCGATGACTATCACGTTAAAACTCGATGACTATCACATTAAAACTCGATAACTATCATATTAAATCTCGATAACTATCACATTTAAACTCGATAACTACTCGTTCAAATACATATATATTTTTTGTCTTTTCAAATTGACCCAGCAAGCTTTCGTACTTTATATATATAAAGATGTTCTTCATTTGTAAAGATACGCTCTGTTGAACATTCGTTGTATTGTTAAAGTAGGCGTGTACTACGCGATCGCTATCAATGTCTGTGAATGTGATATGTTAACGTTTTCCTCGGCGTCTAAAGCTGATAGTGTTTCTTGTTGTGTGTGCTTTTTAAAATTTATGAAAAGTTGTGATATTGCGATCCTATCTATGGCTGATGTATGTATATCTATCGATGTCCGTGAATGTGATGTGTTATCGTTTTCCTCGGCGTCTAAAGCTAATAGCGTTTCTTGTTGTGTGTGCTTTTTAAAAGTTATGTAAAGTTGTGAAATTGCGATCCTATCTATGTCTGAATGTCTGTGCTTTCTTATACAAAAATATATAGACCATGACTGCTACACGCATACCAGTTAGGCATGAAAAGTACAGAGCTTTCTTTCTTTCAGATGTTCTCACACGAAAATAACACTATATTGCTTGATACAAGCATTATGTACTAGATCTGATCGCAAGAAACACTGTCGGGAATGAACCATATTTTTATACAACATGTTTCTTCTTTATTCACAACTATAAAATGCAATGAAATAAAAATCTTTGATTAAAATTACAAAATATATGAAATAAATAATAAGAATAGAAAATAAATTATTCACAGGTGGTTTGAGTAAACAAATAAAAAAAATAAGATAAGACAAAGGTAATTTACTACGTTTTTATGCCAGAAGAGTATATATTAGACCTTCTCAACTTATACAAATACAAATCTTTTCATTCATTTTGACAGTTTTTGGAGCGGCCATCTTCCATCCATACAGAAAGTGATATCGGATGGTGAAATTTTCGATGATTACATTCTGGAATTGTAAGTCAGGAAATATCGAATCGATGTTAACACTTCTAGTATTTATGAAAAAAACCAAACATGATAGATTTATTTCACTGGAATCATCATATACAATATTATGAACTTTAATGGTACAATAAATGACGTAATAGAGGCTATGAAATAAATTCATGATAACTTAATAGTTGATGAATGAACATACAATCAGATTAAAAATTTGATTTAAATCAGCCTTTACATAGCTTCCTTTTTACTAGACACTACGCACTTGTAAACGAAGCCATCTACCATGACATTTTAATCAGATTGCAAGTAAGTCGTATTTCATGATGATTTCCAGAATGAAATCGTATGGGAGTATTCTTCGTTTGTGTATGTGGCATCAGACATTTGTTATCGTTGCTGACCCTGAACTTGTTAAGGTAAATTCGTTTTGCTAGTGTCTTTAAACAAAAAATCTGATATTTTTAACAAACTCTGATGTCTTCAACAAACTCTCTGATGTCTTCAACAAACTCTCTGATGTCGACAACAAACTCTCTGATGTCGACAACAAACTCTCTGATGTCGACAACAAACTCTCTGATGTCGACAACAAACTCTCTGATGTCTTTAACAAACTCTCTGATGTCTTCAACAAACTCTCTGATGTCGACAACAAACTCTCTGATGTCGACAACAAACTCTCTGATGTCTTTAACAAACTCTCTGATGTCTTTAACAAACTCTCTGATGTCTTTATCAACACTCTGATGTCTTCAACAAACTCTCTGATGTCTTTATCAACACTCTGATGTCTTCAACAAACTCTCTGATGTCTTTATCAACACTCTGATGTCTTCAACAAACTCTCTGATGTCTTTAACAAACACTCTGATGTCTTTAACAAACTCTCTGATGTCTTCAACAAACTCTCTGATGTCTTTATCAACACTCTGATGTCTTCAACAAACTCTCTGATGTCTTTAACAAGCACTCTGATGTCTTCAACAAACTCTCTGATGTCTTTGACAAACTCTGATGTCTTTAACAAACTCTCTGATATCTTTATCAAAAACTCTGATATCTTTATCAACACTCTGATGTCTTCAACAAACTCTCTGATGTCTTTAACAAACACTGATGTCTTTAACAAACACTCCGATATCTTTAACAAACACTCTGATATCTTTAACAAACACTGATGTCTTTAACAATAACTCTGATGTTTTTAACAATCACTGATATCTTTAAACAAAAACTCTGATATCTTTAACAAACACCGATGTCTTTAACAAACACTCTGATGCCTTTAACAATCACTGATGTCTTTAAACAAACACTCTGATGTCTTTAACAATCACTGATATCTTTAACAAAAACTCTGATATTTTTAACAAACACCGATGTCTTTAACAAACACTCTGATGTCTTTAACAAACACTGATGTATTTAACAAACACTGATATCTTTAACAAACACTGATATCTTTAACAAACACTCTGATGTCTTTAACAAACACTCTGATGTCTTTAACAAACACTCTGATATCTTTAACAATAACTCTGATATCTTTAACAAACACTCTGATATCTTTAATTAAAACTCTGATATCTTTAACAAACACTCTGATGTCTTTAACAAACACTCTGATGTCTTTAACAAACACTGATGTCTTTAACAAACACTCTGATGTCTTTTACAAACACTCTGATGTCTTCAGCAAATGTAGATAATGAAAAAAGAACAATGGTCTTGATGACGTATAGCTGTCAGATTTTTTTTTGTATCATTTATATAAATATTGTACATAAAATACAAATAATTGTTAAAAAAACAAATGATGACTTTTGTTTTGAACAAGTGTTCTGAGGAAAAGTCATATGTATTTATCAAATTGATATGTGGCATTTTAAATGTATTAGATAATGACTTGATGGTTATTTCAGGAAGTTCTTGTAACAGGTAATCACCCTAAATCGAAAGCAGTATACTCGATGTCAAGACATTTGTTTGGCGCAAGGTATGTGTAATTTAACGATTTTGCAAATGTATTTCTGTTTCTATTTAAATTAACGATAAATTACCTCGCTTATTTCTATCTCCTTCGACCGGACACGTATCGAGAACACTTCATTTTGTTTCTTTCCTTGTTTATTGGTCAAAAATCAATAATGATCTTTTCTTCTGTTCTTTGCTTTCATTTGTTTTGGGGTTTATCGTATTCAGCATGCTGTGTTGTTTTATTTAAGATATCTCGGGAGAGGCATTGAAAGTGAGACGGACCAAAAATATTGGATAATGCAGCGCATGCATCTGGATCGCTGGTTTAAACCTCAGTACGTCGCGGAAGTCCATATCACTATTAATTGAAATATAACACATGGCTGTTGTTACATATATCATGTAGTATCATGAAACTGACAACGTCATTCCAATTGCTATTTTTTCACATTCACCAAATGACTAAGTATGATATCATACGGTGGTCAGTCGTAGAATGACTTTTCTCTGCCTAATCATTTTACTTATTTAATGTAATTTTTAAGATGCGTTCTGTGTACCCCGTGCAATCCCTGAATAAAGCAAGGTTGTAAGGATAATTGTTGGATGTTAGTTCCTGACCTTTATCATAACTATGCGTACCAGATCTTAATTTTAATCAATAGAATCACCATTTCCAAACAGACTATTCTTATATTTTCTCTGGAAATCAATATGATATCGAAGATCGACCTTACTGGTTAAATAATTGGGCCATTTCACTTCCCTTTCTGTCAAATTTTACGATTTTTTGTAGTTATTTGCGGCAATTCACCTCCGATTATAATGAGTTTGCTGACAGTCTTGTGCAACAGCTGGAGCAATATGCAGATGGAAAAACACGTGTCCCTTTGGAAAAGCTGTTGCATAAAGTCACTCTACATCTTCTGTCAAAGGTAAAATTTTTTGCCATTCCTCGAACTCCATGTTTAAGCTCTGGATTTATAGTCAATGAAGCGGTGTATGAAATACCTTTGGTGGTGATATTTTTACTGAATTGCACCAAAGAAAAGACCCAGTATGTGTATAAGTGAAACTAGAATGACCTTTTGCGTTTACCTTTAACTGCCGTATTTTGATGAAAGAGTTTTCGATAAACATATCGGGAACCGGAATGAGTAAGTTCCGCGATATGTCTTCTGTACTTCATATCCGAAATGGATATTGTGAAATTCAACAGCATTTGTAGGGAAATGAGTTTATATTAGATCTAAATTAAACTTCTGTATCTCCAACCTTGCTTTTTACATGTCGCATTTGATAACGTCACATTCCTTACTTGGATTTATCAAGGTTTACATGACGCTGTCGTCGATGAAGCAAAAGACGCTTTCTCTTCCAGAACACCTAGTCTAATTCTCCTTGTACTTTTTCAGGAGTCTCCGTGTAAATCTTTCCATTGTTTATATTTTGCCCTAGTTTGATTAAATTTGAGTTTTGATTCTGTTGATTATTGGTATTTTTTTGTTGTTCCTGTTTTTCCGTCCCCTATGTAATATTCTTATTGTGTCATATTGTTGGATATATTAGTAGAATTAATATCAATGATGACTAACTGTTAAACATAATGTTTTGACAGGTAGCATTTAATTTCGACCTTGGGAAACTTGATGAAACAGCTCACCCTTTTTCATATTACTTGGGATTTTCTCTTTCTGGATTTGCAAAGAAGGTGGTGAACCCACTTTTTAGCGTAAGTTGTTTTGTTTTCTAGTCTCTAAACCCTAAAATTGTGCAGTATAAAGTGTAAGTTCTGTATGAAAAGAAAAGAAGATTTATTTCTAAATAAAAATTAATGTTCTAGTGTGTGAACCGTAACGGAAAATAATCTTTATTCCCGGCTAAAGTCTTTCGGAAGACGATTTTCCGGACTGCCAATTTCAGTAAACCGGTTAAATTAGCCGGAGTTAACTCCCTTGCGTACATGACTCTACGGTCATCACTGTGATGCGGTTGGTTGTTATCAGAATTTGTATATATATTTTACTGTAAATTCAAGTATTTATAAATGTCTTCCATTGTCTAATAATATTTTGTTTTCGTAAAAGATTGTAAATGAATTCAAATTTACAATATGAGAGTTGCTATTCATCGGAGTCAAATATCACCAACGATTCATTGAATGTCTGACGGTATCAATAGTAATCTTTAACTCGAATACATGACATGCATGGCTCACAGTATATGTATGTTTTGACACAATCAGTCTACAATAAAATACGAAAACTAAATATAAAATGTGTAAATACATCTAACGATCTCAACACTAAAATACTGTTAAACCATCTTTTCCCCATCTTTAAATAAACATCTATAAAATATTCCATAAAAATCAATTACACTTTCCTATTGTTATTTCCAGAAACATTTGTATTAAAGTCAAATATTTGGAACTCAATAAGTGATGGGTTATTTGCAGGTGAACCCTTTAACATGGAGATATTGCATGCAGGTTCACAATGCAGTTAAAAAACTTAGATCCCATGCTAGCGAGCAGATAATATCGAGGAGGAAAACAAAATTAAGAGGCGACCACGTTCCTTATGACTTGCTTGAATGCATCATTGAACTGCAAGGTAACATATGTAACATATGAGTGGGACACAGTTCATTTAGGAGAAATTAATTATTTATGTCATTGACATTGCTATTTTATGGGAATTATATACCACCACAAGCATGACTTTTGCAATTTATTATTTAGGTAATCATTTGAGACGAGAGAACATTTCAATAGAACAGGGAAATATCTGCCTAGCTATTTTTTCATGTTTCCAAATTTATTCGACCTTAACGTTCATCAAACACTCATTTTGAAAGATCAAACAACGACGCTAAGAATAAAAAGGAATAAAAATGGAAATGATATGTCCAGTTTTCCCTTCTCGGGAGTTACCATTGTTGTTCCCAAAAGTTCCCAAGGCAATTGGTGCAAAAGGCAATCCTACACCTGGTTAGTCCGAATTCAGTGATCTCATTGAATATGATATGATATTTTTCTGAATCTAATTAGTACAAAGCTTCCTATAGAAAATAAATATGTTGAATATTTCTTTCCAGAAAAAAATCCATCCGATATTACAGATGAGATTTTGTTGGACAATTTTATCACATTCCTCATTGGAGGTAGGTACCATTGATATGACGTTATGGAACTTTATTGAATCAATACAGTTAACAGATGGATAGTTATATATGGTAGATGAAATATTTGAATGTAAGTAAATGTGGAAGTCGCAGTTAGCCAGTGAATGTGGAGGTCACAGTTAGGCAGTGAATGTGGAGGTCACAGTTAGCCAGTGAATGTGGAGGTCACAGTTAGCCAGTGAATGTGGAGGTCACAGTTAGCAAGTCAAAGTGAAAGTCACAGTTAGCAAGTCAAAGTGTAAATCACAGTTAGCCAGTGAATGTGGAGATCACAGTTAGCTAGTGAATGTGGAGGTTACAGGTAGCAAGTGAATGTGGAGGTCACAGTTAGCAAGTCAAAGTGAAAGTCACAGTTAGCAAGTCAAAGTGTAAATCACAGTTAGCCAGTGAATGTGGAGATCACAGTTAGCTAGTGAATGTGGAGGTTACAGGTAGCAAGTGAATGTGGAGGTCACAGTTAGCAAGTCAAAGTGAAAGTCACAGTTAGCAAGTCAAAGTGTAAATCACAGTTAGCCAGTGAATGTGGAGATCACAGTTAGCTAGTGAATGTGGAGGTTACAGGTAGCAAGTGAATGTGGAGGTCACAGTTAGCAAGTGAATGTGTAGGTCACAGTTAGGCAGTGAATGTGGAGGTCACAGGTAGCAAGTGAATGTGGAGGTCACAGTTAGCCAGTTAATGTGGAAGTCGCAGTTAGCCAGTGAATGTGGAGGTCACAGTTAGGCAGTGAATGTGGAGGTCACAGTTAGGCAGTGAATGTGGAGGTCACAGTTAGCTAGTGAATGTGGAGGTCACAGTTAGCTAGTGAATGTGGAGGTCACAACCAAATATGAGCGTTAGATGAAGCTCACTGTTACATGATAACACCTGACCTTGTTGTATTGTCTGACATTAGTTGTTTTATCAGACACTGTGGCTTACGGATGGGTACATCATTATTAGGAGAGCTTTACGATACATAATAATTTATTATATAAATATCCTGGTAGTCTCTAAAAAGATACACTGGTGAATAGCACCTTTTAATAATTTAGAGTTAGGTACAGTAGAGCGAATCGATGACATAAACTGCACCATACATTTGTTTCGTCTAGGATTCGTCAGTGATGCTAAGGGTCTTCGTTTTCAAGACTATGAGACGACTCAGGAAAATCTTAAGTGATTGAAAGAAAAGTCAAAATCTAGACGGGGAGGTGTAGCAGCCCAATAAATAATTAAATTTCGTAATTTTCATATATGTCAGCTTATTTTAAAAGTACAGGGTTATATTCTGAACTGTGCTATTATTCGAATGAATTAAAACGTGACATGCATGTTCCAATTGTCCTCAAGCTGACATTATAGCTTCAGGGCATCATCTGCATTGTGACGTCCCTAAAGATACAGATAAGGAGGGAAAATTGACAATTTCAAATTGGCTTTTCAAATCGCACTTTATTCGTGGTTCGTCGTCCATCCGCACTGGGTTGACCTCTCATATCTCAAATGTAGGTTCACCTGTATCCCTAGCTGAGCCCCTTTTATTGTGGGACTTATCAGAAATACAAAATGGCCTATAGACGGCCATCCTAGATTTCACCATGTAAAGTTTGTTATTGAGAAGTATTGGGTAGATCTCTCTCAAATTTCAAACGTAGATTCCTTTGGTCCCTAGATGTGCCCATTTTATTTGGGGACTAATCACAAAATTTGGCTTCTAAGCGACCATCTTGGATTTGGCAGTTTAAGACGGAATGTTCAAATTTCTAAAATAGAATAAAGAAAAGAAGGGAAATGGTCCAACTTTTAAAGAACAGATAAAGATCAAACAATGGTTGCGCCAAGATTCCTTTGGGATCTCTTGTTTATATATTGCATACTGATATAATGATGAATGTTTAGTAAATATGTTTTACACTTTTCTTACAGGATCTGAAACTACAGCGAATACTCTCAGTTTCATGGTATACCTCTTGTCACAGAATCCTCATTGTTACAAAAAGTAATTCTTATTTTTTTTTAAAGAACTTAATAGTGTCATATTGTCAACCATAAATCTTATTAATGATAAGAATCCACCTAACCACCTGGCTCGTCTATCTTTTCTACAAAAACCTTTGTCAAAACTACTACCATTCTTAGCACTATCGAATCTAGGTTACAGTCTTAATGTGATAATGTTAACTCCAAAAACTGGAATTTATAGTATGTGGATTTTAAAGAACTCTAAAGAGTTTTTGACCAATCTTCAACACCCTCTTCTATTAACATTTCTTCCCTAAGAACATTAGATTTTTCCGCTACGTGCTTTACTATACCCCATTCTGAAAAAGAACGCATTTGTTCTCTTGTAATGAGAGGGTTTTTTCCAATAAGGCGAAGGCGGTACAAATACATGGTTGTTAACTATACTTGAGAATAGTTCGTGAAGAATACAAATGTATCCAAATCAAAGAAGAAATGCACGAAGGACGAAGTAATTAACGTGAATGAGTTTCCAGTTGGCAACATCTTCGTCGCGTTTCTTGGTAAGATCTTCCAACAGATTATTCGCATTCCAATGGTGATAAACTGTGCCCCTCTGTTGGCTGACTTAATTTTGTTTTCATACAAGGCTGAATTTATTATTAAAACAGAACCTTGCAAAGTCGTTTTCTTTCATTTAAGATATATTGATGACGCTTTGTCTTTAAATAACAAGAAATTTATTGGCCATGTTCATATGGACAGCTTTCCATCAAGCTGTAAGAGGCGTTATGATTTCGATTTTTTAGCAACATACCTGCATCCCCAACCTATGGTATGTATATGTCGCAGTTGGATCGATATTCAAGGGTCTGTTCCCATTGTCAGGATTTTTAGATTACCGTTGGTTACATTGTTGTATGCTTAGTTGTAATTTAAGAACGTGACACTACTTACGCTTCCGGAACACCACTAGTTTTATTATTCTTGTACTTTTTCATGAGTCTCCGTTTAAAGCTTTCCTTTCTTGATATTTTACCCTAGTTTTATTGAATTGGAGTTTCTCATAAATCACCATAACTATAACTATTGCTTAAAATTTCGTGAATATTCCCGAATTTTTACTTGGTCCGACATACAAATATAACAAAATAATACACCATACAAGAAACAAATATCTGATGGTTTTATCATTAGCATATAATAAGAAACATAACTTTAACGGTAATCATAAATGATGCATGATTTCGATATCCTTTTTGTATTTTATTTTCAATATTTTTGAAAACAGAACTCTTTGAAAATAAAAATATTAGCATTAAAACTTTTTAAACCTTTGACTTTATATGGTGTCGTTGGTCTGGGAACGAAATAACATGCATTCGTGGTTAAGAAATTATTTTGAACGTTGTGAACACATTCTTTTATCAGGAGTACATTGTCTTATAAATTCAGAGAGAGCAATTAATTCGTTTTACTTATGATATACATATGTACACATATATGTTTGATACTTTCGTTACACATTATACTTATATTCGTTTTTTTCCTTTGTTAAATAAATACATCTAATCACTTAACCTGCCTGATTTTCAAAATGTAAGTTTAATTGATTACAGTATAAAATGAAATAATATATTTTTTTATGAATCCTATCCTAAGGAACTACTGATATCCACATAGAAATCATATCAACCTTTCTTTTTGAACGTATGCATTTTTCGCTTGCTAAAAATTGCTTCATTTCCGTATTCTTCCATAGATTACAACAAGAAATTGATGACAATGTTGCAGCCGTTTCTGTATTGACCCCTTCAGAGCTTGATGACCTGCCCTACCTTGATATGGTCATGAAGGAAACACTTCGACTTTATCCCATCGCGAAAGCAACGTACAGGGAAATGGCACGAGATTGTAGCCTTGGGGGATATCACGTTCCTGTCGGAACAGATGTAGTGGTGTGTATAACTTCAGAAGTGTAACATGAAAAATTGTACAAATACACCAAACTTTACCGTAGTCCTCATGAACCTTAATCAAAATTAGTTTTATTCATTTTTATTACCTTTGGCCACTGTTTAATGTTTTATCATAAAAATGTGCTCCTTTCCTCTCTGTTTCTTCAATACTTTTCTACCTTTACACAGAGGTAAAGTAGTTTCCCCTTAGTAGTGATGATGACGCTTGGCATATAATTCTTACCGTCCAAAGCAATACAAACTAACGTGTCTCACTGTCGTATATACGGTTTACGGTTTTCTACATTTCAACTCAAAAAATGGTTATGGTAGTTGTTTGTAGTCCAATTCCCTCAATTTTTCCGAGAATATTTCAAGTTCGAGGTTGTACATTGTTCTTTAATGTTTGTGTACAGGACACTTGTAGGGCGAGCAGTAGGAATATTGCGAAATTATTGTATGATTTGATAATATCAAGCATCGAACTTAACTTCTTTATCTTTGGGGGTGATATGAATCTTTTTACTAATCAGTGGCTGGGCTGAATGTTTGTTATACGATGATTAATGAAACTGGTAAGGCGAAGACATCGGGTATGTATGTAAAGAAGGAAACCTTGTGATCTCAGGAAGATTCAAATTCAGATTTTGGGAGAGTTGAATGATTACTGAAACTAAGTTTGGTGGAGTGAGGAAGTCGCTGAGTTACGAACAAGTGCAAATGCATGTAGTGCGATGTGCAAATATTACAATTATTAGGACGCTGTTGTGACGAAATAAGCCATTGTAATATTTGATTCACAAGTTCCTCTTAGATTTTGTTTGTATGGTAGATGAGGAGCTCTGTGTAACATTTCCAGATAGTCTATGTATATACGCTCTATAGTACATTCATTTTTCAATGCTTCCCTCCACTTATCCTTGACATCGAGTGTTTGTACTGATGTAGATCTTCCCGATGTGTCCGATAGTTACCTCATTATTTAGATGACTATTGCTTAACTTAATAATGATAGATGAACAAAATGTTTTTATATATATACATACTTGAATTTCCCCCCAAATCGACCAGTATAGTTCTAGGTGTAAGACTGAATAGCTGTGTCAATAGAATCGCCTCTGTCGAAGTCATTTCGTTCATACCTGCTTTATGTACATAGCTAAATCTGGCCAAAATATCATTACAGGTCAGTTTTTACGCCACAGGTAGATCTTCGAAGACTCTGACGAATCCGCATTTGTTTATACCAGAACGTTTTGAGCCTACGGCAAATGAAAGGTAAATATTTGGAAGAAGAACCAAAACATTCAGGAAGATGCATATTATCTTTGTAGATTGATACACTCTAACGATGTCTTGTTATTAAACAACATGTAAATGGTGATTTCTTTCAAAAGTATTTTTCTACATTATGATTTCAGAGTAGGAAGATACGTATCCACTCCATTTTCAGTCGGCCCTCATACTTGTATTGGTAGGAAATTTGCACAGGTAATCCAGTCTGTTGTATAGAGTTATCAGGAAAAAATAGCAAAATATCACGTGGAATTTTCCGGAGATATAGACAACGTTAGTTTCTTATGATGGTGTACAATATTGAAAATCTATCGCCAGGCGAAGCTTAACAATTATGATGAATTGACTTTACATAATATGACAAATGTATGAATTGCTTATGTTTTTGTCAGCTTCCACTGGATACGTCTAGAATGTGCTTCCCAATAGGAACTAGAAAATACAGATTCCGTAATATGCGGATTAATATCTCTTATTCACTTATATACAGAGCAAGCCTTATACAATATTGAAAAGGTCTTCCTATATATTTAACAGATTGAAACAAAGATCATGATGACTAAGATCGTCCAAAACTTCGACTTCGAGCTAGTACCAGACCAACCCATGGGGATTATCGATAATACAACTCTACGACTTGCAGGAGGTGCCATTTGTTATCTGCGACCAAGGAGAGACACATGAGATGATTTACCATATCCCCGCAAAATGGAAAAAATAAAATAAAATAAATCACAATACATATCGCTTCTTGGATGCTTAATCAACACAATTATGACCGGTCATCAGATATTTAGCATAAATTGCTCATATTGGAAATGTACAGGAGCTCGTCCCAGTAAATACACTTAGGATACTCGTTGGAGTATGTTAGTTCTCGTATCTGATGATTAATACTCTGAATTAATGTATTTTCGTTGGGCCCAATTTTTGTGTTTTTCGACTATAATCTATAATCCGATGAAACTAATAAACTTGTCAGTAATATATATCACACTTAAACTAATAAACTTGACAGTAATATATATCACACTTAAACTAATAAACTTGTCAGTAATATATATCACACTTAAACTAATAAACATGACAGTAATATATATCACACTTAAACTAATAAACATGACAGTAACATACATCACCCTTAAAATAATAAACTTGACAGTAATATATATCACACTTAAACTAATAAACATGACAGTAATATATATCACACTTAAACTAATAAACATGACAGTAATATATATCACACTTAAAATAATAAAATTGTCAGTAATATATATCACACTAAAACTAATAAACACTGTAGTAATATATATCACACTTAAACTAATAAACACTATAGTAATATATATCACACTTAAACTAATAAACATGACACTGAAAAAGAAACAACCTGAACAATAACACATAACCCATAAACACTAACAAACTAGACTGTAAAACATCACACATTTAAGCTAACAACCTTGACAGTGATATACAACCCATTGAAACAAATACCTTTAACAAAAATATATTTATAATACATTGAAACAAACTTGACAGTAATAACCGATTGAGGAGACAATAGAAAAACTACATACCTTTCTGAGGTGTCTCTGGCGAATCGTTCAGGTGAAAACTTTGTTGGGTTTCTCATATTTTGTTTGGCCCTGGATGTTGTATAAAAACTGACCTATCAAATGAGTTTAAATGATTTTGCATATGGTATTTAAATAACAATATTTAACCAAAGCAATATACTTGTTGACTTACTATTTGAACAGAATAACCGTCATTACATTATACTCTTGAGATTTTTATGTCGAATAAGAACTTCAAAGTATAAATAATTTAACATTCGAGAAAATATGAGACTAAAGATGCAATTTACTGCCAACATTAATTTCAATATATTTTTAAAAATGAGCTTAATGTTTATATATCAAAAAGCTACAAAAATCTGATGAAATTAGTTAAACTTACCATCATGTCGGTGTCGGCTGGGATAAGGTGACCGCACAGTATGCAATCCTTCACTGTCTCGCGAAATGTTGTCTTAGCTACAGGGTAAAGTCGTAGAGTCTCCTTTAATACCATGTCGAGATAAGGAAGTTTCTCAAGTTCATTCAGAGTGATCACCGACACTGCTCCTATGTTTTCATCTATCTCTCTTTGAAGCCTCGTAAAGGAACAGGATATTGTGTTAAATTAAATCTAGATATATTGGGGAAGTCTGTCTCTGTTAGAAAATGGATATTCGTCTCAAATTCTACATAAAACTATTTAATACTGAACATATCTTTTAAACTTTATTTTTTACTTGTCTTTTGAATATTACTATTACAATTGTCTTTTTATATGAACAATTTCAGGAATGAACGTAATGGGACCCTGTCGGGTGTCTTACTTTTCGTAACAATCTGGATTCTGACCAAGAAGAAGAAGAATAAAGCTCAATGCGTTAGCCGAAGTTTCCTGCCCTATTTAATATAAATGAAATAATGAGATGGTATTTTTCAAAACTGATCCATCAAACGGTATTTCTTTTTCAAGATAAACTATTCATACTGCTATGCAATAAGGAAACAGTATTGATATTAACGGAAGCTTCGAAGTGAACAATATCTTTTCAACAATTTCATCGAACTTTAAAACATATCGAGAACTATTCTTAACAAGGTTACATATGAACTACATTATGTAGATAAATACGTTTACCTGCAATCAGGAACGTTAAAACATTGTCCACCAATATTTCGTCTGTCATTACAGATGGGTGTTTTTCTAAAATATAACACGAAAATATAGATTTGTACCAAAATATTTTTATCTGATACTCATGTACAAGACTTCCTGAGATTATTGAGCCCCTAAGCATCACTGACAAGTCCTTGTAGGACGTAACAGCTATAGGATGCATTTTAATTCACTGCTGGGCACTTATCCAATTCTTAATTTGGAATGAAATGTGCTAATCACTCGTGTTTTCTTTGTAACATTATCATTAACATTCGTTAAACGAACAAATACATTTGATCGGTACCTTTAAGTTCCATTATGTACTCTAAGAGATCATGGGGGAAGTAGTCGCCGTTCCTTTTTAAGACTTTTCTATTATTCATCTTTTCTTTTGCACTTTGTCTGACGAAGTTTATAGCTTCTCGCACATTTTGTCGAAATTTCCATTTTAAAGGATTTATCTTGCAATAAATTTTCAAAAAAGTCATGAGACTACATAAAACTACATAAAAAAAAATTTGAAATGATAACACTATGTACCTCTACAACCGTTGTCAACTATGAAGCTTTACTCATTTGATGATTTTTAACTGATGCATAATCAAATACATAAAACACTTGATTTGAATACTTAACATGATGTAATTTCAGTGTTGAAAACATATGATGATTACATTGAAATAAATCACAAATTACATTTGAATTTGAACTATCTTATTAATCAAACTATCTGCTAAATGTTGTTTCGTGAGAGAGTATAATTGATACAAAGTAGAAATGAAGATGCCACTGTTTATAGGTTTCTTCGCAGCATTTTGACCAAACACAACTCCAATATTTAAATTCAAAACCACAAAATTCAGAAAATACCTGGCGAAAGAGAAACAGGAGATAAAGTTTAAGAAAATGAATGCAAAAGCGTATACTCACGGCAACTAAAGGATTCGAAACAGCAGCTGCAAATCCTGACAAAGCAGTCTTCATTTTGGTAACAATAGGATGATTTTCACCAGTCCTATATTGACATTGTTTGATACCTGCATGTACCAACCACCGAGTACAATTTGTTGAAATTAGACAAAGGAAAACCAGAAAAATGTAATTTAATCCCAACACATTTTGACAATGACGTCAAGAACACTGGCTAGAATCCAAAAGGCTGCCAAATTTTGATACCTGGATTTCGTAAATAATTTAGAAAATGACACTAAATGATCACCTTCGTTTGTTTAAATCTATATGAATTAGAAAACATGTAAACCTGTCGTATTTAAACACTGAAGCGGTATTTCCTGTTTATACTTATGCGAAAATATGTTTTACTGTTACACAGTTATCGACTGATCAGTTATGATATACTGTCGCAATTCCAAAACATTGAATGCTTACCTCATTATTTAACTTTTAATTTAATTTTATATCTTATATTATATATACAGAATAAATATATTGTAGATTATGAATACCAGTATTTCTGAAAGGAAGCTTCATCAATGATTTTGACACAAAGACAACTCTTAACCGTGTAACACAGATGAAAGCATACTCTTCTTCAACACTAATATTGTCAAACATGATGGTTATGACATACCAAATAGTGACATATCCTGCACACGAATTAACCTTGTAGAACAGATGCGTCGTGAGTTTGTTAAATGTATTTAGAGTATGTATCTCGGTCTCTCCGTCCGCGGGTAATTCAAGTAGCTCCGTATAACGATCGGCAAACTCGTTGAATTCAAAAACGAATTGTCGAATGTAGCTGAAAGTTTATAGATACATACTAATAGGATGCTATTCACAAAATATTTTACTTGGAAACATATTAATATAAGTTATTTAAAAAGATATGTATTTGTGTTCAGTTAACCTGTCGATTATAAACAACAAAAGTAGATAGGTTTTAATCAAATACTTTCTTTTGTCCGTCGTTTTTATATATCTATTCTCAACGCATACACCAGAGCAGTGTGTTTTTTGTATGTCTTAGAGTTGAATGTGTCTTACTGTGGTTTGAACCATTGGTCAAGATGCATTCGTTGCATAATCCAGAGCTTATTATCATCTTGAGATAAAAGACCCTCGTTCACAAACCTGAAATTATGAAAATAGACAGGATAATGACATTTACACAGAAGCGTATTTATATAAACTTTATTTATTTTACAACAATTGCGAAACAAGTTATTTTAAGAAATTTTCGGATAGTGTAATCACAGTATGGGAATATTATGACATGTAAATGACAGCTATTATATAAGATATGTATTATCAATAGTAAATAAATTGAACCTTTTAATTATTCACGATATCATTCACTGTGATCAATTTTATGTAAGTCTTTTGCATAAAGACGTGATTTCAATATGTCATAAAGCTAAAAATGATAAAACAATAATTAACGTGTAAAACGTATATCTTCATTCTAGGTTAATAGTTTTAGAATACCTTGCTCCAAATACACCAATGGTTCCAGCATATATCCTTTTGGATTTCGGGTAATTTCCAGTTACTAGAACATTCTTGAATGAAATATACTTTAATTGAGCAAATGAAAGAGGATAAAATCAACATTATATTAGTCTTTATTATCGGTATATCTGGATGATTAATTTATCACCTCATGCTCTTAAGAGCAACTTGGACTTTGTTTAAAAAGGAACTCGATTATGCGACCATAAGACGGTCCGTGATCTCTGAGACACGAAATTGTGAAATAAAAGATCATACCAGATGTCTCAGACCTTCACCAAAGGCTGTGATAGGACGGTACTTTATTAAATGAACTTTGATGATATCCTTTTTATACATATTTGTACGATAGAAGGAATTGAACAATTTAATTCAAATGTATCATAACCTTCTGTTCCATATCTTTATTAAGTTATTTGTATCTATTAATTAATGTTTTTACCTTAACCCGTAAGTTCTAGACCTGTAAAATAAGATATTTGTCAATTCGA